ATTTACTTTAAAAAATAATAATATTTTTTTGTCGATGTGTCGGAAGAAACACCGGCCCGCATGTAAGAATGTCGCTGGAGGAGATGGCTGCCGTTTTACGGGCTCCTAACCAAATGTGCTATTGTGTGTGTTTTTTCGCGCTATTTGTAACTTATTTTGTACATATTGTTTCTGCCACCATCTCTTATGACCGAAAAGAGCTTCTGGATATCAGGAAGCGATTACTCACTTCGTACTGGACGAAGATTTTTTCTTTAACGAGTCGGACGCGAAGGATTTTCTTCAGACACCCGACAAGGCCCAAATCCCTGTCATTCGCATGAGAAAGAGACGGACATACTGTATCGGGGACCAGTGGCGGCTCCTGAAAAAATTCTCAGGAGGGGCAATTTTTCTGATGATTTAGGTGACCTACACACATTTTAAAAAAGATATGTCCAGCAACAACATGAAGACAGGGGCAGCATATAAGTCAATACCAGAAGCATTTATTGACTGATCTGGGGAGATGGATTCCAGTTTCTGTGACAGATTATAAATAATCTCTGATGCCTTTGTTATATTAGCTTTTGGTTGAATGTACTGTCGTAGTAAATATATAATGTTATAGCTTGGTCTGACTAAAATCTTGTGCATGACCCATTTTGTGTTGGGCGTTTGTTTTCAATCAATGCTGTTCCTATCCTATAACAATGGACAAAAGAGTCCTATCTTGTCAGCCTTGTCAGCAGGTGGCCAAGGACAACACCCACGCCATAGGTCTCTCAGTTCTTCCAACTCACGAGTTCTTGCTCTGAGGACACACACACACACACACACACACACACACACACACACACACACACACACATCATCACTGATAACACACACACACACACACATCATCACTGTTAAACACACACACACACACACACAAAAATCCCCTCTCTTTAGGCTGAACATTTGAAGACAGAGAACCCGACTCAGAGCCAATGCAACAGTGGAGGGGACCTCGCCCAACTCATCAGGACCAATCAGAAGATCAGAACTACTAGATTCAACCTACATCATTTATTGTATAAAATGTCTGCACACAATGTTTTCGGGGCTCTCTTCAGATAGCTCCCTAAGAGTTTGACGAACGAGTCCGTGCACGCGATTCCAGATATCTTTACCTCTGAATAAACTGCCTTTATTATACCATATTCACCCTGTCCAAAGTCTCTACTTGGTCTCAGTTCTCCAGTAAACTTGTGATTATCAACAGTACACAACGGTAACAAACAATTGGGGGAACTCACGGGGCAGATAGTAAGGTCGCAGTGACACAGAAAGCAGTTCAATGTCGGGGGTACAGAGTCGCTCTCTTACCAGGATCGATTTTCCCTGTGACTGTGTCAGATCGCGGTCCGCTCTGACCAGGGTGAAGCCGGCCGGCTCCACTTCTCTGTCCGGGACTCTGTCATCCAGCCAAGTCTCCCAGCTGTATTGGATTCCGCTGCCAGCAGCGTTTTCATTATTTAGTCCGTTCGTAGCGGGTATGTACACGATCAACAAGATCAGTCCAAAACCCACCACTGGAAATCCATGGTTGGCAGAATGTTTGTAAACTAAGTGTACAAATTAAAAACATAAAATAACGCCACTAAGTGTACAAATTAAAAACATAAGATAACGCCACACTGCAGGTCGCAACAGAGACGCTGCTAGCCGCTATTTTCTTAGTTACGTTCATGGTTACGTCACGTATGACGAAAGCGCGTAAGTGCAAGCCCACAGACACCCATAGAGATTGTATTGAAAGCTTTGAAATTTGAAAAAAATAGATTTTACATGGGAGTCTATGACAGACTTCTGGGCGATTTTCAACATGACTGAAATCGCCCCAAAAACGGGCGGGGCCATTTGAAGCACGACTTTAGCCTGATTTGACATTTAGTGGCAGTCAGATCAGATTAGAACGCTGATAACTACTGTTGCCGTGATATAATTGATTAGAAAAAAAATCCCTTCCTTTTCCCGTTTGGCAGTGCGTCGCCCATATCGCCCTATTGAACACACCGCCCCTGTCGGGGACATAGGTTGGGGTGCTTTGTAAGGATCCGACAGCGAGTGGGTAATCTGCCTCTACCATCAGTCCTATTAGCCAACGTACAATCATTGGATAACAAAATAGACTAACTATGATCACGGATATCCTAACAACGGGACATAAAAAACTGTAATATCTTATGTTTCACAGAGTCGTGGCTGAACGACGACATGGATAACATACAGCTGGCGGGATATACGCTGCATCGGGAAGATAGAACAGCTGCCTTCTGTCACGCCCTGGCTCTGGGGACTCTGTTATGTTGAGCCAGGGTGTGTAGAGTCTATGTTTTGTGTTTCTATGTTCAGGATCTCGTTCATTGTGTTTCTATGTTGGCCGGGGTGGTTCTCAATCAGAGGCAACGAGAATCAGCTGTTGCTTGTTGTCTCTGATTGGGTCCCATACTTAGGCAGCCGTTTGGGCATTTGTGTTTGTGGGATCTTGTTCCGTATGGTTTTGTTATTTAACCTAGGACTTCACGTATCGTTTGTTGTTTTTGTTCGTGAGTGTACTAAATAAAGTATGTACGCCTATCACACTGCGCCTTGGTCCGCCGCTTCTTATAACGATCGTGACACCTCCGGTAAGACAAGGGGTCTGTGTATATTTGTAAACAACAGCTGGTGCACGTAATCTAATATTAAGGAAGTCTCGAGGTTTTGCTCGCCTAAGGTAGAGTATATCATGATAAGCTGTAGACCACATGATTTACCAAGAGAGTTTTCATCTATATTTTTCGTAGCTGTCTGTCTACCACCACAAACCGATGCTGGCACAAAGGCCGCACTCAATGAGCTGTATAAGGCCATAAGCAAACAGGAAAACGCTCATCCAGAGTGGCCGGGGACTTTACTGCAGGGAAACTTAAATCCGTTTCACCTAATTTTTACCAGCATGTTAAATGCGCAACCAGAGGAAAAAACACTCTAGACCACCTTTACTCCACACACATAGATGCATACAAAGCTCTCCCTCGCCCTCCATTTGGCAAATCTGACCATAACTCTATCCTCCTGATTCCTGCGTACGAGCAAAAACTAAAGCAGGAAGCACCAGTGACTCGGTCAATAAAGAAGTGGTCAGATGATGCAGATGCTAAGCTACAGGTCTGTTTTGCTAGCACAGACTGGAATATGTTCCGGGATTCGTCCGATGGCATTGAGGAGTACACCACATCAGTCACTGGCTTCATTAATAAGTGCATTGATGACGTCGTCCCCACAGTGACCGTACGTACATGCACTGACCAACTGGCAAGTGTCTTCACTGACATTTTCAACCTGTCCCTGACTGAGTCAGTAATACCAACATGTTTCAAGCAGACCACCATATTCCCTGTGCCAAAGAACACTAAGGTAAACTGCCTAAATGACTACCGACCCATAGCACTCACATCTGTAGCCATGAAGTGCTTTGAAAGGCTGGTCATGGCTCACATCAACACCATTATCCCAGAAACCCTAGACCCACTCCAATTTGCATACCGCCCCAACAGATCCACAGATGATGCAATCTCTATTGCACTCCACGCTGCCCTTTCCCACCTGGACAAAAGGAACACCTACGTGAGAATGCTATTCATTGACTACAGCTCAACACCATAGTGCCCTCAAAGCTCATCACTAAGCTAAGGACCCTGGGACTAAACACCTCCCTCTTCAACTGGATCCTGGACTTCCTGACGGGCCGCCCCCAGGTGGTAAGGGTAGGTAACAACACATCTGCCACGCTGATCCTCAACACGGGGACCCCTCAGGGGTGCGTGCGCAGTCCCCTCCTGTACTCCCTGCATGGCCAGGCACGACTCCAACACCATCATTAAGTTTGCCGACGACACAACAGTGGTAGGCCTGATCACCGACAACAATGAGACAGCCTATAGGGAGGAGGTCAGAGACCTGGCTGTGTGGTGCCAGGATAACAACCTCTCCCTCAACGTGATCAAGACAAAGGAGATGATTGTGGACTACAGGAAAAAGAGGACCGAGCACGCCCCCATTCCCATCGATGGGGCTGTAGTGGAGCAGGTTGAGAGCTTCAAGTTCCTTGGTGTCCACATCACCAACAAACTATCATGGTCAAACACACCAAGACAGTCGTGAAGAGGGCACGACTAAGCCTATTCCCCCTCAGGAGACTGAAAAGATTTGGCATGGGTCCTCAGATCCTCAAAAAGTTATACAGGTGCACCATCGAGAGCATCCTGACTGGTTGCATCATTACCTGGTACGGCAACTGCTCGGCCTCAAGGTGCTAAAGAGGGTAGTGCGTAAGGCCCAGTACATCACTGGGGCCAAGCTTCCTGCCATCCAGGACCTCTATACCAGGCGGTGTCAGAGGAAGGCCCTAAAAATTGTCAAAGACTCCAGCCACCCTAGTCATAGACTGTTCATTCTGCTACTGCACGGCAAGCGGTACCGGAGGTCCAAAAGGCTTCTTAACAGTTTCTACCCCCAAGCCATAAGACTCCTGAACAGCTAATCAAATGACTACCTAGACTATTTGCATTGTCATGAAACTTTGTCATTTAAGTCTGTCATTATTTGGATTCACGGTGATTTCAAGACAACTGGGAACTCTGAAAAAAAACAAGGTTGAATCATGACGTCAGTGATCCTTTTATACATGCTGTAAACTGTGTACGTGACTAATACTATGCCAGTAGGTATTACTCCGTCCATGCATGCACTTCTGCCATCCTCCACATCTGCATTTTTTAAATAATGGTACACGTTTTAAACGATATACTCATTTTATTTAGCGAAGTGTATATTAGTAAATAATTCCGTGAATGGGTATCATAATTCGTGAAATAGGTGACGATAAGAGAAAATGCGTCTCGAACTACTTTCTCTAAATCGAGCGAACGTGGAGGGACTAATTCCTGCCCTCTCTTCCACTCAAATAACTCAGCTGTCGTAGTACTAGTGGTTGAAAGACTTGAGGTTGCGCTTAGGCAATGATGAAACTAAGATGGCGTTTAAACCCAGACAGGATGAACGGGGGATAGCGAAATTGGTCACAAATTGATTTGATGGGGACGTAATTCTCACAGAGATACTCGTTTACAAGCAAACGAGTCTTCAAAGTGGATCATCTCTACTCTTATAATAAAACAGAAGTGGGTCTATAGGGGAAGCGACGCTGAAAACGGCCAACTTTACGTGAGCTAACTGGACCTTGCTTGCTAGCTAATAACGTTAGCTCGTAACATTACTAGCTACAGTAGCTAGCTAGCGAACCAGCGACAGCTAGCTAGCTAACGTTAGCCAGCTGAGCAAAACAACAACACTGTCAACAGAGGGAGGAGGGTAGTCTCAGGATAAATAATTGTCTACATGATTGTCCTGAGTATTTTGATTAAAAATCAAACAATTAATATCTGTCTTGGGACAGGTACGAAACAGAGAAGGAACCAATATTTCCAGTGAAACTTCCACGCCAATTCGCAGTGCCACCCGAGACCGGAGGTGCTGCCTGGGATGGGCTGAAAAGTGGAGGCCGTAACGTTAGCTTCAGCCTCCCCAATCGTGACCCAGTGCTGAACAATAGACCCTGTGAGCTTTCAAGACACCTAAACGGCCCATCATATTATTGGTGACATCTGAGTCCATAATTTCCTTTTTGATCACGTTGAACGTGTCAGGAAGAGTTGCTGTCCAAGTACCAGCTATCTAACATGATGTAAGTCTAATAACGTCACGTTAGCTATACTCTAGCTAGCCATATTTCTTATCAGGGAAGTTCGCTAAGATGCTAGTTAGATACATCCTAGTTAGCAACTAACTAACTACAGTGAAACTTAAAGTAAACCAAACTGCTTGGGATTTTCTTAACTTGTCAGTCATCAAGGACCTCCCGGTATGTAGCTAGCGATTTGCCAAATGACCCATATTTTGTGATGTTTGACAATGGCCATATTCATTTGTTGACTAACTTGGATCCCCATATTTGGTCTTGCTAATAGGAACGTGGATGGATGCAATCAGGCCTTTAAATCCTGTGACGTTTGTATGTTGCGATTAGGGGCTTTAGTTATATTTTGAGAATATGTCCAGCATTTGAGTAGCAAGCTTCCTCAAATGTCTTCATCATTATTTTCTATTGAAAATATATTTAGGAGGCCTTCAGATGGCAAACCTCAGGTCTTGTGAAATTGTAGGAAACAAATCATATCCCAGACAGTATGACTAACTTTTTATATCACCAAGTATCAACATAAGTTGTTAGTTAGGCAGTGTATTCTTTTCTGTTGATGACCAAACACCAATTTGACCTCATGAGACAAGAATGGCACCATGTAGTATTTGCTGTGTCTGTAAGGTAGGGGGAGGGGAGAACAGTTACAAAGAACGCCTCCCCCATATTGGGTTAACAGGTTTGGGATTTTGATGTTTTACTTGATTTAAGATTATATGATGTTCCAATAACTTATACCAAATATTAGAACAGGTTTCAATTCAAGAACATTATTCAAAAGTAGAAGAATCATGTAACGTTCGTGAAACAATTGCCATTCAAAATTGTAGGTTGTGTCCCTAGGGGCCCTTTGTTTGATCTGAAAAACATACTCTAAAGCATTGTTAATGTATCCAATTCAATGTATGGTACTGTACCTATGAATTTTTGAAGAACTGGTAATCCCATAAGGAAGAATACCTTGTGATTATTTTCCCCTTAGCCTAACTTTGAACTGGAAGTGGACATTTTCAAGAAATGCATTTGAAATATATAATTTTTATAATAGATGTGTTTATGTAGGATGCGTTGTCTAACAATACTCATAACTACATAAACAATGGATTAATACAATCTTAGATTTGGGGTTATGATAGGGAAAGACTCCCGAGTGGCGCAGCGGTCTAAGGCACTGCATCTCAGTGCTAGAGGCGTCACTACAGACCCTGATTCGATTCCAGGCTGTATCACAATCCGGCTGTGATTGGGAGTCCCATAGGGCAGCGCACAATTGGCCCAGCATCGTCCGGTTTTGGCCGGGGTAGGCCGTCATTGTAAATAAGAATTTGTTCTTAACTGACTTGCCTAGTTAAATAAAGGTTACATTTTAAAATAATTTTCCAACCTTTATAAGACATGCATAAATGTATTCTTCAAGAATCAATGGGTAGCGTGTATATATATATAGGGCCTGTATCATTCATAGAAATGATTAGCAGGTAATCTTACATTGTGCCCAGACTTCTCATAGTGACATTTATTTTGACTGCCAATCTACTTAGCTAAGTAAGTACCTCCACTGTGTGGTGACTTGACATGCAGATTGTTGACCTTACCTGTTGCCAGGGCGATGGAGGGGGAAGACTTTGTGCCTCCTCCGGAGTGCCCAGTGTTCGAGCCATCATGGGAGGAGTTTCAGGATCCCCTGGGCTACATTGCCAAGATCCGTCCAATTGCAGAGAAGTCTGGAATCTGCAAGATTCGTCCTCCTGCTGTAAGTGTTTACTGATGACAAGCATCTATCATTTAACCCCATGAAACCTGTGTGGAGTTGAATACGGTTGTTTTCCTCTGACCTTAGCACACACAAGTAGATGTCCTCTTTCTCTTTCTTACAAGCTGAGTACAGGATTGAGTGATGACAGGATGACAAGTGTTTACATCAAACATAGACATTGATCAAAGCTTTCCTCTGCCCACAGGACTGGCAGCCACCCTTTGCTGTGGAGGTGGATAGCTTCCACTTCACACCCCGTATACAAAGACTCAATGAGCTGGAGGTTAATCTCTCTCCCTCCTATATTGTATCATTGTATGGTTGAGTCACAGAAATGGACTGAATAGAACGGCCATCCCCATTCAAGTCAATGATGGCATAATGGGTGGACTGGCAGCCATTTTGAATGTACCCATGCCAGGAAGTAAAAGCAGGAAATGTACCCTTCAGTCTGTGCTGTGATTTGAGTCAACTCAACTGACATTACACAAAATACATCCCATTGCATGAGCTACATCCGTTAGCAGGATTTGAATAAATATTCTACGTTACCATGGCAATCCAGCATCAGGCAGCCATTGCTCATGTACCCATGAGTTTACCAGTCAAATTGCCAGTGTTAGAGCTTCCAAGCCCGTTCTATTCATTCTATTTCTATGGGTTGAGTCTTGATATTGAATAACTGTTTTAGAAGTCACGTGTTTTGGTTGACTCAAAGATTATATTTTAGTTTTCATTCTAATCATATTCACTCCTAACCCCCCTCTCCTCAGGCGGAGACACGAGTCAAGCTGAACTACTTGGACCGGATCGCCAAGTTCTGGGAGATCCAGGGATCCTCCCTCAAGATCCCAAACATCGAGAGGCGCATCCTGGACCTCTTCAGCCTGTCCAAGGTGCCAGAGCTGACTGACCCATGTTTTTCATTTCTCAATAAACCCCCTGTTGCATGTCTTATTTCTGTATAACTCAAAAATAAGACATGTTGAGAGACTCTTTGAAAAATGGTGATAGATCTTACCATTGCTAACACTATCCAACAGTACTTTAGCCAGTAAAACTGAGCTGACTGTGCACTTGTATTATTTTGTGTTGTAGGTTGTGATAGATGAGGGAGGGTTTGATATAGTCAGTAAGGAGAGGCGCTGGGCTCGCGTGGCCCAGAAGCTTGGCTACCCTCCAGGCAAGAACATTGGCTCCCTCCTGCGCTCACACTACGAGAGGATTGTCTACCCCTTTGAGGTGTTCCAAGCTGGGGCCAGCCTGCCGGTAATGCTACACTCACCCACTTTGCTCCTGTTCTTTTGTGCTTACACAAGCGATCTATCAACTATTATGTATCACACAGAATTTGACATGGATTGACTTACATTCATTATTTGTTTAGCCAGTTGCACTGTTTATAAATGGTGTCCATCCATAGTCATGAATGTAGAAGAGGGTTTAACCCCAGGATTTCTGTGTGTAGCAGACTAAGCCAAAGCTATATGATGGAGAGGAGGTGCATAGAGAATACAAGCCCCATTCCATCCCCCTACGCCAGTCTGTCCAGCCATCCAAGACAAGCAGCTACGGACGCCGAGCCAATCGTCTCCAGCCAGACGTGAGTGACCGCACACAAGCTCCAATGACCGATGTACATAATTTCCCTCTTAACAGTATCAATCTGTGTATAGTTCACAGATCTTAATAGAAGTTGGTTATTTTTACTCATTGCCATGATCATGTTGATCGTTCCAAGGATTTAAGCATTCACCCTCCACAACCATCATCTATAAATAGCCATATTTAACCAGTCTCATTCAGGAAAGGGGTCCAAATCTATTCATTGGATGGTGATGTACTGTCTTCTGAGAATTTGTAGTGAAACTAGTGCTCTACACTGGTTATCACAGATCTCAGTTAGGGGTAACACCTGCCGTTAACACATCTTACTCGTAGATTTTTCCCACTGATAGTCTACATAGTTTTATCTTCTATCAGTGATGCATTGGGTTAGGCAAGAAGATAAATTTGACATACGCCCATACAATCATGTAATAATATGCATCTCTTCTTTTCGCAATGAAAAACGGAATTACTTTTCATTCATATCGTTGTATTCATAACTTAATCTGATTTAAATTACACCAAATGAGTCATTCATCCAAATGAATTTAATCTGAGTTCCAGCTCTTTCAATCCAAATTGGGAAAAAACAATCTAGATGGTCTTCTAGATGAAGAGCTGATGATGCACTCAGAACACATCCAGCATGCTCTGTGTACCACTATGCTGCTGCTACTGCCTTTTGCCCCATGTTACACTAGCTCCCGTTATACGCTATATTTTACACTATATCCCCCTCTTTCTTTCTTTCTTTCTTTCTTTCTTTCTTTCTTTCTTTCTTTCTTTCTTTCTTTCTTTCTTTCTTTCTTTCTTTCTTTCTTTCTTTCTTTCTTTCTTTCTTTCTTTCTTTCTTTCTTTCTTTCTTTCTTTCTTTCTTTCTTTCTTTCTTTCTTTCTTTCTTTCTTTCTTTCTTTCTTTCTTGTTCATTTTGTCACCCCTGCCATTGAACAGGGTACCCATGTCTTTCACCCATGGAATACATTTTGTTTTGTACCATTTTGCTTTTTAAAGTGGTGGTGTGGTGAGATCTTTGATTTGCTTCTCAATAGGTCTTACTCCAGATTTTATTTAAACAATGGCAAGAAATGCTTAAAGGGATAGTGTGAGATTTTGGCCATCTACTTACCAAGAGTTAGATGAACTCATGGATACCATTTTTGTGTCTCTGTGTCCAGTATGAAGGAAGTTTGAGGTCGTTTTGTGTGTGTGAGAGAGCTATCATAACAGCTTCAAGACAAGTTAGTAATGAACAGTAGCTTATTTTCCAAATATTCCAACCTAAGAAGGTATTGTCCTAAAGTTGCCGCTTTCAAAAATAACAAGAATGAAAGTCGATAGCCTAAGCCTAGGCTATTCTCAATCAGCTTTATGAGAGCGAGAACAAACAATATTATTTATTTCCTATTATTTTATGAGGGAAATAAAGCAACTATTGCCCTGGCTTGTATAGGCTACCCTAACTCAATAAGACAGCCTGGTCCTGATCAGACTCCATCATTTGGAGACTCCTCCACCAGAAATGAATATTAGAAAATATTTGCCTGCATTTAGCCTCAGCCCAGGCTTTCAACAACATTATCTTACATCATTACATTTGACATTTTAGTCATTTAGCAGACGCTCTTATCCAAATCTTATCATGATTTGTGTAGTTCTAGCATTTGATTTCACACGGTCATTTTAGCCAGGTTTTTAAAAATGTTTTATTTAAAATAAATATGAATAATTGGGTTGGCCAATATAACAATGTTTTAGGGGTACATAATCATGATAGGACAAAGGTTGACAGCTGACAGGTAGCACTGGACACAGCCATACAAATGGTATCCATGAGTTAATCTGACTCTGGGTAAGTAGAGAAAGGGCTTAAAATCTTGCACTATCCCTTTAAACTTTACACTGAGATGTCATCAGATTGATCATAGTCCACCATAAGAATCTGATGATATGGTTTTGTTTTAAACCCAAGTATGCATCCTTGTGTGTTTTTATATTACCTAGGCCAGGGGACTCCAACCCTGTTCCTAGAGAGCTACCCTCCTGTAGATTTTCGCTCTAACCCCAGTTGTAACTAACCTGGTTCAGCTTATCAACCAGCTAATTATTAGAATCAGGTGTGCTAGACTAGGGTTGGCGTGAACCTACAGGCCGGTAGCTCTCTGGGAACAGGGTTGGAGAGTCCTGACCTTGGCTATGCGTTCTCTGAGGGCTCAGTTCTATACAGATCAAAAAGTGCTTGCGATGTGATCAGTTCAAGCACAGCTATATTTGGCAAACACATTGTCTACCCACACCTATTACAATCACACACAAGTAATTATATTTCATCACACCAGATTTCCATCTCTCCATACACATTTTCTCCACTCTTCCAATGGCAGTTTTTTCTCCTCAGCCACTCTTTTTCTTCCTCCTCCTGTCTCAGTTCTTTGTTGCTGTTGTCTTCCTATGCAGGGTCCAGAGGATTCTGCCCCCCACCCTCTCTCCACTGGCTCTCAACACATCTCTACATCGGTACTGCCTGTCTCTTTTGAGCACAATGCGAGTGCTCGCTCTCTCCCGGCTCTACCCTCGCCCGTCTCTATCTGGCTCGATTTCTCTAGGAACAAACGCCTCGCTCTCTCTCTCTCTCGCCTTCTTTATTTGCGGCAGGGCCCTTGCCATCCTTTTATAACTCTTAACAAACATCACCATTCAATAGCCTAGCATCAAGCTTTAGCTGTCTTTAGCCCTTATTCCACTCACTCACCCACCCACTCACTGTTTGTCCCTGGCAACAACTTATGTAAATGCATCAGCAATTACCTGTCTCGCCTGTACTTGTTTATGAAATCAGTGTGAATCTCCCTCTCTCTCCCCCTCTCTATTTACTGCTAGTCAGTCTCTGTGTGTCCTTGCTTAACGCTTCCATTCCCTCACTTCTGCAGCGCTATTATGTGACTGCATGTGTTCTGTTAGAGTGCATCGGTCTGTTGAACACCAGTCGGTTGTGTGACTGCATGTGTTCTGTTAGAGTGCATCGGTCTGTTGAACACCAGTAGGTTGTGTGACTGCATGTGTTCTGTTAGAGTGCATCGGTCTGAACACCAGTATGTTGTGTTTGGCAAGAACCCTGTTAGACACTCCACTTGGCCTTTTGAGAAAGTAAAATATTTGGAAAATGTAAACGCAGCTTTGTACATTTATGCTCTCAAGCATTGCCCCTTCAGAAGTTAGGAACACCATTTTACAGATTTAGGATCTGAGACAGATGACACCTCACAACCTCGACTTGAGTGAATTTGTTATTTTATGAATCACTAATTTCAGTTCAGCTGAGTTGAGACTTGTATGTAGGTTCCCCAAATTATTTTCCTTTGTTGGTACGTGTGTCTAGACGTGTGTTTGGATGCTTTTTCTTATAACACGGTGGTGGGTCGTTACCTTTGTTTAGTAACTGTCAATAGTCACAGATGTGTGACTGTATGGAGAGGTTCTACTCTCCTAGCCGATCCTCTCCTCTAGTACTACTATTCTCCCTCATCCTCACACTATCTCCTGACCCTTCTGCTTCTCCATTCCCTCTCAGTATACCTGAAAGTATATTGGTGTTGCTCCCACCACATCTCCATACTGACCTTTTGACATCTGTCCCCTAGCCTGATCCCACGGAGGAGGACATAGAGAAGAACCCAGAGCTGAAGAAACTGCAGATTTACGGTGCGGGGCCTAAGATGATGGGGCTAGGACTGGTGCCCAGGAATAAGAGCATTCCCAAGAAAGGTAACATAACTCTGCCACAATCACTCACCCCCCTACCTGGTTGTGTTTGAAATGTGGGATCTGGTCAAAAAGTAGTATTCTATAGAATGCGGTGCAATTTCAGTGTGTGTTGAATGCTGGGTTACAGCTGATCTTGACCACTTCTCCAATTTCCCTCCTTCCAGAAGAGCTGCCTCAGACTGTGACTGTCCGGGCTGCAGCTGCTGTCCAGGTCAAGGAGCAGCCAGGGGAGGTCAAAGAGAAAGGAGGAGATGGCAGCACAACCACCACGGCTCCTCCTCCCTCTGATGCTACGATAAAGAGTGAGATGAAGAAAGAGGAAGAGAAAAATGAGGAAGGTGGAGAAGCTCATGACAACGGGGACCAAGACAATGGTGAAAAGGGTGACGGGCCCTGCACCAAGATGACCATGCGGCTGAGACGTAACCTCGGCAACCCTCCGTTTGTAAGGGCCTTAGCCTCCATTCATGTTTATGGGCCAGTTACACAGGCACAGATTAAGGTTTATCCTGGACTAAGAAGCATGATCACTGAAGATTCTCTGTCTGGGAATCCAGCCCTGTATGTTATGTCTGATCCAAAATCAGATGGAATAGATATTCGAATCATAAGGTGGCAATTTAAATGGGAAAATAAATTAAGCTAGTTGATCACCATCTATGCTGTCAGTAATTTAATGGGTAAACAATTTACATGTACTATTTCGTTAGTCAGCTCCTTTCCAACATATTTGAGTGTGGCAATTTAAATGCAGAACTTTAATTCTGTTTCACTTATCTGTTCTGCGAAGGTGGATTCGTTTGTGTGTCGGATGTGTGGCCGTGGTGACGAGGATGAGAAGCTCCTGCTGTGTGACGGTTGTGACGACAACTACCACACCTTCTGTCTGCTGCCTCCTCTCACTGAGGCCCCCAAGGGCAACTGGCGCTGCCCCAAATGTGTGGCCGAGGTGAGAGAGAGTCATAAACCGTCTAAAAAGAAATGATCACGACAGCTGTGATGGAAACCGGACGTTTCGGGAACAATTTCATAAATGCCGACAGATAATTTGTTCATTCCACATGGTGGGATCTTTTTGTGTCTGTAAAGGTAATTACCGGTATGCGAGAAATGGCGGTGGAAACACCTTTTTATGCGCAAATATTGATATAATAACCATCATATCGAAGTACACTTGGAGTCACGAGATGATATGGTGTGTGGTCCTCCCACTATGACTTGGGAAACCATGCAGTTTATTAAGCTACAAATGAAATAAGTTATGAACTTCACAGGGTGGTGAAAGTGCACGGTGATGAGCTTGATGCTCCTTTCCAATAAATATGGAGGGTCTTATTCTGGTGACATGATGATCGATGCTTGACTGCTGTTTGACAAATACAAATATTCTTCGCTCTTATCCATAATAATCTCATCATGTAGACCAGCCTACCCACACAGCCTACCCACACAGCCTACCCACACAGCCTACCCACACAGTATCTGCCAGCTGTTAGGTAGATTACATGTGCCAAGACCAGAGTAGGCACGTTTGCTATTTAACACAATAGTTTTTGTGACAAAACTGTCGGTAGAGTTCAAAATGCGATGGAAACACATTGAATGTTAGATTTGTATTCGGTACTTGAAAACTTAAGCGAAAAAGTAAATTTTGTGTGCACTATGCACTGATTTTTATCCGCAACAAGTCTGTTTGGTGGAAACACCACTAGTGGGAAATGAGCATATTTTCTTTATGCACTTTTTAAAATATTCACATTAAACTGTCACCAATTGGATGCAAAACTAGCTATTGAGACCCACAACATCCTGTTGCGTCAAACAAACATCCTGCTATGTGGGTGCAGCCATCCACCGTCTAATTCATCTGGAGCCTCTGTGCATATTTTAACCTGAGGAGTCTGTGGAGTCATTGAAGCAGTTTTCTGGAAGATGTAGCTTGTAGGGGAAAAGTGTGTGATGGATGGAACCCGGGCTGGAGGCCTGGTCAGGAGAATTATAACTATGTCTATCGAACACAGGCTATTGACATGTAAACCTGTCAAGAAAAACACTGGATGTAAACTTTGCATTATAGTCATCTGTATGTATGGTAATTATTAGATTTGCCTCCATCCAATCCATTTCTTCGATGGCCTCATGTCTGCCTCTCCTTTTCTTCCTTTTCCCTCAGGAGTGTAAGAGGCCAGCGGAGGCCTTTGGTTTTGAGCAGGCTACTAGAGAGTACACCCTGCAGAGTTTTGGAGAGATGGCCGACACCTTCAAAGCAGACTACTTCAACATGCCTGTCCATGTAAGTGCACCTGTACAACCTATAAATGAACACTTTGCTCTGATGTGGAGATAAACTAATCCTTACTAATGAAGAAATGCTAGTTGATTATATTGATACATTATATTGTTGGTGTGTTACTAATGTCCGTGTGTGTGTAGATGGTTCCTACAGAGCTGGTGGAGAGAGAGTTCTGGCGGTTGGTCAGTAGTATAGAGGAAGACGTGACAGTGGAGTATGGAGCAGACATCCACTCTAAAGATTTTGGTAGTGGGTTCCCCATGAACAACGGCACGAAGAACCTCACACAAGAGGAAGCGGTAACTATCAACCTTTTCATATCTCTCTCTCACTCCTGTTGTCTTGTCCTTTATATATCGTTCTTTAAATATACAGTGCTTGTCTATTCTGCTCTCATTGATATGCCATTAATATGATACTTATACAACATATATAAAACAATATACATTTCCTCCAAAGCTAAACCTGCTCAGTTTATCCTGACCGTCTTGCTGTCCTCTTCTGTGTCTGCAGGACTATGCCCGCAGCGGCTGGAACCTGAACGTGATGCCAGTGCTGGAGCAGTCCCTGCTGTGCCACATCAACGCAGACATCTCTGGCATGAAGGTGCCCTGGCTCTACGTGGGCATGGTCTTCTCAGCTTTCTGCTGGCACATCGAAGACCACTGGAGCTACTCCATCAACTACCTGCACTGGTAAATAGGACACTAACTTTACAGTACACAAAACGTTACAACCCCTACAGTAGACATGGGGTATTAATAGGTAGTTCATCTGTAGATAGTTGAGATTGTCCTTTTATGGCCAATAGCTTTATACAGGATTATAGATGTACTGACTGATAGATGTGGTTAGTGAGAAACGCTGTTCTCATCTCCCCCCTCTCTTTCTGTTCCCCTCTCTCCCTCTGTTCCCCTCTCCCCCCTCTCGCTGTTCCCTTTACCTCTCCCACCTCCCTCTGTCCCCCTCTCCCACCTCTGACCCCTCCTCCTCCAGGGGTGAGCCTAAGACGTGGTACGGGGTTCCCTCTGTAGCAGCAGAGCAGTTAGAGGAGGTAATGAAGAAGCTGACCCCAGAGCTGTTTGAGTTCCAGCCTGACCTCCTCCACCAGCTGGTCACTATTATGAACCCCAACATCCTCATGGCCCACGGGGTCCCGGTACGTCACACACGTGTACATTATGTACAGACATACACACACACCAGAGTATGTGAGTGGAGTTGAGCGAGGAGTGGAGCGTGCCCAATTTGACTGGAGCGAGTTTCCCAAAGGTTGGAGCGTCGGCCTTCTCACCTGCTCCAGTTTAGCTCCAGTAGCGCTCACTTCACCAGCTCAGGGCATGCCGTCCCAGCATGCATTTGTAGTCTACTTGTGTGCTGCTATAGCCCCTTGATTTAGCTACTCTCATGGAGTTTGCTAAATATTGTCATAAAGAAACTGATAAAACACACAGGTGCAAAATCAAGGTGACTTACAAAGATGAAGAGGACCAAGTGCAAGAGAGAGAGAGTGTGGTGATGTAGTGTCCACAACTAAAGAATCATTGTGGAATCTGAAAAGACACGTATCCCGAAAGCATGATGGTGTACTTGGTACGTGCACATGCTAACAGAAATGCATGAGGTGGGTAGCTAGCTAAGTGTGTCATTGTAGAAAAGTATTTATAAACAACAAATCTGATCTCTTAAAAGTTTCGTTCTGTTATCTATACAATAGGCCATCATTGATTTTGGCCCAGTAGGCCTGGCATATTACCTCTTTCAAGGAGCTTTCTGTTTTGATAGGGTTATGTTACTTAAAATCCTTTAGGCCTACATACAGAGAGAAAGAAAGAAAAACGACACCCAGCCTGGCAAGAGTGGCCCGAAGGGTGTTTAGCATCCCCAGTGGCCTCAAGCGCTAAGAGGGTATTCTCTGCTGCTAGCCTGCTCTCCAGGCACCATCGCATGAGCTTGAAGCCACAGACTGGCCAAACTCATGTTTCTAAAAATGAATTAAAAGGCGCTGTAATTTGTAATTAATTCTAAGGAAATAATTAGGCTCCCTGTCTGGCTCCTGACCTATTTAGAGTGTTTATATGCTATTTAATACGACATGAGTGCTTCTTACAGTCACCTTTTCATGTTGTTTATTAAAATACTTTTCATTCAAATCATATGGTTTGGTTTCAAAACCAAATGGTAGGTCCAGGTAGGGACAAAAATAGATGGGTGTTGGTTAAATTGTGATTTTAATGAATGGAGCTAATTTGGAGCTGCAGTTTTTTTTTAGTTTGAGTGAGGAGCGTTTTTTAGCGGAGTGGTTGGAAAGGACGTGGAGCGATGCGCAAGCACCATAAACTCTCTTATATCCATACTACACCTCATCATATTATGGAGTTGAGATTATGACAAATAACTGCGAGAAATGTTTGTAAACAATTACCACACTGATGACCCCCTTCCCTTGTTGCATTTGATTGACAGGTTGTGCGCACCAACCAGTGTGCTGGCGAGTTTGTCATCACTTTCCCCAGAGCTTACCACAGCGGCTTCAATCAGGGATACAACTTTGCTGAAGCTGTCAACTTTTGCACTGCAGACTGGGTAAGGCTATCATCCGTGTCCTGAGAATTAAACCGACTCTGATCTTCCCAACTATGTCTATACCCCAATGGGAGTTTCATACGTTGTTTTCACCCCGTCAGCTCCCCGCAGGGCGCTCCTGTATCGAGCACTACCGTCGTCTGCGGCGGTACTGTGTGTTCTCCCACGAAGAGCTGACCTGTAAGATGGCCGCATGCCCAGAGAAGCTGGACCTCAACCTGGCCGCCGCCACACACCGAGAGATGTTCAGCATCGTCCAGGAGGAGAGGGAGCTACGCAAGAGCCTGCTGGAGAGGGTGAGGCTAATACACTTGAAGTTGAGCGAGTGTGAGAGACGGGAATAGATGCTTGGTCTGGGTTTCCTATAGGACTGGCTGTGGTTTGGTCACTGACTTGAGCAGTCAGTGAAATTACTTTGTGGTTTGTGTGAGCAATTTGATTGATTGTTGTGGCTTCTTGCGTTATATTGACTATTTGGTTTATGTGAGTTTGTAAGAAATGTTGGTGGTGTTTGTTGTGTAATACTGACTGTATGTAAAGCAGTGTTGCTCGGCTGTGTGTTGTGGTTTCCTTAAGCCCTGTGTGTGTTCTCTCAGGGCATCACAGAGGCTGAGAGGGAGGCGTTTGAGCTGCTACCTGATGATGAGAGGCAGTGTGATAATTGCAAGACCACCTGCTTCCTGTCGGCCCTGGCCTGTTCAAACTGCCCTGAACGCCTCGTCTGTCTCTACCACACTCAGGACCTCTGTAACTGCCCAACTGACAAACTCTACCTCAGGTACTACGGACTGTCTGTCTGTCTGTCTGTCTCGCTCGCTCACTCTCGCTCTATGTATCCTTTATTTACCACTAGCGCCTTACACCTGTCTCCTCCTCCGTTTTCTTCTCCCTGCAGGTACAGGTACACTCTGGATGAGCTGCTGGCCATGTTACACCGGCTCAAAGTGCGAGCCGAGTCGTTTGATTCCTGGGCCAACAGAGTGAAAGAGGCTCTGGAGCAGGAAGAGGGCAACAAGATAGGTAAGAACTACACACCCTTAGACCCAAACCATAAACTTGACAAGAATAACACTCAATACTCTTCTGTAGCTGAATAATGTCCCCAAAGAAATGTCTTAAGAGTGAATAAAAAATGCATATTGACATTGAGTTCATGGTTCTCCAGGCATCACGGATCTGGAGGTGCTGAAGGCAGAGGCAGCAGAGAAGAAGTTTCCTGACAACGAGCTGCTCCAGAGACTCAACACTGTCATCACTGACACGCAGCACTGTCAGCAGACCAGCACTGAGCTCCTCAACAAGACACAGACCAGGTAACACACACTGCCATACCCAATGCATTTAGCTCCACAGTGACATACACGATAACAAACATTGCTGTGTATGTGTTGCAGGAGGATGACCCTGGCTGAACTCAAGGCTCTAGTGGAGAAGATGGAGAACCTGCCCTGTGTGATAAGCCAGCTGGAGGACGTACAGGTCAGGATCCACCAGCTACATTGTCCGGCCCTCTCTTCCTTCCCTACTTCCTCTCATTCCTTTTTAATTCCCCCTCTCTCAGGCGGTCCTGCGTACGATAGAGGCGTTCCAGACTCAGGCCCAGGCTCTAGTGAGCGACAGGGACTGGCGGCGAGACTCCCCTCCCCCAGAGCAGCTCCAGGCCCTGTTGGAGCAGGGGGCTGGCCTACTTGTTGATGCCCCAGAGTGTGAGCTCCTCAAGGGGATGCAGGAGCAGGGCCGCTGGCTGGGCGAGGTGCGGCGGACCCTGGGGCCCGAGGGGAGTGAGGTGACCCTGGTGGTCCTCAGGAACCTGATGGAGGCGGGCTGCATCGTGCCCCAGAGCGTCTCTGTGGAAACGGCCATGGCAGAGCTGCAGGAGTTGCTGACGATAGCAGAACGCTGGGAGGAGAAGGCCCAGATCTGTTTGGAGCAACGGTGAGGGACACCTCATACTGACTCACGCTTTCATTCTCTCTTTCACCGTCACTCTTTCTCTTCTCACTGTCTCACCCACTCATTCATCTCTCTTTCTCTCTTTTTCTTTTAGCCTCGACTCACTGTTCTCAGGTTGTTTTGCTCTTCCTAATGTCCTCTCTCTCTCCCGGTGTGATTGTAGGCAGAAGCACCCTCTGTCCACCCTGGAGGCCATAGTGAACGAGGCCCAGCTCATCCCAGTCAAGCTGCCCAACATCCTGTCTCTCCAAGGCTGTCTGAGCCGGGCCAGGGCCTGGGTCACTGACCTGGAGGAGATCCAGGCAAGTAGCACCAACTCTTACTGTCTATCATAACCTGGGTCACATTTAATTGGCAAACGTTGTGCAATGTTGCAAATAGGAAGTGCATGGACACAGCTGAGCGGACGTTAATTCCTTATTCTGTCAGAGAAGAATGCTTGTTCTACAATATACATGTCTATGACAATGTTCCACAATGTTGTGCCCTGCTAAACGTAACCCTGGCTTGTCCTCTGTTAACATCCCCTTCTCTTCCTCTGTGTGTACTATAGAATGGGGAGCACTACCCATGTCTGGATGACCTGGAGGGCCTGGTGGCGATAGGTAGAGACCTGCCAGTCAGGATGGAGGAGCTGAGGCAGCTGGAGCTGCAGGTAGCCAGCGCCCACTCCTGGAGAGACAAGGCCTCCAAGACCTTCCTGAAGAAGAGCAGCCAGCACAGCCTGCTACAGGTCAGAGAGGCCAGGGGTGGAGAGTGTGTGGGCCTTTTTAGTTCTTTATTTACAGTTGTTTTGCCCCGCACTGATTAAAAATGATTTGCTGCACATATCAATCACGCTTAATGGATAGGGAGGGAAGCCTTGGGACATAATCTCAATATCTATCTACAGACTTTGTTGAACTAAGTCTTGGGTGTATGTTAACATTGTCAGCCCTAAGATGTCTTTATATGTGAGTGTGTTAGCCAGTAATGTAGTTTGTGTGTGTGTGAACGTGTGGCTCTTACTAACGCCATCAGCATCACAACTTTGTCTTGCTGCAGGTGTTGTGTCCATGTGTGGAGATGCGCAAAGAGAGGGGAGAGGAGACAGATTGTTTAGATGACACCGATACAAACACTCTGGGCCTCTCTGCGCAGGACCTGAGAGACCCTGGAGCCATTGTGAGTCTGCATGGGGTCTGCCCTAGCCAGACAGTATGGCTGTCAGGTTCTAGTCTGTTCAGTGTGTTAGTGTTACCTACCAGTGTCAGAATCTCATATCCAAATCCAACAACTTGATTTGTCCCCTTAAGGCAGTTTCTATTAGGGCTACAGTGATGCTTCAGTCACATACAAATAACATGCAGAGACCATAAAAAGTGCAGTGCATAATCCGTCTGTCCCCCTCTAGGTGACGGCGTTTAAAGAGGGAGAGCACCAGGAGAAAGAGGCTCTGCTGAGGCTCCAAAAGGTCAACCTGTCTAAACCAGGTGTGGAGAAGACCGCAGAGAAAGAGGTAAAGACAGAGCAGGAGGACAAGGAGAACGGAGGTGGGAGGTGGGGGGAGGACCTCATGGAGCTAGGCACACCCCTCCACTCTGAGAACGGGGACAGTAACCACACGATGACAGGCGGTGCCTCTCCTCCTCAGTCAGTGTGTGTGTGTGGCCGGGCGCCTCGCCCCCCTCTGCTGCGTTGCCACCTGTGTAAAGACTGGTTCCACGGTGGGTGTGTCCCGTTCCCCTCCCTCCTGCTCCCCTCCTCAGCGCCCCCTACCAACCCCCTCTGCTGGTGGGACTGGGACTCACGCTTCCTGTGCCCGCGGTGCCAGCGCTCGCGGCGCCCGCGTCTGGAGACCATCCTGGCCTTGCTGGTGGCACTCCAGAGGCTCCCCGTCCGTCTGCCAGAGGGAGAGGCCCTGCAGTGTCTCACAGAGAGGGCCATCACCTGGCAGGGGCGCGCCAAGGAGGCACTGGACACCCCAGAGATAAAGGGGGCACTAGAGAGGCTGCAGGAGCTCAAACAGAGCCAGCCTCACAGGGAGGGAGAGGAGGAGGAGCAGGAGGAAGAGGATGGGAAGAAAGGGAACTCTGAGTCGGTGATAGTGCTGTCAGATTCAGAGGGAGTGATAGACCTCACAGAGGAGAACTCTCCCAAGAAAACCCTGAAGAAAGAGATGAACGGCGGCAGGCAGGCTGGATGTGAAAACGGCGTAAGCAAGAAAGTAATGTCTCACCACAATGTAACAGGTTAGTAGCCAATATTGTAACAACTCCAGTCCATGATGTTGATGTAACCCAGTAGACTTTTTCCCTGTGTCTGACTGTACCCCTCTGCACCTCCACCCAGGTGTGGGCTCTCTGCTGCCGCTGGTCCCGTCACTAAAAGGCCCAGTGATAGAGCTGTCTCCGGCCACCAGGACCCAGCTAGAGGAGTTACAGCTGGAGGGAGACCTGCTGGAGGTGTCTCTGGACCAGACCAGCACCATCCACAGGGTCCTCCAGGCTGCTTCAGAGCCACAGAGACACACACTCCGAACACTCATACTGGTGAGTGACCAGGAAACCTTTACCTTTAGCTGTGTATGTTGTAATAACTCCTATGGTGTTGTTGTCCTTTTACATGTCCAATATATTATGTTTTTGTCCTGACCCCCCCTCTCTTCAGATTGAGCTCCAGGAGCAGAAGGGAGCGGGCCATGGGGGGCGGGCCAAAGACTCCAAGAGGAAGAGGAAGAGCCAGAGGGTCGACACAGAGGCGGAGGGAGTACCCCGGTCCCAGGACACTTCAGAGTCCAAGAAGAACCGGCCCCTCAACCACACTCCCTCCCACATACCCATCCAGACGCACCCTGAGGTAACCCTCAGACCCCCTCGCTTTTGTTTTGCTCTTTGGTTTATATTCTATTTTTAGTTCCTACTTGTGTATTTCTTTAAAACTTTTGTTCAAGAGATAATTAGTTACATGACTTGTTTGAAAGAAGTTGAACTAGTTAAACTCATGCTTCTCTCTCGCTCTCCAACTGTCTTTGTCTCCCTCTCTCTGTCTCTCTCCCCCTCACTCAGATCTTGTGAGATGGTTATGGATGCAACACTGGAGAAAGGAATGGTCAAACGTTTGGAGATAAATAGAATGGACAGATCATTCTGGGCTGGAAGACAGCGTCAAACTGTGGAAGGAAAGATGCAGGCCATCCCCCTGTATACAGCTCCCCTGTCTATCCACTGTATACAGCTCCCCTGTCTATCCCCCTGGATACAGCTCCCCCGTCTATCCCCCTGGATACAGCTCCCCTGTCTATCCCCCTGGATACAGCTCCCCTGTCTATCCCCCTGGATACAGCTCCCCTGTCTATCCCCCTGGATACAGCTCCCCTGTCTATCCCCCTGGATACAGCTCCCCCGTCTACCCCCCTGGATACAGCTCCCCCGTCTACCCCCCTGGATACAGCTCCCCCGTCTACCCCCCTGGATACAGCTCCCCCGTCTACCCCCCTGGATACAGCTCCCCCGTCTATCCCCCTGGATACAGCTCCCCCGTCTATCCCCCTGGATACAGCTCCCCCGTCTATCCCCTGTCTTCTCAAACACTAACACAGTGATTATCTCTCTCTTTCTGAGCTCCTACATCTAGATTCTACACTCCTCTGTCTAATTCTCCAGCCCTCCCACTCTATTTCGATCTTTCTCTTCTGCTCTGTACTTTACACCCCCTCTCTGTCTGTCTTTCTCTCTATCTAACCTCCCTCCATCCTCCCAGTGAACGTGTTCGGAGTGTGTGAGCTGGCTTCGTCAAAGGAGAGTCTCTTGGTCTTAATTAGGGATCCAGGTCAGTCTGTCAGTCAGTCGGTATGCTATGTTTTTTCAGCTGTATTAAATGCTAGTTTGGAACAAGCCTCACAGATGGACAGGGGGGTCCGGTTAAGTTGACCCACACACCCACTTACTGAAGTAGAAATGAATGATATTGATTTATTTTTCTGGGGGTTTTGGACATGAAGCTTACTTACAGCTGAAGTTCAGTACAGTGGAAAGTTGTGAATCACAGCAGATCATAGGTGGCGATGGTCACCGTGGTAACTTGTATTTTTTTGTATTTGATCTTATTTGTTGAGGCTGGGTTGTCAGAGGGGATTTTGCATTTTGAATAAAACTCATTTGGATATTTTGGGAATGTTTTTTGGTGCTACTTTCCCAAAATAGGTATCTGTACCTCTTTCATTCTCTCACTACTTTTACTTTCTCTTTCTCAAACTACTCTTTCATTCATTTTGATCCTATGATCCCCTCAGATTTATCCTTTTATTCTGTCCTGTTTTTCAGTCTCCTCATATTTCTTCTCTCTCTATCTCTCCCTATCTCTCGCCCTCTCTATCCATCTCTCCCTTCCAAACTGAAGTAACACTTCACTTTAACTCACTTTATCAAAATTTACTTTGTCTCTTGGTTAAAATAATAATAATAATTATTATTATTATTGGTATTGATATTGCAGACGCAGTTGTCGTGCGTTTGTGTATAAACTTCATTTCAATGTTGCCTTTTTGTTTCTTTTCACTCTTGTTAGAAAATAAAAGTTTAGAATTGTTTTAGGAATCTTTAGACTCCTGTCCTTCTTTCCGTCATGATTTGACAGAGTAGTGCCATTTTTGTGGTGCTGAATCGATCAGTACACCCCGCGTGTTGTGAACCTAAACCACAGGTGCAGTTGTGGTGTTCCTGAGCTTCAGCAACTCCCTTGGGACAGTTTTGAGCATGGAGGAGTATGACAGAAAAGAAGCAAACAATTCAAAGCACAAAATCACTTCAACTATTTTCATTAACAATTTATATAGAAAAGCTTTTATTGTAAAACGTTTATGGACCAGACATCACAGTATACTGAACAAACAGAGCCACATTGTTTTCTAGTCTAAGAATTGAACACATTAAGGACATGTCACATCCACAATTTCACACTGACATTTTGTCACGTTTTTGAAGTATATGTTCCTTATTTATTTATAGTCAACATGCAAGTGAACAAATGTCAAAGAACCACTTTCAACTCCTCAGATTGTGCTGTCATACTGTATAAGTAACTCCATCGTGGAATACGATCGTACCAGCCATCAGAAGATACGTTCAAGAAGATTTCCTCAACTCTCAACCACCAGATATATAGTTGTCATGTTTCCTGTGCTGTGGGATTTGGTGTGCCTTTTTCCTCTCACTGTGCTTCTCAATTTATTCATATTAAAACATGTGCTTATCAGATCTTACCACAATGTAGACGTTTCATTCGTTAGTCAGGGCAGGCTCTATTTTGTCCTTTACGGTGTTCTTGTTGGCCAATGTGCTTTGTATAATCTATGTAAATGCCATACACAAGCTTGTTAGTTGGCATTTCAGGCACTGTCCTTATAAGAATGGTATACCAAAGAAACACTGGTCAATAGCTACAGGTTGGTTTATTTTACCAGCGCTTTCTTTTCACTTCTGTTGTCTTGCCTCCCTGCTTACGTTTATCCTTTTCTCTCAGGCAGAAATTACAGCTTGCAATATGGGTTACCGGTAATTTATCTTCTACACTGTACCATTCTCTCCCTTCTTTCCCTCTCTTTTCCTTCCTCACAGGTGTTGGTGACTAAGGAGAAGGCGGTACAGTCTCTTATTACCCAATTTCCTCCAATTTGCAGTGACAGATCACAGTCGATAGTTGGTTTCTTTCCCTCTCCAAAGCAACCCTCCTCTGCAACCCACTTCCTCTGCACCATTTATTTAAATCACTCCTACACTTCCTCTCTACCTCACTTTGTTTGTCACTCTCCTCTCTTTTCTACCTCTTTCTTTGTCTTCCACCCTCTCCATTAGACAGTGGTGACTGACAGCAGAGGATTGTAGACCTTCTTGCCGTCAGGTGACCTGGTTCCGTGGGCTAGTAGTTCCTGGATGGTGATCCAGTTGTCCAGGATCCTACGGCTCCGTTTCTTCTGGCTCCTCCTGTGGCTCAGCTCCAGGATGGTAGTAGGCTCCTGTCCGTGCGGAGCCCCCTGTTGTCCACCGCCACTCGACTCCCTATCCCTCTCCCTCAGGCAGTCCAGCCTGCTCTGCATCATAAACTCCCTGCGTCTGCGCTGTTCCCTGGCCCTCAGAAGCTGCTGCTTCCTTTCCTCCTTGGACCAATAGCGGCCCATCTTCATCTCGCTGACGGCATCGTCGTCCGTGGTCATGCCACTGCGCTCCTCCCGGATCTTAATGGCCCGGGCCTTCAGGAGGCGGTCCCTAACAGGCCGCTTGGCAACATAGCGGGAGCCGTCGCTGCGTACTTTGACCTTCCACTCCATACGTGGCGAGGCCGGCAGAGGGAGGGGAGGGGAGATGGGTAAGGAGGGCATGGATACAGGGCCCTGGGGGATGTCCTTGCATGTGCTCCCCAGGCTCATGGGACTCTCGCTGCCATCCCTGGGTCTCTCCAGGCCCTCAGATGTGGAGGGGGACCTCAGCTGCATGCAGCTCTGGTAGCGCTGGGGGATTCTGGAGCCAGAGTGGCGGCGGGAAAGATAAGGGCTGTTCTCAGCGCTACGTCCTTCCCTCCCCTCCACTGTCCCATTGGTTTTGGGGCACCTCACCCCTCCGTCTGACACCCTCCTTGCCCCCCCGTCGCGGGATAGGGATCTGAACTTGGTCCCTCTCGGGCTGGAGGTCTTGGCTTCCGCTCCCCTCCTGTGTGAGTTAGGGGAGTAGGGCTGGTTCAGGTTAGCCTGCCCCCTCTCACTCCTGCCTACCCTCTCCCTGTGCCAGCTGGGGGTCCGAGACTGCAAAGAGGCAGAGTCTCCCCCCTCCAAGCTGCTGTGGCCATGTGCAGAGGGGGAAGGATACTGTTCGCTGACCAGAGGGGTGCTCCTGCAGCTCTCCCCTCCTGTGTTGTAGGCGCTGGTGCTGTCCTTGTCTGAGCGCTCCCTCTCAGGCAGCTCATTAATGTCTGACAGTTCATGGTGACAGGACTCCTCGCTAACCAAAGGAGCCACCCGCCCAGCCCCGGCCCCACCTCCAGCCCCACTTTCCTCCTCCAGGGGCCACGCCTTCAGACAGCGCTCCCGGAGCTGCTGCATCTTCTGGGCCCTCAGGATGTTACGACACTTGAACTCCAGGTGGCGTAACTCCTCTTCCAGGAGGGCCATCTCATGCTGCATCAGGCTTTCGTTCCTGTTCACATCCAGAGGAACCCCCCCATCGCCCCCATGCTCCCCCAGCAGCAGAAGAGCATTGCCGTTCTTCTCATAGTAACACTTGATCTCCAGGAGCTCCCTGTACCTCTCACACTCTTCTTCTGTCAGGCCCGGCATCATCATCATCACTGGGTCAGCTGCGTAGACCCCCTCTCCTGCCAGGTCACCTCCTCCTCCCCCACCCAGACAGTCCAGACCCAGTAAAGAGTCAGTGCTGAAGTGGAACTCTGTGGAGTGGCCATGTAGAAGGGGTGGAGTGTCCCTGTCCCCCCGGACAGAGAGGAACCTGCGCATGCTGCCGGGGGTGTTGGTGGCGTTGGTGGTGGGAGCGCTGGTCTGGTCGTCTCCTAGTAGGTCGTGTTCTGAGGACTCCTCATTGCGGGTACTCTCGTCTGTACGGCCTACCCCGCTGTCCAGCTCCTGACTGTTACTCAGCAACGTGTGGAGCAGGTTTGGAGAGTCACGGTGACCCCGCCCGTGGCCAACCACCACACCACCACCCACGACCCCTGGCCCTTCACCCAGCACGGAGGCCCTGTTCCTCAGCTGATGGGGGCTGGGCAGATGGACGGCGTTATCCAAAACCTCCAGGTCCAGTTCATCTGGGTCGAGCTGGTTGTCATTCTAAGTTGGAGAATGTGTTTCACGGATTGTGTTTGTTTTGTTGTTTGATTGCCGTCATGGTTTCGTTGTTGAGTTGGTGTTATTGAGGCGGGAAAAGGTCAAAGGAGAAAGGAAAAGAAAGATTTGAAATGATATATCAGATTAAACAGGTTCAATGTCTTGTACTCTTGGGAACCTCCTTACAACGTGTTAGAGGTATGTCTGTTAGTGTTTATCTCAGTCACTAGATGGCGGTAGGAGTCAAAGTAATGTGTGATTTCATTACCATTTTAAAGGCATTTTTACTGAGGGGTATTTTCCACTGAGCTGTCTGGATGAATAGAAGGAAAATTGGGCCCAAAGGTAAATGTATGCACATGCATGCACACCCACCCACCTAACTATATGCATGCATGCATGCACACACGTGCACTTACATGCGCGCACACACACACACCACCACCGCAGTGTGTTTTTACTACCAAATCCCTTGTTTTAATTTACTCCCTTTATCCCCCTGAGTTATTGATCAAATGTGTATGTAAATACGCTGCTGTAATTCAGTAAACAATTCACCCCTCAGAGTGGAGATGATCACATTTAACCCTTAGAAACCCGGACCCAGTTTTCCTTGCATAAAAAAATCAGAAGTGAAAGGAGACCCCAAATAACGTATTTCTGGAAAATAAATATAAAAACTGTTGGTATGCATAAAATCTATGCAAATGTGTGGTTTGTATCACTTAATGCCCTATGTTACATATATGTAACAAACTTTCAAGTGACTATCCTTTGCCAAAACATTTACTCAGGCATCTTTGGACATTTTTTATTTGTTTTGCCAATGGTCATAGTGTCATTACAAAGATCGTCCACCAGATTGTGCCAAAAGTGTTTATTGCGATCTCTTCAAGATATTAATTTCCTTTTATGTATTGATCGTGCACAGACACTTTACCATGTGTTTAAAGGCAATGTTACATATATGTAACATTGGGCTTTAAAGGGTTAATTGATTTGGTTTAAACTTGAATTGTTTAACTAGATTCAGGCTGAGACATGGAAACATTGATTATCCTCATCTTATTATTATTCTAACAACCCCTTTATTTCATTTTCTCTCGCTCTCTCTTGCTCTTTCCAGACCGTTGAATAAACCCTTAATATCTGCACATATATACTTTCCTTGGATGATCCCCATCTCTTCTCCTCTCTTCCCTCTGTGTTTTCAATGTGAGACTATACTTTATCAATGAATCTTATTATAGTTAAATTTTTTGTACGATTTTATTTATGATCCTTAAAAATAAAAATAAAAATACTAAACATACACATACCATCGACAACATACAGACGCACACCAACATCACCCCTGCCCAGACCCACCTGCTCACACCCCCATCTCCAGCGCCCGCATCACTCCCTGCCACATGGCCTCAAACTGCACTATTTTGTTTCTCCGTCTCCCACACAGTTTCAACATTTTAGATAACTAATTTGGCCTTTCCGTTGTGTTAATGATGGAGGATTGGTTGATTTCCATTTTTTAAGTATACGTTTTTCAAGATGATTTACTAGAAAAGTATCTTCCAACCCATCGGGTATCTCACTGAACCCTCATATGCCATGTCTTGAAATATGCAGACAGACAGAGTAAAAGTACATTTACATTGTAATACTTCTGACAGCCAACTTTCCAACTCCACCCACAACTCATGGACTTTATAACATTCCCAGAAGGCATGGATTATTGAGTCATTGTTATTTTACACTTAAGACATGACTGCCATTGTGCTGTAGAATTTGTGAATTTTGTCTCTTGTGTAATGCATTTTACACATTAGTTTATACTGGATTAAGCGTACATTTTCATTAACTGTAATTTCGTTAGTTATAATATGTTCCAACATTCCCTCCATCTTGTGTCAATATCAGTTATTTTTAATTCTTGGTTCCAGTAGTTTATATTGTTTTCTAAGAGATTGTCGGGTGGATAGGCTCTCTGCAAGGTTTTGTATGTCTTGCCTATCATATGAATATCATTTTCTGACTCAAATAGGGTTCCCTCAAGATTGCTCTGACATCCAAAATATTTGATATGAAATATTTCAATTGCATGTATTTGAAAATATCTAAATTTGTCAGTCCAAAATTGCTTTTTAATTATTTAATGGAAATGCATTTATTTCCTATTACCAAGTCATTTACGGTTTCTATGCCTTTAGTTTTCCATGTGGAACAATTTATCTGTGAATTCTGAAAAGCTATCCAAAGATTGTTCCATGGGGTTGTGTTTTCAGGGAGTGATATTGGTTCTTGTTGAATACATTTCATTTTCTTCCATATTGTTATGGCGTTCTTAACTATGAAGTTGTTCATCTTATTTATTGTTATTCTAGCTGCAGATTTGGTCAACCCTGCATCTCACTTCTTTCTGCAGATTCGAGGGTGCCAGATGAATAAAGGGAAGGTGAGGGTACTTGCAGTGGTGACTTTGTCTGGGTAGCAGGCTACATTACATTTAATGGCCCTCTCTTAAATCTGCCCTCTAGCTCATTCTGGGCTGAATGTGGACTGCATTCTGATTGCAACACTCTTAGAGTGTCTCAGAGCACAATCATTTGTTTTTGTATGGGTGTGTGTCTATGCCTAATTCATCACTCTCAGTATAAAAATGGTATACTATGCCATCCCATCTGGAGGTGGGTGTGTATATATATTATGGGATGTCCTGGGACTGTGTCCTCATGTCTGTTGAGCTGTGACCTTGAGGGAAACAAAGCAATGCCACATTGGCATGTACTGAAAACAACCAGGCTCTCCCTCTCCTTCTCCTCGCTAGCTATCGCTCCCGCCCAGCTCCATTTCTCCCTATCTGTCCTCTCATCTGTCTCCCTCTTTACTCCTCTCACCTTTCCTGTCTCCTTACATGGGTAAACAGGGTAGGGGGAGATTCATAGCTCCAGTCTTATTTATTTTAAACAAATGGTGTACCTCTAGTGTAGAGGTTCCGATATGACCTGTCTTTATGTCAGGACCTTGAAATGCTTCTTACGAAGCCACTCCTTCGTTGCCTGGGCGGTGTGTTTGGGATCATTGTCATGCTGAAAGACCCAGCCACGTTTCATCTTCAATGCCCTTGCTGATGGAAGGAGGTTTTCACTCAAAATCTCACGATACATGGCCCCATTCATTCTTTCCTTTACACGGATCAGTCGTCCTGGTCCCTTTGCAGAAAAACAGCCCCAAAGCATGATGTTTCCACCCCCATGCTTCACAGTAGGTATGGTGTTCTTTGGATGCAACTCAGCATTCTTTGTCCTCCAAACACGACGAGTTGAGTTTTTACCAAAAAGTTCTATTTTGGTTTCATCTGACATTTTACATTTTAGTCATTTAGCAGACGCTCTTATCCAGAGCGACTTACAGTTAGTGAGTGCATACATTCTTTTTTAAAAAAATTTTTTTCATACTGGTCCCCCCGTGGGAAACGAACCCACAACCCTGGCGTTGCAAACGACATGCTCTACCAACTGAGCTACATCCCCTGCCGGCCATTCCCTCCCCTACCCTGGACGACGCTGGGCCAATTGTGCGCCGCCCCATGGGTCTCCCAGTCGCGGCCGGCTACGACAGAGCCTGGATTCGAACCAGGATCTCTAGTGGCACAGTTAGCACTGTGATGCAGTGCCTTAGACCACTGCGCCACTCGGGAGACTATGACCATATGACATTCTACCAATCCTCTTCTGGATCATCCAAATGCACTCTAGCAAACTTCAGACGGGCCTGGACATGTACTGGCTTAAGCAGGGGACACGTCTGGCACTGCAGGATTTGAGTCCCTGGCGGCGTAGTGTGTTACTGATGGTAGGCTTTGTTACTTTGGTCCCAGCTCTCTGCAGGTCATTCACTAGGTCCCCCCGCGTGGTTCTGGGATTTTTGCTCACCGTTCTTGTGATCATTTTGACCCCACGGGGTGAGATCTTGTGTGGAACCCCAGATCGAGGGAGATTATCAGTGGTCTTGTATGTCTTCCATTTCCTAATAATTGCTCCCACAGTTGATTTCTTCAAACCAAGCTGCTTACCTATTGCAGATTCAGTCTTCCCAGCCTGGTGCAGGTCTACAATTTTGTTTCTGGTGTCCTTTGACAGCTCTTTGGTCTTGGCCATAGTGGAGTTTGGAGTGTGACTGTTTGAGGTTGTGGACAGGTGTCTTTTATACTGATAACAAGTTCAAACAGGTGCCATTAATACAGGTAACGAGTGGAGGACAGAGGAGCCTCTTAAAGAAGAAGTTACAGGTCTGTGAGAGCCAGAAATCTTGCTTGTTTGTAGGTGACCAATACTTATTTTCCACCATCATTTGCAAATAAATTCATAACAAATCCTACAATGTGATTTTCTGGATTTTCTTTTTTCTCAATTTGTCTGTCATAGTTGACGTGTACCTATGATGAAAATTATAGGCCTCTCTCATCTTTTTAAGTGGGAGAACTTGCACAATTGGTGGCTGACTAAATACTTTTTTCCCCCACTGTATATCAGATAGTATACCAGAGGGTCTCTCACCTCTATTTCGGGCCGGGCCAGGAGCAGGGAGATGTTGGTGCTGTCCTCCTGGGTCAGAATGGCCACCGCCTCTTCTCTGTTCTGGATGTCCACCCCGTTTATCTGAGACAAATTCACATCAGAAATGTACTTGTCTGACCCTGCTTTCTGCCATAAGTTATAATAGAACGTTATCTGAAATGTTTCTCTCGACAATCCTACCTGTAAGATTCTATCCCCCTCTCGGATGCGGCCATCCATAGCAGCTATACTATTGGGGTTGACCTGGAGAGAAGTATGAAAAATGTATGCACTCACTAACTGTAAGTCGCTCTGGATAAGAGCGTCTGCTAACTGACTAAAATGTAAAAATGTAAATGAGAGAGAGAGGATTAGGTTAGCTGGCAAATAGTCGAGCAAGGATAACCCTCATCCTCACTCCCATCCTCCTCACCTCGCCCACATAGATCCCCAGGTCCTCCTCATCGTCTGTCCGGTAGCACACCGTTAACCCTAGCTTGTCCTGCTGACGAGACTTATACAGCTCTACCTCCTATTGAAATGCGTGGCAGAGAAAAATACATTATGAATGACAAGGTAAACACCTGAACACTGGTAATGGAGATGGAGAGGGCATGAAGAATGGGATTGTTGTTGAATTACACGGTAGGCAATTTGATTTGAAAGGAAAATGTAGCCTCACCTCGTACTCCAACTCATCCTGCCTGAGATCCACCTCATGCTGAGTGATGTCAAAGTAGTCATTGGGTTCATAATATTCAGGCTCTAAAAGGCTGAGAAGAAAACATAGAGAATATGTCAGTGTATCAACATTTAAGCAGGGCTACAAACTTCAGAGCTTTCAAACATCTTAAGAAAATTGAAAAATAAATTGAATTCTCTCTCTCGCTCTCACACACACACTCCACTCACAGCTCGTTGAGCAGGTAGGGTTCCAGGATGGGTGGCAGCGGAGGGGAGGGGGGCGGGTGAGGGGGCGGGGCTCCACCTGGGTGGTGGGCGGTCCTTCCCAGAGTCAACATGTGTTGGAAGCTGATGTCAGTCTGAGTGCCACTGTCCACACAGTCAGTCAGCCCCCCTGTAACTGCTACTGTCCCGTCTAGCCCCGCTAGTCGCCCTGCCAGTCCCGCCCGTCGCCGGGCCCCCCTCTTCAACACGTGAGACAGCAGGGGGTCTCGCACATCCAGGGTGGGGTCCCCTGAGAGACAGGACAGCTCCTTACCATTCACCTAGAGGAGGAGCGAGATCAGAGGTTAGATAGGAGAATGTAGTGGAAAAGGAGAAGAAAGAAAGAGTAGGGGAGTGCACTCAGAAAAAAAGGTGCTATCTAGAACCCAAAACGGTTCTTCGGATGTCCCCATAGGAGAACCCTTTGAAGAACCGTTTTGGGTTCCATGTAAAACCCTTTACAAAGAGGGTTTTAGATGGAACCCAAAAGAGATATACCTGGAACCAAAAAGGGTTCTACCTGAAACCAAAAAGGGTTCTCCTATGGGGACAGCCAAATAACCATTTTTTCTAAGAGTGTGGTGAAGAATGATTAAACACAAAGGAGTACAAAGACATGGCACATACAGAGGGAGATGTGGAGAGATAGACCAACACGAAGGAAAATAAGCAATTTATAGAGAGAGTAAGGGCAATGAGTGGGTGGTAGAGATTGGAGACAGTGTGTGATTACAAAACATGTGCACCAAAAAGGACTATAGATAGCAGACTTTGAGCCACATTAGCGGAGCTCTCACTAGACATACAGACAGACCAGGTTAGTTCACTGTGTGTTAGACTGAGGAGGAGAATACATGAACGCAACACATACAGACAGGCCTAAAACACAGAGCTAGGGTTAGTCAGCCAACAGATAGCCAATGAAGATAACAGAGAATAACACAGTACACCTCAACACATAGAGAAATGTGTAGGTTTAGAGAGTGTTAATAATACCCACATCACATGTAGGGTTACAAAGGCACATCACATGTAGGGTTACAAAGGCACATCACATGTAGGGTTACAAAGGCACATCACAGTACGTGGTACATTTCTCTCAACTAAAAAGGTTTTGATATCACAGAGGGGGAGAATAAAGACTTTATACTGAGACCTTAAATCGACCTTCTCCATCAAAAGGACACAGCATGTTACTTATTTGACCCTTCTGTGGAGAGATAGAGGGAGAGCAATGGAATCATTAGAGAAGAGAACATTTACGTTAATAGGGTAGGTTCTGAGGAAAAGGTGAAAGCGCTATTTTGTTGTAAGGAAATGGGTTATTACTGGTTGAGAGAATTGTTGCCTGTTGGTGGGCTAGTCTCTGTATTAGTCCTAAATCCCTCTGCATGTGTCTAACCATGCTGTACATGATCCTCTCTTTAGCCTCGTTTATGCCTGGCGCTAACATGCATGCTTTGTCCTGATCTTGTCCACATTCTGATTGTGTCCACATTTTCAGAACTATGTCTACACATGGTATTAGAATGTGTCTCATATCCGTCCACTGTGTCCGCATTGTGACCAGATTTCCTGTTCCCTTCCTGTAAGCAAATTATTTGACAGCCATTCTTTCAACATAATATTTATTTCCTTATTTTAATACACATTTTGATGTCATAATTCAATGATGGCACCTGTCCATGATTTTAGAAGGTGGGATAATGATGATGTAAATGGTTTCACTGTCCAGATCCCTCTACACTTGCTAACATGTGCCTCACTACCTCCGAAGGTGGTCAGGAAGATCTGATCTCAATCAGACCACAATGTGTCTTTTAATCGTCTACACCTGTCTGGAAATGTGGGCACAATCAGAATGTGGACAAGATCAGGACACAACTCACATAGAATACATCTCTGTGTAAATCAACGTGTGCCAACCCAGCCTAATAGATAAACCCTCTCTAGTTTCCTGATGATCTAAATGGTCTGTGACGACCAGTTTCATAGTTAGTGTACCATGCTCCGCTCTGCCTCAGCCAAGGGAGCAGCAAGAGAGAGCAAGAGAGAGACAGAGTAGAGAAAGCAGAGAAGGAGACAGAGAGAGAGAGGAGAGAGAGAAGACGACGAGAAGCAGATGAGAGAGAGAGATGAGAGGAGAGTACGAGTAGGAGATTAGATGAGAGAGATCAGAGCTGCTCGCTCGAGTAGAGAGAGCGAGAAGCGAGCCTCCTATATCTAGCTCTCTCTCTTCTCTGACTCTCTCTCTCTCTAGCTCCTCTCTCTCTCTCTCCTCTCCTCTCTCTCTCTCTCCTCTCTCTCTCTATCTCTCTCTCTCTCTCTCTCCTCTCTCTCTTCTCTTCTCGCTCTCTCTCTGCTCTCTTCTCTGTATCTCCACATCTATGATGTTTGCCCCCCTGCCAGTTGATACAGAGAGAGGCAGATAGAGGGGGATTTATAATTAGGGATTATGGGTGTAGATCTGCTGGAGGAATCTGATTGAAATAGCAGGGATGTTGCTTTGGGGGCGACTGAACTGTCTCCATAAGGGAAGCAGTGATACTGGTCAACTGATGCAAGACCCCCCAATATTAAGTATGTTAAGAGGTGAAACATCAAGTCACCATATATGCCCCTCTTTGACCAAATGGTAATGTGCTTTTTGGCGTGTATAGAATCTGCTGGTTGAAGTCATGAGCATACTGCACACAGCTGGGCGAGTGTGCGCGTGTGTGTGTGTCACAAGTGTGCCTCCATATGTTTTAATGGAGACCTGTAGACAGTATTGAGGTGCTCTGAGTGACAAGACAGACACCCAGGCATACAGACATTGTGTTAGTGCACTCATGGTCACACACCGACCTTGGCTGTCTGGGGATTTCCACATCTTTATACCCTGCTTCCATGCCTCCATCGTTCCCCTCTCTTTTCCTGTCCCCTTCAAATAATTGCAATTCAAATCGATGTTCCCCTGTGCAGTCAACCACAAAAACGTTCTTGCCACATTGGCTTTCTATTATTTTCCATTTGGTTCTGGCTCTCCATACCTTTCTGTACCTCCTCTCTCACTCTACAAGATTTCTTTGCTCACACCTCTTTCCAAACCCCACTCCCCTCCCATTGTGTCTCCCTCTTCCACTCTCCCTTCTGTCGCTCTTTGCCTTGCCTGCATTTACTCTCTCTCTCTCCCTCTCCTCATGCTGCCTCAGCACTGTTCTTTCTCCAGCCCCTCGCTAGAGGATACAAAACATGCTCCTATGTCTGTGCCATTTCCTTCCCTTGCCTGTTTGTCCTTCCCATACTAATGGCCCTCCATAAATCTCTGTCTCTCTCACCCTCTTAATGAGTTCTTTCACTTGAAGACAAATAAGAAACCTCATTTTTTAATGGCATCTTACGCCTTGCCAAATAGAGTTAACAGTGTGAAGCGTAACTGTAGTTTTCATTCAAGTCTAATGAAATTGTCCCCTACAAAAGCTTGTCATGCAACTGAATCAAGCATTTTTCTTGTCTTTTTTTACTCTCTCTTCTTCTCTATCTCTGTATGGTTCCTATTATCTTTGTTTGTCTACACATTATAGGAACCAGGTGAGATGGAGCATTTCAGACAGTGAATTGTTTTTCTCCTGTAACACCATCACCAGGACCAATGAGGGATAGGGTATATAGAAGAATAGCCCTTTGGCCATAACTGACAGTCTGAGAACTTAGATTGGAAGGATAATTCATCTTGACATGTTGTGCAATGAATTATACATCCAGTGGTCCATTATGTCAGCTGATTTCATGACCTATAACCTCTGACCTTTGCAGTGTCCCATATTATCCAATGACAGTCAAGTCGAATTGCCGATGAGAGAGAGCAGGGTGTGTATTGCTCATTCCTTCACTAAAGTTATATTAAATAACAGGCGTGAATTGAGACTGAGTTCCGTGCCGTTAAATATTCCAGTTATTCCCTACAATATTCGGATTAGCACAGTAGGGGGGTGGTTGGGAGAAGCTGTGTAACGAGTGGTGGGGGTGAAAGAGAGAGGGAGATGAAAGAGAAGCAGGGGGTTCAAAGGAATGAGTGAAAAAGCGAGGGAGAGACGCTGATGGAGAGCAGCACAGGGGGAAGGGGAGGTAAAATGATGAAGGGTGGTGAGGAAGGAGGAGTGAAATACAAGGACAAAGAAAGAGGGAAAGAGCTTTCGAGGAATCATAGATTGCAAGTTAATAATTAAATTTGACTCATTTTGGGTTTGAATGTCTCATAGCTCCATGCTTGTTGGTAAAGTAAATAGTGGAAACACACAGAGGAACCCCCAGGGAGATGTGTTAGTGGTTGAGGCTTAATGAGATTTTATCTCCAACCTTTTAGCTGCAGATTGATTGAATATCTACAGTACACCAGACTCTGGGAGAGGACATGCTGGGAATGGGTGGTGTACTCTACACCCACCTAAACATATGAGCAGTGAAGCAGGATTTGTCAAATGTATCGACTCATAAACTCTATACTGACGCGTATTCTTCCCTGTGAATAATTTCGCTTATCACTAAAACAATTTGCATAAAAATGAATGACAAAAACTCCAAATGGTTTCCCTCCTTTTTTGTAATGGCGGCATGCTGACCGTGCCCTGCTGCCCTTCACATATTGAATTATACTTGTTGGGTAATAGATTTTTCTCATCTCCCATGCTTTGAAGGGTGTAGAAGTCCCCTCTTCACAAAATCAATTATATCTGGAGACATGCTCAGTGCCTTCTGGTTCTAACCCCAGCTGTTTGATATCACAGAGGGACATTTATACAGACCAGTGGGCAGTGGTTGAGCTCAGACATAGACAAATATTAGCTGCTCAAACATTCAGGGAAATTGGGAATCTAATAAGCGTATTTTGGGTTAATAGATTGATTCTCAGAAACACCATTATCAACAGAGCTATCAATACCAAAAGAGGTATTTGGCTGTCCCCATAGGAGAACCCTTTTTGGTTTCTTTAAGCTTATTTAGGAGCTGTACGTATTTGTTATTGTCGAAGAAAGCTGTAATGTATTTCCTCCTCCCTCTTCCTCACCCCACTCTCTCTCTCTCTCTCTCTCTCATCCTGACATGACCAGACATACACCAAAAAACTCCCAAACACACCAACACACACAAACACACACTCCACACACACACACACACACACACACACACACACACACACACACCACACACACACACTTAATCATACAAATAAGCTTTACCAGAGAGAGGTGTTCCCAAGGGGAAAGATACAGGCACCATGATAAAGAGGCAGATGAGTTGAATAATAAAAGGTCTGCTTTGAGGTGAGTCCAAAGCCAATTAGTTAGTCAACAGATATTTCAGTTTATAGATCATTCTCTATGGAAGGCCCATAGACCCTGAACCCTCACTGAAAAAAAGTAATCAGTTTGCTCAGGTTTATCTTTGTCTATGGGAGAATCATAGCTATAAAAGAGGTTCTGTATGCATGAGGAGAATTCCCTCTGAATATGACTGTCTTTTCGCTTAGTTTTTCAGAGCGAGAGAGTGATGGAAGACAGAAGGAGACAGAAGGTGGAAGTGGAATCTCAGTGGGTGTGACCGTGGGGAGCCGTTTGGATATTTGTAGCCAGAGAAGAAGTCAATCAATACACAGATGCTGAGAGGAAGAGGGGAAGAGGGACAGATAAGATTCAATCTAAGACAGGAGATGGAGACAATGAGAGAGACAGATATTGGCTTAGATACAGAAACAGTATGTCAGAGTGCAAAGTCAATATCATTGTCAGGTTGTCATATCACGGCACTCATCGTTGGGATATGTCAATATAATACAATTGGTGTTCTTTATGTGCGTTGATATGAGTGAGTGTGTGTTTATGTATGTGCGTGCATGTCGTCTGTGTACGTACGTGTGTGTACTCTATAAATATGTCAGTAGGCTATCTATGGGTAGCCATGTGTTTGCACAGTGTGTATGTGCACAATGTGTATGTCAGAACTTTTCAGTGTGAAAAAGCACATTAGGCTTGTTTAATGACTTCAGTTGCCGTGGCAACGGCCTCGCATTGAAGCCCATTCTACAGAGAGGGAGAGACCCATTCTACAGAGCGGGAGAGAGAGACCTGAGGAGACGGAGGGGGAGACTGAAGAGGGGTGGGTGGTGCAGCACAAAATGGATACTGTGCTCACTGTGTGGTGTAGATACATGAATGTTCTGGTAAGTTTGCTATGCATTACCCATAAACTCAACTAATGCTTATTGTAAATACATAGACTCATGTAGGCTGTAGACACTGATAAATGAGGTGACCTTTACCACTTTCACCTGGGGAGTGACAGGAGGCAGAATCGAAAATATGGGTGTGTACCATTCACAAGACATGTGCACCCGCCAGCAGCACATTAATACGTTCCTCCGGTAAGAGAAGTATGTATTCAGACAGACAGAACTAGCCTTTCAGTTGAACGTTATGTTTGCTTTATATGAAGAGCAGGGAATTACTCATTGAACTGAGTCTAAATTTGAATGTGTAGTTACGCATGTTTGTGAACAGCCCAGAACAAAGCACCAAAACCTCAAACATGCAGTGTCTTAGAAAGCAGGGAAATGTGGAAAAATGTAATGTTTGAAACCAATCAACCCTTTGTCCTGTTATAAATTCTGTATTTACAATATTGCCTAGAGTTATTTTAATTCAATACTTTTAATTAAATGGAAATACAAAGTGCCTTTGGATGGAAAGCATATTTTATGCCTGAATGTTACTCCTGGTGTGCCTTTGAAACTGCAGAGCTTCATCTTCTGTTATCAAACCGTCAGTGTATCCTGTTTGGAATGCTGACGGTCTATTTACATGCCTGTCTGCTCCTCTTGACACTCCCTTTGCCATCTGGCCTTCCCAGGTTGGGAACACCGATCACCCTTTATATCTGCCAATAGAAGTGGTGTCGGTGTCTCAGTTCTGTGTCTCCTCTGTCTATCTTCAGCCTCTGTGGTCTTTGTAAGCATTGGGTACACGCTTAGAAAAAAAGGTGCTATCTAGAACCTAAAAGGGTTCTTCGGCTGTCCCCATAGGATAACCCTTTTTGGTTCCAGGTAGGGTTCTACATGGAAACCAAATGAGTTCTACCTGGAACCAAAAAGGGCTATGGGGACAGCTTTTTTCTAAGAGTGTACAGACTGATCGGACCACAGAGCAAACAGACATGCTCCTTGCTACATCACCCAGATGGGACAGAGAACAGCTCTCTTCTGCTCAGGCAGAGGAATCAGTGATAAACCACCACTGTTTTAGTCCCCACCACTCCCTGTCTGGATCTCACACAGGGGACTCAGTCTGCCAGTCTGTGGATTTTGTTGTCTGTAAAAGCTGAGCACATTTTGTGTTACTTGAGCTCGCTTCCTTGGGCATACCTTTATGCACAGCTTATTACACAATTGTGTGAATGCTTGATCAGTGAAGTGATATAATCTTCCACTTCATCAAAATACTGACCCTGCATGTGGTCTCTGTCATCATGGCTGACCTCTGTAATGGGGTCACTGAAATTACCGCCAGTCTCCCTTACATGCTCCAGACTACACATACACACACGCGCACGTACTGTACGAACACACACACACATACACACACACGAGGGATCAGCAAAGTCACACAAACCTACCTATTCATCCCAGCTCTGTGAAGCGCTCAAATCAATTACTCCTGTCGTCTGAAGGCAAACAGCAGAAAAGTAAGCCCTCTCCATCCTTCCTTCCCCCTTATTTTTTCCATCCTGTCCTTTCCTTTCTGTGACTCATTACTCTACCACTGGCAGTGCCATGTCATCCCATTGTTCGCTGCTTTGGCTTTGCCTCGGGCACCAGATGCAGTTCTGACGACTGGCACAGACTTACATGTCCTGACTCAATTGTCTTGAAAACACTGAAGTCAGAAGTCTGAGATTTCCGAGTTCCCAGTTCCCAGTTGTTTTGAATCTAGCCAACATCACCATGACATCGCCTGCAAGTGGGATCTGGGATTTCTATTGGAAAAGCAGTTTGTGCCCATCTTCATACTCTACTGTCTTTGACACAACAGTGTCGTTTGTTTTTCTCTACGACATCCCCGTTGTTGATTCCACAAACTTTACGGCAGTCGTCTGAACTCTCTGTTGCGGACTTCGAAAAGGTTTCTCACAAAACCGACTGTCCAGACCGAACCGTTTGAGCAATAAAAAAGCTTCATTGGAGTCTTCTGATGATAACCCAGTACTGGGCTGTAAAATATCACAACGAGCATAGGGGTGCCATGAATAAAGTGACCAAACTAAATACAACCCTGAGTTTCTTATATCTCTCAGATATAGGACAGACAATTCAAAACCTTATTCCTTATGATACATTTTTTGACTGTCTGTTTTGCCATGTACAAATGTGTTAATCAATGCGTTTCTATGGGCAATAGCAGTAAAGGCCAAATTCATTTTTTATTAAAAATGTTATACCTACAGGGGTCCTAAAATTCCAAATCAAATGGCTAAACTATACATTTTATTACCATCTTAAAACAATCCAATATGTTAGCTTAGTAGATATTGCGATCGAAGGGCTTAGACCTACCGGGGTTAAACAGACGTAGGCTTTGGAACGTACATTTCTGTACCTCCATTTAATATGATATATTATGTTAAGTTAAAATGGAATAATAGTCTGGTTACCTAACACAACAACGAAAGTAGGGAGGTTGGTTGGGGAGGATGGGTGGGGTATACCGCGACAGTCTAGCAACCAAAAGTTGCGTGTTCGAGTCGGTGACAACTAGCATTTTAGCTAAGCCTTCCCATAACCCTTGTAACCTTTGTCGTTAGTTCTAACCTGCAATGTCAATTCTCCTAACTTTTGTCGTTATGACGCTACAAGCAGCATGGTCTCAGAGCAATACGTATAATACTATACATCCTCCAAGATGTATGAAACTTTACATCCTCCAATTCGTATGATATTGTACAACCGCTATTCCATTTGTAACGTAACGTAACATATCATACTAAATCGAGGGATACCAATTTACATCCCAAATCCTACAAATTGGAATTCCCAAGAGGCCAGGTTGGCAAAACCTACACAAGACTTGCACACCTAGATGTTCTTACACATATACCGTCTCTCAGTTGCTAAATGCTGCTATTGCTGAGGCTGTAACCGTGGCAACCCTTCGGCGCAACCCCTTGACAATAACTATTTTGGCACTGAGCTAAAACCAAAGCATCTTACAGTATTACCTACAGCATCCCAGTGAAAATCTGGCCCCTCATTGTCTTCCTCTCAGATGTAATTGTGCTCTATAGGGCTTTTCATAATAATTACAATAATTATAACAGAGTATGAATATAGTTATGATTATTAAACTTGCATTATTGCTGCAACTGAGAGAGAATGGTTGTGGTTGCACAAGTACAACTACAAATATATTACTTATCTATCATATTTAATAATGTAAATGCCTGTGTTTAATGAATCATGAATCCTTGGCAAATAACATAAGAATGAATATGCCTGCCTTATGAGTTTTGTCACAATAATAATCATATTCTGTAGAGTGATAATGTTGTTATTTTCTCATCATGTTTTGTTCCTCCAAAAATCTGTCATCATTATGGCTGTTGTAATTACATTGTTCATGATCATTTTACTGTGAGCCCCTCTGTAAAAAATTGCACTGCTTGTTCATGTGGATGGGATGTTAAAGACATCCGGTGTGCAAATAATCTGTCAGTTGGTTGTGATGGATGACTGACATTAGACCTATAGGACGTCAGCCTGTCTCTGTCTCTACAGGTGGTGCTCCCAGAACATTTTGACTGATAACACAAACTGTAACCAGACTGTAGGCAGACAGCAACTGTACCAGAGAGGTGTCAATATGAAGAGGCTGTGTCAGTATCAAGATAGCGAGAGAGGAGTGTTAATAGAGTTGGTACTACAGTAAGCTAGGTGGAAGAGAGAGAGTGAGAGAGAGCGAGAGGGAGAGAGAGATGGCGAGAATGAGAGATGGCGAGAGAGAGAGAGAGGGCGAGAGAAAGTAACAAGAGAACAAGAGAAACAACAAGAGAACAAGAGAAAGAGAGAGACAAAGAGAGAGAGAGAATCACTCACCTGGAACATGACCCTGTACTGTTCCTCAGGCTTCTGAACCACACACATGTTGCACCCCATGGTGACCTGGACTCAGGCCGGGTGGGGCCAAACCAGTCCAGGAGATCAGTACCTAAAAACACCCCTCTTTCCCTCTGGGTGTGGCAGTCAGAGAGAGCTCCCCACCGACCAACAGGGTCTGAGTGTCAACCCCTCTTATGTCAGGGCACTGTGGATTATGGATCCCAGAGGTTCTCTGTCCCCAAAAACAGTCTGTGTCCCTATCCCTGTTTTTATTTTTTATTTCACCTTTATTTTAACCAGGTATGTGTCCTGTTCCTCTCCTCTTTTTAGTCAGATTTCAAGTTTTACCATCCTGTAGTGATCCATACATTTAGAAAAGGGTTTTGTATGTCTTCCCATCTGTTTCTGTCCCCATCACAGAGTACAAAAATCTTTGTTTGTCTTCATATGCTTGGAGTGGTTAGTTCAGGTTAGGTTTTGCGTGACTCCATCGTGCTCTTTGGACTGGGAGTAGAAAGGGGAGTAAGGGATGACTAAGGTGACAAGGGAGCTGAGGATGGGTTGGAAAGAAAGACTGACAGATGATCTCTGTTATTTTGTTGTAATGTATCTAAGACAGTCTATCATAACTATATAATAATGATTAAATAACCTAATAACCACTTCTAATTTCTGTGGAACAGTCTCGCTATGTGAGCTGTCTCTCTGAACTAGCTGAGTTTTTCCCAATGGAACTCGAAGTAAACTCACCCACGTTTTTCCCCTGGTCCAAGCACTCTATCCAAGAAACACTTTCAAAGTTTCAGATGCAAACGGCACCGATATCAAATAACTTCTCACCCTCTTTTTCCCTAACACTCCTCCTCGAGTTTCACACCTTTTTCGCTTTCCAGGTTTAGAAGGATTGCTTGAGTCTTTTCCCAGGTTTCGCTCCTCTTTTGCTCTGGTACTTTCACCTCTTCAGGATAAATGGACTCCTCAGGACCTTTTCATTGGTGCTTATGGTCATTGACATTTCCTGGTTTACCCCCATTGAAACTGATGAAGAGGAGAGAGAGAGAATCTTCCCACAGAACCATCTAGCCTACTGCTTGAAACTCAAACCCTGGTTGTCGAGCTAAGATAAGCAGTGTGTATTGGGTACACGAAACGCAATAACACAGACACCTGCACACGCATCACAGTGAGGCAACAACGCACCAGGAAGTCGCTGTTGTCCCAACTACACCTCTCTGCCTGATGGTCTGTATCTGTCAGAATAACAACCGCTAAAGACCACTTTCAGGATGAAGCTGTTTCAGTGAACACGTCTACAAACAAAATGTATGTCATTTAAATGTGGAGTGTTTGAGGAAAACAGATTACTGTTGTCTGCTGAAGGGTGTGTGAGACAGACTGGTTGGTTCAGCTAGGTGTTTTGTCAGGTTTCCAGCCAGCTCTTTTGACATTATGGTTCATTTATTAACTAAACCAAAGTGTTTCCAACCCACTGGAACACTGGAGGCTATTGCTCCAGGGTGTCACTGAATGGAAGATTATAATTCAATTATAGACCTGTTAGGCAGAGACCAGGAACCCTCCTACTCAGTCATGTTTTAAAATCAATATCAAATGCACTAAGGGATTCAATTGCATGTTGTGTTTGCAGGACTATTGGGAGAATCAGGACTAGTTGCCATCAAGACCACCAATGATAAGCCGTGTAAAATAACGTGCTTTTTATTTGAAAGATTGAGGTTAAGGATCTTTATTTTCCTCATTGAAATGTGTTAATTGATAGTCTTTCACTTTGTCTCTTCTCCTCTCATTTGTATCTCTCATTCAACCCGTGCTTCCACTGTTTAAGTGGGCTAAATCAGTATATTGACTTAAATCCTGCACTCATTCTTTAATTACCCTCTGTCTGCCTTTCTCTCTCAATCTCTAAGATAATGCATGCTCAAGTAGAAAGGTATTACATTATACTGTAACCTTGTAACCATTTCTCCATGAGCGTGTATCTCTCCCGTCCTCTCCCCTCTCTCTGTCTGTCTCATCACCTGGGTTAAACCTTTAAGTCTTATCAGTACTTCCTCCAGGAGACCCTGCAGTCTGCACACCACTCAACGTTGTACGCTTTGAAATGTAAACCTCTGTCCAGCCACCCTCCTGGCAGCAACAAGGTGTTAGCTTCTGTAATCCTTCCTCAAAACCTCCCTGTCTGCACCTGTAATCGCTACAGACACTCAGTGTAATCCTTAACACTGGAACATACACACAATATATAACCAACTCCAATATAAAAGGCCACACACACACACACACAGAGACATGCACACACACTTGAAAAACCCCTCCCAGTCTGCTAGGTTAGGCAGTAAGCACTAGAGAGCTGCCATTAGCCAATCTAGCTGTAGAACTGTGTCAGACAGTCACAGCAGGTGCTGAAAGCCAAACAGGCGTGTCAAATGTCCCAACGGTTCCTACGCTCTCTCCATCTCCAGCTCCAGATAAAGCCTATCATCGCATGAGGATGTATGTGAATTCTAATCTTACCTGGCTAGTACTGTAAAACCTCTCGTTTGAAACCCAGAGCCTGCCATGTGAATGATCTGAGTCAACAGGTATGGACTCATACAGGATGCAACAGACTCACGGAGGAAAGAAAGAGAGGACATGCAAATTGTAATGATGAGGAATGATATGAGAGTATTCCCTCTTCCAGATTACTGCAATAATCAAGCTTGAGAGCACTTCTGTCCCTCTGTGTCCTCACAGACCAAAACAAAGCTCAAACTAGAGCCCCATAAAAAGAAAGTTCATCCATCTTGTACTGCAGGGAGGAAAGAGCATACATTCAAGAATGTGAGACAGCAGCTCTGTAGTAATCCACCTTTTGTCTGTTGGTCTTTCTTTTAAAAACCCACAATTAGGAATAAAAGCGTTGAGAGGATTCCATCCAGGTGGTGTGTAGAGTCAGAGTGTGAAGTGCCTCTCTCAGGTTCGACATAAATCACCATCAGCAGACTCTAGAAGATTATAGAAATCACTGACGGCTGATTGGAGGATAGTCTTGGCTTCTCCCCTCAGGCGCAACGATAAATGCGCTCCCCCACTGCAGCGGAGAACACAAAGGCGGTTCTGCCGCACCATCAAGCATGCCTGCTGCTGCTGCTACTGCTGAATAAGATTCTACTGGATGCAACACTGTTCTCCATCCCTCCTTCTCTCTCTCTCTCTCTCTCTCTCTCTGGCCCCCTCCCCTAGTCCCCCATATTTTGCCCACACCTTATTTGCTACCCATCCTCCCCCTCATGCTCTCTCTCTCTTGCTCTCTTCCTCTTTCTATGTCTCTCTCTGTGGGAAACACAGGGCATGTTCCAGACAGCCTGATGATCTGTTTGCACTATGCAGGTAGCATATAACAGGGCAGAAGGAGAGAGAGAGAGCTACTAAAATCTACATGAAATAATGCACAATCAAGGTGCACTATCAATACACATTTGTCAATATTCATATATATGTGACATACTGTATGTATCTTCCATTTCCTTCGGTCCTTGGGAGGATTACAAGTACCAATTGCGTATATGATAAGGTACCAATAATTATATGGGATATAAACTGTACTAGACAAGCATAAATTACATTAAAAAAGCCTCTGACCACCTGTGAATTTAAATGAGTTGATGCCCTGACACACAGAAAAGAGAGGAAGACAGAGCAATTGGATAACAGGTGTGTGATGGGATGAATTTAAATATGGAACACAGCCTAGGAATGTGATGTAAATGACTGTGTGGGAGAGAGAGTGGGTGGGGGTGGAGAGAGGGCTTTTGGCAGTATAGCTTTCAAAATGCTAACAATACAAACGTTGATAACACAAAGGTTAAAATGCTGCCAACAGATATAGATATGCACCTGTTTGGTTTGCACAATACTTGTGTATTCCCTCAATTAGTATATCTTCCTTGACCTCCCTTCACCCTCTCTCCCTCTCTGAATATCAAGCTACATTTTAGTGCTGTTCATTGTCTAATTTCAATCTTAAAAACAGCTCTGTTGGCACATTTGCAACAGTCACAATGCCAATTACTTTAGAGCCAAGCAGAGCTATGAGACTAACCAGGGGACAGAGAGGATTAAAGCAGTGAATCGCAACAAACTGTACATTGTAAGAAATAACACGTATTAAAATGAGAATGACAGCCTACAAACACACGGTCACACACACACACGCAGGCACACACTTCAGTACTCTTACTCTTATAAAAATGCATCAAAGCACAGATTTGTCCATAACACAGCAAGGCTGCCAAAAAGCATTGTCCCATACAGACTACACATCTACAGTAAATACACCCATTGACTGGCTATGTGTTTGGTACATGGAGCTATAGGCCCTCTCTGTCTGTCTGAGCCAGTTTGAAACAGGATTTCACGCTGTCTGACTGACCCAACAGGCTTACAGACGCTTCAGTTCAGCTCCCTACATTTTACTCAACACCCACCCACGCACGTGCACACACACATGCACACATACACACAAACCCACTCATGCGCACACACACTTACACTCAGATCTCAGACTCGGTTATCCTTATGCTTCACCCTTTCCAAAATGTTAGGCTGCTGAAGATCTCTATCTCAACAGAAAAGGTCAAAATTGGCTAAAATATCAACTGCCTATTCTGCAAGACAGAAACAAATCAGAGGGCATCTATTTTAGCATAGTGCATCCTTGGACTTTGATGGTCCCTCGTCTAGCCTAAATGTCATTTCACCATCCATCCCTCCACCTCCTTCACCTCTTCATCTATCCAAGGGGCAGATGTAGAAAAGGGGGCCTCATCTGTTGTGCAGCTTTGACCTCTGTCTGTGGTAAATCTCTGACTCTATTCTGACTGTATGTATTCACAAGTTCAGTTCTTGTTCTTCTGCTCTGGCGATGGTCACACTGTATTTCTGTTCCGTCTGTATGTCTACACTCTATTGGTGTAGTTTCCTCGTCCACATTTTGTCAACATTACCTCTGTGTTCTGTATGTCTGTCAGCATTCTGTCAACCAGTATGTTTTGTTCCATATGGGGGCACTTTACCAGTCCCGTCTGTGTCTATAGGTCTCTAGTGGAGTGTTATTCCACTGTGGTGTATTGACATTGCTGTGTATTGTGCCATACACTCTGAAAATATGCACTGTAATGGAACCAACTACAATGGAACCATTTATGTATTTGCAGTACGGGTGTACATATTAAAGAGTTTGGTTCCAAAATGCCATATCCACCAATTTTTCACATCTGTGTTTATTCATCAGAAATGTGTTTTCAGATTTGTATTAAAATGGGTTTTGTTGCAACACACTATATGTCCATCTTTTAGCTGGAATTGAATGTTCTTATGCTGTATATGTTTGACTGTGACATGTGGTTATCTCGCCTAGCTATCTTAAGATGAATGCACTAACTGTAAGTTGCTCTGGATAAGATCATCTGCTAAATGGCAAATGTAAAATGTAAATATTTTACATACAAATGTCATATTACTGTATTGATTCAGTTTCATTTGTTTGTTTTATTGATGTCACAAATGTATCATTGGTACAGTTCTTTATTACAAATGTACTTATTTGTCACATTTGACTGTGTAAAATCTAGCAGTGCTACTTTTTCTCTGTGAGTGAGGAGAATATATAGCGTATTGCAACAAAACATGATTATTTGTCTCTCAAAATGAAACCATCAAGTTAGTTAGTTACCAACATTTCTGAAAAATGATTTATAGTGTTTTGCAATTAAACTCTTCATATACAGACCAAATGTAGTGTGTACATATAGACCAAAAGTCTCAATGTTGAATAGGTAAGATATAACGCATGCTAATATTGGGAAATGCAAATAGCTTTTCAAATTTACACTGACAATATGAGGTGTGTACTGACTGAAAACCAGAATGAGAATTGTTCTCATGCACATTACTGTAATGCATTATTGGAGGAAGCAAGGACTCATAAGCACTTGTCTTGGAAAATACTAATTGAAATCATTATGTATGCATGAGTGGTAAATGAAAAGCTGAGAGAGAACAGTATTTGACAGAGATTCAAACAGAGAGAGTTTCTGTGTTGTTGTGTAGGTGAGGGATAAAAGCTCTGAGGAGCATGACTGGAGGGATGTAGTATGGGAGGAGAGAGGAATATGATAAGGAGAGATTTCTACCTTTCTAGTAAAGCTTCCTTTTGCATTTGTAAGAGGAGCGAAAGAGAGGGTTGGGAGGTAGAGCGCGATGGAATACCAGCAGAATTTTAACAATGTTCTCATTACTTATTTACTGCTTGGAGGGAAGGGCTGCCAGTAAATAATACACTTTACTGGGAACCATGAGGTGTGTGTGTGTGTGTGTGTGTGTGTGTGTGTGTGTGTGTGTGTGTGTGTGTGTGTGTGTGTGTGTGTGTGTGTGTGTGTGTGTGTGTGTGTGTGTGTGTGTGTGTGTGTGTGTGTGTGTGTGTGTGTGTGTGTGTGTGTAATAATAAAAACTGATTATAGGGACTCAAGGGAATACAAAAAGATACATTTTAAGTAGAGGTCAGATGTTATTAGGTCTCTAAGGATGTGATTGTCTCTATGCGCAATTAGTGTGTGTGTGTGTGTGTGTGTGTGTGTGTGTGTGTGTGTGTGTGTGAAGTGACCTGTCATCTGAGACCCAGTCATAGGGCCTGGTTGAGGGGCGTAAGAGTAGCAAGGGGTGTCGGAGCTTCTGTTCCCCTGAAGCTGACTTAGTTCCATTATGAGGGAGTCGCACAAAGAGAGAGAGATTTCACAGAGGAAAGAAGGAGATGAGGGGCAGAGAGCTCTGTGACAGCCAGGGACAGAAACAGCATGGCAGAGAGAGAGAGAGATAGAGAGATAGAGAGATAGATAGATAGATAGATAGATAGATAGATAGATAGATAGATAGATAGATAGATAGATAGATAGATAGATAGATAGATAGATAGATAGATAGATAGATAGAATAGATAGATAGATAGATAGATAGATAGATAGATAGATAGATAGATAGATAGATAGATAGATAGATAGATAGATAGATAGATAGATTAGATAGATAGATAGATAGAGAGAGAGAGAGAAGAGAGAGAGAGAGAGAGAGAGAGAGAGAGAGAGAGAGAGAGAGAGAGAGATGAATGAAAAGTGAGTGACTCATGAGGAATGATGAAGTACAACGGAGAGGAAAGCTACCTACATTTTACTCATTTAGCAGACACTTACATTATGGCATTAATTTTAAGATAGCTAGGTGAGACAACAACACATCACAATCGTAGCATGTACATTTTCAGTAAAGTCAGCGCTAGTAGCTCTACAATAAGGTATAATCTGTCCTCTTCCCCCCTCTCATCTCTCCCTCTATAACCACAGTATGACTGAAAGAAGATCACTATCTCTCTCTCTGTTGAGGAATCAGGGAAGTAACTGTTCTTAGACCTCTCCTAGGCCCTCTTAGAAATTAATGACATTGTAAAAACTGTAACAAACCGATTGAATGATCGTAATATTTTTTGCACTGCTCTCATACTGAAACTTTTTGGAAAATGTGTCCCTTGCCTGGCATGAATATAACACGTTGACCTCTTTTTCCCCTCATCCCATATTTACTGACTGACTGGGGCTTTGGCCTCATCTTCTCTCTTTAACTGTTAGGCTAATCATGACCTGTTAGATGGGGGCCCAGAGTGGGTGGGTTTAGTCCACCTTGAATAGAGGAAGCTTTGCTCAGAAGATGGGAGGATTCACAGTAATTAATTGGCTAGAAAAATCAGGATCTATTATTGATTCATCATTAAAGAAAGATTAGGCCAAAGCCCCAGTCAGTCAGTAAATATGGGAAGAGGTGAAAAGGAGGACAACGTGTTACACTACATGACCAAAAGTAAGATTTCCCTTCAATGGAACTAAGGGGCCTAGCCCGAACGATGAAAAACAGCCCCAGACCATTATTCCTCTTCCACCAAACTTTACAGTTGGCACTATGCATTGGGGCAGGTAGCGTTCTCCTGGCATCTGCCAAACCCAGATTCATCCGTTGGACTGCCAGATGGTGAAGCGTGATTCATCACTCTAGAGAACGCGTTTCCACTGCTCCAGAGTCCAGAGGCAAGCTTTACACCACTCCAGCCGACGCTTGGCATTGTGCATGGTGATCTTAGGCTTGTGTGCGGCTGCTCGGCCATGGAAACCCATTTCATGAAGCTCCCAACAAACAGTTATTGTGCTGACCTTGCTTCCAGAGGCAGTTTGGAACACTCGTAGTGAGTGTTGCAACCGAGGACAGACGATTTTTACTCGCTACACGCTTCAGCTCTTGCCGGTCCCGTTCTGTGAGCTTGTGTGGCCTAAGACTTCGCGGCTGAGCCATTGTTGCTCCTAGACTTTTCCACTTCACATTAACAGCACTTACAGTTGACCGGGGCAGCTCTAGCAGTGCAGAAATTTGACGAACTGACTTGTTGGAAAGGTGGCATCCTATGACGGTGCCACGTTGAATGTCACTGAGCTCTTCAGTAAGGCCATTCTACTGCCAATGTTTGTCTATGAAGATTGCATGGCTGTGTGCTCGATTTTATCCACCTGTCAGCAATGGGTGTGGCTGAAATAGCTGAATCCACTAATTTGAAGGGGTGTCCACATACTTTTGTATATATAGTGTATATTCATGTCAGGTAAGGTACACATTTTCAAAAACGTTTCAGTATAAGAGCAGTGCATAAATCATGCCCAGCCATCACCTTTGTTCTCAGCCATCACCTTTGTCCTGAGCCATCTTGAGACACTTTTGTTCTTAAACAAATCTACTTTGAAATAGGGATGTTAACGGTTAACTTTAATCGGTTAGCCGCCGAAAATATATTTGACCGGTCATGCTTATCGGTCTATAGGTAATTTGCATAATTTTGTGGAATTAAATTGGCATGTGTCTACTTTCGTTAGTCGTTTTGCATTTTATTTATCACACTCGCACAGCATACAGTCTTGTTTGAGGAGCGGAATAGCCTACCACCTGTCAGCCTGTAGGCTACTGGAGTGAAACCTGCTTTTGTTAGCCCAGTCATTGCGCAACAAATACAATTTCTAAATGCAATCGCGTGTTAAAAACTTGTGGCCACGATTAAAAAGGAGCTATTTTTATTTCTCAATCTCAACGCGAAAAGAGTACCTCCCATTTGCCATTCGGATGCTATAGCCTGCCTACGGTTGACTATCAGTGTGTCACCCACCACTTTGCTATGTGAGCTTGGGGCAGTATAATTGTTTGAAACCTGAACTTTTTATTTTACTTCAAATACTGAGACATGTCTTACCTTGCTTCAAAGTAGCCTTGCGAAAATCCTTCCATGGAAACGTGGAGACGATTCATTTATAAAGACTTCCTCATGCCATTAACCAGCATTTCTCTCCTGTTCTATTGGTTTTTATATCAACTTTCTTTCGTTGTCCAGAAGCCAAAGGCGCAATCATAGTCATATTAGCAACCGATCATAGTAGTTGCTATTAGATTCCCCCTCTTTCTAAGTTTCTATTGGAGATGTTCATCTCTGTCACATATGGAACTGCTCGTATTAGGTGCGCAGTTTAGAACTAGGGAGTTTTTCCAAGCCACGGAACTTCTACATCTGCATTGCTTGCTGTTTGGGGTTTTAGGCTGGGTTTCTGTATACAGTGCATTCTGAAGTATTCAGACCCCTTGACTTTTTCCACATTTTGTTACATTTCAGCCTTACTCTAAAATGGATTAAATGTTGCTTCACCGTTGGTATGGCGCCAGGTTTCCTCCAGACGTGATTTTATTTATTTATTTATTTAACCTTTATTTAACCAGGTAAACCAGTTGAGAACAAGTTCTTATTTACAACTGCGACCTGGCCAAGATAAAGCAAAGCAGTGCGATAAAAACAACAACACAGAGTTACATATGGGGTAAACAAAACATAAAGTCAATTAAAAAAAAAATATATATATATATATATACAGTGTGTGCGAATGTAGTAAATTATGGAGGTAAGGCAATAAATAGGCCATAGTGCAAAAGAGTTACAATTTCGTATTAACACTGGAATGATAGATATGCAAAAGAGGATGTGCAAATAGAGATACTGGGGTGCAGATTAGCAAAATAAATAACAATATGGTGATGAGGTAGTTGGGTGGGCTAATTTCATAATGGCTGTGTACAGGTGCAGTGATCAGTAAGCTGCTCTGACAACTGATGCTTAAAGTTAGTGAGGGAGATAAGAGTCTCCAGCTTCAGAGATTTTTACAGTTCGTTCCAGTCATTGGCAGCAGAGAACTGGAAGGAATGGCGGCCAAAGGAGGTGTTGGCTTTAGGGATGACCAGTGAGATATACATGCTGGAGCGCAGACTACGGGTAGATGTTGCTATGGTGACCAGTGAGCTAAGAAAAGGCGGGGATTTGCCTAGCAGTGATTTATAGATGACCTGGAGCCAGTGGGTTTGGTGACGAATATGTAGTGAGGGCCAGCCAACAAGAGCGTACAGGTCACAATGGTGAGTAGTATATGGGGCTTTGGTGACAAAACAGATGGCACTGTGATAGACTACATCCAATTTTCTAAGTAGAGTGTTGGAGGCTATTTTGTAAATGACATCGCCGAAGTCAAGGATCGGTAGGATAGTCAGTTTTACGAGGGCATGTTTGGCAGCATGAGTGAAGGAGGCTTTGTTGAGAAATAGGAAGCCGATTCTAGATCTAACTTTTGATTGGAGATGCTTAATGTGAGTCTGGAAGGAGAGTTTACAGTCTAACCAGACACCTAGGTATTTGTAGTTGTCCACATACTCTAGGTCAGACCCGCCGAGAGTAGTGATTCTAGTCGGGTGGGCGGGTGCAAGCAGCGTTCGGTTGAAGAGCATGCATTTAGTTTTACTAGTGTTTAAGAGCAGTTGGAGGCTACGGAAGGAGTGTTGTATGGCGTTGAAGCTCATTTGGAGGTTTGTTAACACAGTGTCCAATGAAGGGCCAGATGTATACAAAATGGTGTCGTCCGCATAGAGGTGGATCCGAGCGTCACCAGCAGCAAGAGCGACATCATTGATATACAAAGAGAATAGAGTCGGCCCGAGAATTGAACCCTGTGGCACCCCCATAGAGACTGCCAGATGTCCAGACAACAGGCCCTCCGATTTGACACATTGAACTCTGTCTGAGAAGTAGTTGGTGAACCAGGCGAGGCAGTCATTTAAGAAACCAAGGCTATTTAGTCTGCCAATAAGAATGCGGTGGTTGACAGAGTCGAAAGCCTTGGCCAGGTCGATGAAGACGGCTGCGCAGTACTGTCTTTTATCGACCGCGGTTATAATATCGTTTAGGACCTTGAGCGTGGTTGAGGTGCACCCATGACCAGCTCGGAAACCGGATTGCATAGTGGAGAAGGTACGGTGGGATTCGAAATGGTCGGTGATCTGTTTGTTAACTTGGCTTTCAAATACTTTCGAAAGGCAGGGCAGGATGGATATAGGTTTGTAACAGTTTGGATCTAGAGTGTCACCCCCTTTGAAGAGGGGGATGCCCGTGGCAGCTTTCCAATCTCTGGGGATCTCAGACGTTACGAAAGAGAGGTTGAACAGGCTAGTAATAGGGGTTGCGACAATTTAGGCGGCTAATTTTAGAAAGAAAGGGTCCAGATTGTCTAGCCCAGCTGATTTGTAGGGGTCCAGATTTTTCAGCTCTTTCAGAACATCAACTGTCTGAATTTGTGTGAAGGAGAAGCAGGGGGGGCATGGACAAGTTGCAGCAGAGGGTGCAGAGCTGGTGGCCTGGGTAGTGGTAGCCAGGTGGAAAGCATGGCCAGCCGTGGCAAAATGCTTGTTGAAATTCTCGATTATTATAGATTTATCGGTGGTGACAGTGTTTCCTATCCTCAGTGCAGTGGGCAGTTGGGAGGAGGTGCTCTTATTCTCCATGGACTTTACAGTGTCCCAAAACGTTTTGGAGTTAGTGCTACAGGATGCATATTTCTGTTTGAAAAAGCTAGCCTTCGCTTTCCTAACTGATTGTGTATATTGGTTCCTGACTTCCCTGAAAAGTTGCATATCGCGGGGGCTGTTCGATGCTAATGCAGTACGCCACAGGATGTTTTTGTGCTGGTCAAGGGCAGTCAAGTCTGACGAGAACCAGGGGCTATATCTGTTCTTAGTTCTGAATTTTTGCTTATTTAAGATTGAGAGGAAAGCACTTTTAAAGAACAACCAGGCATCCTCTACTGACGGAATGAGGTCAATATCCATCCAGGATACCCAGGCCAGGTCAATTAGAAAGGCCTGCTCGCTAAAGTGTTTTAGGGAGCATTTGACAGTGATGAGGGGTGGTCGTTTGACCAAGGACCCATTATGGACGCAGACAATAAGGCAGTGATCGCTGAGATCCTGGTTGAAGACAGCGGAGGTGTATTTAGTGGGTCAATTTGTCAGGATGATATCTATGAGGGTGCCCATGTTTACAGATTTAGGATTGTACCTGGTAGGTTCGTTGATCATTTGTGTGAGATTGAGGGCATCTAGTTTAGATTGTAGGTTGGCCGGGGTGTTAAGCATATCCCAGTTTAGGTCACCAAGCAGTACGAACTCTGAGGATAGATGGGGGGTAATCAGTTCACATATGGTGTCCAGGGCACAGCTCGGGGCTGAGGGGGGGCTGTAGCAAGCGGCAACAGTGAGAGACTTATTTCTGGAAAGGTGGATTTTTAGAAGTAGAAGCTCAAACTGTTTGGGCACAGACCTGGATAGTATGATAGAGCTCTGCAGGCTATCTCTACAGTAGATTGCAACCCCACCCCCTTTGGCAGTTCTATCTAGACGGAAAATGTTGTAGTTGGGGATGGACATTTCTGAATTTTTGGTGGCCTTCCTAAGCCAGGATTCAGACACTGCTAGAACATCAGGGTTGGCGTAGTGTGCTAACACAGTGAATAACTCACACTTAGGGGGGAGGCTTCTGATGTTAACGTACAAGAAACCAAGGCTTTTACGGTTACAGAAGTCAACAAATGATAACGCCTGGGGAGTAGGAGTGATACTGGCGGCTACAGGGCCTGGGTTAACCTCTACATCACCAGAGCAACAGAGGAGGAGTAGAATAAGGATACGGCTAAAGGCTTTAAGAACTGGTCTTCTAGTGCGTTGGATACAGAGAATAAAAGGGGCAGATTTCCGGGCGTTATAGAATAGATTCAGGGCATTATGTACAGACAAGGATATGGAAGGATATGAGTACAGTGGAGGTAAACCTAAGCGTTGGGTAACGTTGAAAGAGATAGCATCACTTCGGTCTCCGTTTGTATGGGGGGTGGGACAAAGGAGCTATCTAAGGCAGGTTGAGCTGGACTGGGGGCTCTACAGTGAAATAGTACAATAAGAAATAACCGAAACAGCAATAAGCAAAGCATATTGACATGGGAGAGAGGCATCAAGTAATCACAGGTGTTATTCGAGAGAGCTAAGACAACAGCTGGTAATGGCGACAAAGTTTGGGCTGAGGCTAAACATAAACAGGATGCGGTACCGTATAAAGGAACAGTCCAGCAGGCATCAGCTGTATAGCTGAGTTATCATAAGGTCCAGTGAACAGCAATAGGAGAGTTCGGAGGTAGTTTGGGGGCTGCTACAGCACTGGCGAGCAAGAGGCACGGCTTGCGTGTGCTAGCGGGCCGGGGCTAGCAGATGGATCTTCGTGGTCGACGTCGTAACGGGAAGCCTGTTGAAACCACATCAGACGATTTCGTCGGCAGACCAGTCATGTTGGATCGGCGGGGCTCCGTGTCAACAGTAGGAGGTCCCGTCCGGTTGACAGAGCGGTAGATAGCCGGGAGATGGGCCTGGCTCGAGGCTAGCTCAAGGCTAACTGGTGCTTGCGAAGGGGCAATGGTAATTAGCCAACGACAACAGCCATTCGGTTGCAGCTAGCTAGTTGCGATGATCCGGCGTTAGGGTCCAGAAAATCCGATATGCTCTGGGTCAATAGCACGCTGTGCAGACTGGCCGACAAATTGGCCAGGCTAGAGCTAGAGCTGGCTGGTGGGTAGTGCAGGCCACGGACAATGGTTTAGACCGCTAACGGTGGCTAATAGCAAGTAGCTAGCTAGCTGGCTACCACAGCCATTCGGTTGCAGCTAGACTAGTTTCAGCTTAAGGTTCTTGATAAAAGTTATAAAGAAATAATAGAATCCTTTCCACGTTGGGTGAGGCGGGTTGCAGGAAAGTGTATTTAGTTAAAGAATGAAAAGTAAAAAAGTAAAATTGAGAAATATATACAAAATAGACAAAAAACTAAAAAACTGGCTATTTACACGAGGACACTACAGAAAACACGACCGCACTGCTACGCCATCTTGGATATTCCAGCCAAAGAGTTCAATCTTGGTTTCATCAGACCAGAAAATCTTGTTTCTCATGGTCTGAGGCTCATTTAGAGAGTCCTTTAGAGTCCTTTAGGTGCCAACAATGGCGCCGGAGGGAATGGCTGCCGTTTTACGGGCTCCTAAGCAATTGTGCTATTTTGTGTGTTTCTTTGCATTGTTTGTAACTTATTTTGTACATAATGTTGATGCTACTGTCTCTTACGACCGAAAAGAGCTTCTGGAGATTAGAACAGCGATTACTCACCTCAAACTGGACGAATCATTTTCTTTAATGAGTCTGACGCAAAGGATATACCGCCCCAACAGATCCACAGATGACGCAATCTCAATCGTACTCCACACTGCCCTTTCCCACCTGGACAAAAGGAACACCTATGTGAGAATGCTGTTCTTTGACTACAGCTCAGCGTTCAACACCATAGTACCCACAAAGCTCATCACTAAGCTAAGGACCCTGGGACTAAACATCTCCCTCTGCAACTGGATCCTGGACTTCCTGACGAGCCGCCCCCAGTTGGTAAGGGTAGGCAACAACACATCAGCTGATCCTCAACACTGGGGCCCATCAGGGGTGCATGCATAGTCCCCTCCTGTACTCCCTGTTCACCCACGACTGCGTGACCAAGCACGACTCCAACACCATCATTAAGTTCGCTGACGACACAACAGTGGTGGGCCTGATCACCGACAACGACGAGACAGCCTATAGGGAGGAGGTCAGAGACCTGGAAGTGTGGTACCAGGACAACAACCTCTCCCTCAACGTGAGCAAGACAAAGGAGATGATCGTGGACTACAGGAAAAGGAGGGCCGAACATGCCCCCATTCACATTGACAGGGCTGTAGTGGAGCGGGTAGAGAGTTTCAAGTTCCTTGGTGTCCACATCACCAACAAACTATCATGGTCCAAACACACCAAGAAAGTCGTGAAGAGGGCACGACAGCGCCTTTTCCCCCTCAGGAGACTGAAAAGATTTGGCATGGGTCCCCAGATCCTCAAAATGTTCTACAGCTGCACCATAGAGAGCATCCTGACCGGTTGCATCACCGCCTGGTATGGCAACTGCTCGGCATCCGACCGTAAGGCGCTACAGCGGGTAATGCGTACGGCCCAGTACATCACTGGGGCCAAGCTTCCTGCCATCCAGGACCTATATACTAGGCAGTGTCAGAGGAAGGGCCAAAAAATTGTCAAAGACTCCAGTCACCCAAGTCATAGACTGTTCTCTCTGCTACCGCACGGCAAGTGGTACCGGAGGGCCAAATCTAGGTCCAAAAGGTTCCTTAACAGCTTCTACTCCCAAGCCATAAGACTGCTGAACAATTAATCAAATGGCCACCCAGACTATTTCTATTGACCCCCCCCCTACCCATTTTGTTTTTACACTGCTGCTACTCGCTGTTTATTATCTATGCATAGTCACTTTAACCCTACCTACATGTACAAATTACTTCGACTAACCTGTACCCCCGCACATTGACTCTGTACCGGTACCCCCTGTATATAGCCTCATTATTGTTATTTTATTGTGTTACTTTTTAATTTTTAATTTTTTTACTTTAGTTTATTTAGTAAATATGTTCTTAACTCTATTTTCTTAAAACTGCATTGTTGGTTAAGGGCTTGTAAGTAAGCATTTCACGTTAAGGTCTACACCTGTTGTATTCGGCACATGTGAGTTTTGGCAAACTCCAAGCAGGCTGTCATGTGACTTTTACTGAGGAGTGGCTTCCATCTGGCCACTCTACCATAAAGGCCTGATTGGTGGAGTGCTGCAGAGATGGTTGTCCTTCTGGAAGGTTCTCCCATCTCCACAGAGGAACTCTGGAGCTCTGTCAGTGTGACCATCGGGCACTTTGTCACCTCCCTGACCAAGCCCCTTCTCCCCCGATTGCTCAGTTTGGCCGGGCGGCCAACTCTAGGAAGAGTTTTGGTGGTTCCAAACTTCTTCCATTTAAGAATGATGGAGGCCACTGTGTTCTTGGGAACCATCAATGCTGCAGAAATTTTTTGGTACCCTTCCCCAGATCTGTGCCTTGACACAATCATGTCTCAGAGCTCAATGGACAATTCCTTCGACCTCATGGCTTGTTTTTTGATCTGACATGCAGTGTCAACTGTGGGACCTTATATAGACAGGTGTGTGCCTTTCCAAATCATGTCCAATCAATTGAATTTACCACTGGTGGACTCCAATGAAGTTGTAGAAACATCTCAAGGAGGATCAATGGAAACAGGATGCACCTGAGCTTAATTTCGAGTCTCATAGCAAAGGGTCTGAATACTTATGTAAATAAGGTATTTCTGTTGTTTTATTTGTAATACATTTGCTACATTTCTAAAAACCTGTTTCTCTTTGTCATTATGGGTTAGTGTGTGTAGATTGATGATAATTAATATTTGTTTAAATCAATTTTCGAATAAGGCTGTAACATAACAAAATGTGCAAAAGGGGAATGGGTCTGAATACTTTCCGAATGCACTTAAGCACTTTGTGACATCTGCTTATATAAAAAGGGCTTTGTAAATAAATGTGGTTTGATTTTTATTTGATTTGAAATGTGTTTTCCGCAAATTTTATTTAGGCAAATGTTTGAAAATGACTTTTTATTAGCTGCTTCATTATAGGAGTTGCATGTTCAATAATAGGCTATAGCCTTTTGACTGTAAGACGATAGGCTTGCTGTTGTTGCATCTTTCCATTAAGCTCTTAATAAAAACTGTCCGCTTCTTGTATGCATGCATAGTATCAGAGAGGAATTTGCGAAGCGAGAGGTTTCACCCTCGCCAAAGTCTGTCCAAAATAAGTCCAATGTGTTTCTATGGGCTTATTTTGGGCCTCAGCTTGTCGCCTGCCTTCCCGACTTGGGACGACTCCCATTGTTAGGGCAGAAACATAAGCATATCATCATTATATACAGATCTCTGATAGTATTTCTGTTGGTCACATAATTTTACTGTTTGGAAAAAATGTAACCGTTTGTTGACTGGTTAGTGAGGGTCAAATAGTCGGCAGCAAAATTGACTGAAATGTTCATCCCTACTTTGAAACAAAGGTATACATCTCACACACATGGTTATGGGTTTACAAAAAATAAGACACCTGTACTATGTCAGATATATAGTTGAAATGTATAAGTAAATGTAGTTTGCATCCCAATATTACACTTTATATACACTACCAGTCAAAAGTCTGGACACACCTACTCATCAAAACTATGAAATCAAAACTATGAAATAACACATATGGAATGATGTAGTAACCAAAAAAGTGTTTAACAAATCAAAATATATTTTATATTTGAGATTCTTCGAATAGCCAACCTTCATGACAGCTTTGCACACTCTTGGCATTCTCTCAACCAGCTTCATGAGGTAGTCACCTGGAATGCATTTCAATTAACAGGTGTGCCTTCTTAAAAGTTCATTTGTGGAATTTCATTCCTTCTTAATGCGTTTGAACCAATCAGTTGTGTTGTGACAAGGTAGGGGTGGTATACAGAAGATAGCCCTATTTGGTAAAAGACCAATTCCATATTATGGCAAGAACAGCTCAAATAATAATTGAGACGGTTTGGGATGAGTCAGACGGCAGAGTGAAGGAAAAGCAGCCAACAAGTGCTCAGCATATGTGGGAACTCCTTCAAGACTGTTGGAAAAGCATTCCAGGTGAAGCTGGTTGAGAGAATGCCAAGTGTGCAAAGCTGTCATCAAGGCAAAGGGTGGCTATTTGAAGAATCTCAAATACAAATATATTTTTTATTTGTTTAACACTTTTTTGGTTGCTACATGATTCCATATGTGTTATTTCATAGTTTTGATGTCTTCGCTATTATTCTACAATGTAGAAAATAGTAAAAGTAAAGAAAAACCCTTGAATGAGTATGTGTGTCTAAACTTTTGACTGGTACTGTACATCACAGAAGACTGAAATACAACAAAACTGTTTGACATAGAAACACCAGATTTTCTGTGTTTGTTTTGTTGAAATCATATTTATTAATTATGAAATAATAAAAAAATTTATAACATTCCACCCATGAGGCCACTAGGTCATTTGACTGCAGGAAAGGGGTGCGGTACAAAAAAATAGCATGGTAGAGGTGGTATTGTTATTGCTGTTGCTGTATTTATGATATGATACCTAATTACATTTTATTTTCCTGCAGATTAAGGAAGAGCCGCTCTGAGATCTGAGATCCCCAAACAAGAGATTACTATCTGGCTGTAAAGACTTGAAGATAGGCATTGTTTGGAGCTCAATACCACCTTTACCAAAAGTTATTTTATTGCATCTGAAATTGTTATTTTGGTTAATAAATCTTGATTACTTGGATTTGGTATGCATCTACAATTTGTAATATGAATGTGCATGAGAGTTCTAGAGTGAGTGTAATAAAACATGAAAACAACAATAAATTATAAAATGTTGCGAGACAGATGTCTCAAGACATTGGTATTTCCAAGACATGTCTATAGACTGACTTAAAGACGTCTACATTATCTAAGAAATCTTAAGAAAGGTCTCTACACGTCTCAAGATGTCTTCATTTATATGTCTTAAGACGTCTCAAGACATGTCTCAAGACATGGTGATGGCTGGGTATGATGCTAAGTAATTCAATCGGATTCAGTTCAATGGTTACAGTTTTTACGATGTCATTAATTTCTAAGAGGGCCTAGGAGAGGTCTAAGAACAGTTACTCCCCTGATTCCTCTCCAGAGAGAGACAGAGATCTTCTTTCAGAGTAACATAGGGGTTATAGAGGGAGAGATGAGAGGAGTAAAGAGGACAGATGATACCATATTGTAGAGATTGTGTGTGAGAGAGAAAGCACAGTAGAGTGGCTTTAGACAGAGAGAAATTGGATTATTTGTTTGGGTCATGCAATTGCTTTTGCACCACTTAATAGCCAAAATAGTATATTCCCTACTGCCTACCCATCACTATTCTCCATTCCTCATTCATCACGACTCTACCCTATTCCCATCTCATTTTAATATTTTGATGTAACATGTTTACAGGATAGGAGGGAGGAGGGGGGAGGAGGGGAGAGGAGGGGAGGGGGAGACAGGGGAAATGAGTGATGAGGGATGGAAGGACCTTTTATGATTTTATCAAGATTCTGAGAGAGAGAGAGAGAGAGAGAGAGAGAGAGAGAGAGAGAGAGAGAGGGAGAGAGAGAGAGAGAGAGAGAGAGAGAGAGAGAGAAGAGAGAGAGAGAGAGAGAGAGAGAGAGAGAGAGAGAGAGGGGAGAGAGAGATGGTCTTCAGAGTTTTTATATTATTAATATCCGACATGCCGCTGTACTACATTTCCTTAAATTAGAACCCTGCTGCGAACTGCTGGTGGCATCTGAGGGTGAACGAGAGTGGAAAGGAAAGAGAGGAAGAAGAGGTGGGAGAAGACATGAGGGAAATTGAGAGGGTGGAGAGAGATACAATGCGAGAGGGGAAGAGAGGTGGGTAAACGGGAGCTGGGAGAGATTGAAGTAGCGGGGTGAGAGAATGTGGAGGGCAAAGACTGCATGAGAAACAAAGAGAAGGAGAGAGGAAAGTGGAAAGTCAGGGGGTGGCAGCTTTAGAGTTGTCCCTCCAGTGGGGATAGAGATTACTAGTAGCAGGCAGGAGCATGAAGGCTTAGAGCGGATTGACTAATTAATTCAAGTGCTAAGAGAGGGACCACAACATGATGAGTTTTATAATAATAATTTGGTGGGTGCTTATATTTGTCCTGTCTCACACATATACAAGCGTATGTGTATATTATACGCATGTGTGAAATAGTTACTTTTTTTTGTCATATCCCAACTCGCCCTGAGGTTGGGGTCACAGCCAGGGTCAGCCATTCCCAACAGCGACCCTGGAGCTCAAGGGCACATTGACAGATTATTCACCTTGTTGGCTCTGGGATTTTAAGTAGTGACGCTGTAACCACTAGGCTACCTACCTTCTTTAACTCCTATGCTTGGATTAATCCTCCACTATGACCCCTGTCCACAGTGTCCAGACCAATAGACAGCCACATGGTATATACACCGGCTCTGGAAGCCTGGACACAATGGGAGGATAGGAGGGGATCATTACATGAAATTAAATACAGCCATTACCTAGGAGGGGGCACATCCACTTCATTTGACAACAGAAACACAGGACACCTCTATTTAAATGAATACCTCATTATGTATCCATGGGGGAATATTGAAATCCTGTACCTGAACAGGCCTTATACTCCAGGAACTCCCTAGACATTTTCTGTTAATGAGTCTCTCTCTATATTGCCTGTTTAGGTTTATGTATTTTTCCAATCTGTTTGTTTCATTTGTATTTCAGCAAAGTGTTGCAGAATCAATACTCTGATGGCAACACCTCTGCTGGTGAATACATTGAATCTCACTCTCTCTCACACACACACAAACACGCACGCACACACACGCGTCCGTCCATCCATACACACACACACACACACACACACACACACACACACACACACGTACACACACCTCGACACCATTAATCCCTCCCTCCCTCCTCAGTGATCTCACCATAATGTGCTCCCCAGTGGCTCCTGATCTCAAGCTCTTGCAGGGAGTTGATCTGATATTACTGATACTGAACAGATACCTGGACTCTGAACTCATTTCAATTCACTGCAACATATCCCAAACACATGCACGTGTGCACACATGTGCACACACACACACACACACCTATATTGTGTCATTTTCAATAGACACACACCTCAGGTAATAATTCACTGGTATTTTAAAAGCTCTACTATCAGCTTGAGCCAAACCCATGATAGGGGTGAAGACTGAGGAGCACTTGTTTAGACTACAAATGGGTCTTGTCACCCTCTCACTGTCAAACTGAGGATCTATAATATTAGTACAGATTGCTAGTGTAACATAGGAGCTGCTGGAGTTCTTCACAGCGTGATAACAGAACGCCAGTGTAATTCAGCTCTCAGTCAAACAGTAGGCTGTTAACAACCCAATGGGTGATTTAATGTTTGACAGGGTATGAACAGATAAAAGGTTTTTCTATATTATCTTCATATTTCCTCTATCTATCTTACACAGAATGAAACAATGTACCATTTTGTTTAATCTTGGTAAATTTAATCTAACCACGATCAGACATTTGGAGTCTCTCTCTCTCTCGTCCCAGTCACACAGTAAGAGTTATGTGCCCTCAGGCTGTGCCAGATCAATATAACATTAGAGCCAGTCTCTACTTCACCCTCCATTCCTCATTCAGGGGTCCCCAGCTAGCTCAGCAATATATAACCAACCCCCTTCCTCCCTCTTTCCTCGTTCTTCCAGTCTCTCCTCTCATCCCCTCGCAGTTCATGTTAATTCAGATTCCTTTCTTTTCATTGCTCCCCCTCTCCTATGATATCCCCTCTATTCCTCTCTGCATGCACTACCTGTCCTCTTTTGGCCTTTGTTCTGCATTTCTCTGAACCTACAGCTGACGGGGGAGAGGGTAAGAAGACAGAGGGAAAATGAGAGAGGAGGGAGCAGAGGGGAAAAGGGGGGAATTTGAGCCAGATCAAGGAGAGATGGAATGGCATGAACGGGCAGAAAGAGAGGGAGAGAATATGGAGAGGATTTTTGTGTGCAGTGGAGGAAGACAGACTGAGCCAGAGAAGGAAGGAAGGAAGGAAGGAAGGAAGGAAGGAAGGAAGGAAGGAAGGAAGGAAGGAAGGAAGGAAGGAAGGAAGGAAGGGATGGAGGGGGAGGGGAGACTGCCTTGCCTGGCCTGGGCTGGGTGAAATTAATGTGTAATTGCGTTGTAGTGGCTCAACCCTTCAGCACACGGCTGACGGATGCCGTGGCAGACAGTTCAGTCTCTCTCGGCAGGGTGGACATGGGTGAGGCTGAGCCTGTGGGATATGTGGGGCTGCCTGTGTAAACACAACAGCCTGTCAACAATACCTTAACATAACAACAAACAGCACCAGGTAATAACAACACATTCAGACTGGATGTCAGACATGTAATGGGAGAATAAGCACAAAGGTCATTGATGGCTAATAAGCAGAGGTGTAATATAAATTGGGGTCCTTTAGGACGTTGACTGGAAAGAGAAAGGTTGTTGTAGTTAACCGTAAAGCACAGAAAGAAGGGAAATACTGACTTAATCAGCCAGGCAAGTGGGGAGTGTGGAGTGAACAATAGCATGGAGAGGAGGATCCTCCTCTTAACCTTACACATTACCACACACACAGACATCACACATAATCCAAGATGGCGTAGCAGTGCGGTCGTGTTTTCTGTAGTGTCCTCATGTAAATAGCCTGTTCTTTTGTTTGTTTTTGCCATTTTCGTATATATTTCTCAATCTCACTTTCCATCCTTTAACTAAATATACTTTCCTGCAACCCGCCTCACCCAATGTGGAACAGATTCTATTATTTCTTTATACCTTCTTATCTAGAAATCCGTTTGAAACTAGCCAGCTAGCCAGCTAACTAGCTACTTGCTATTAGCCACCGTTAGCGGTCTTCACCATTGTCCGTGGCCTGCACTACCTACCAGCCAGCTCTTGCCTGGACAATTATCGGCCAGTCTGCACATCGCGCTATCGAGCCATAGCATATCGGATTTTCTGCCGGGATCACTGAATCACTGGACCTTAACACTGGATCATCGCAACTAGCTAACTGCAACCGAATGGCTGTTGTTGTTGTTGGCTAATCACCGCTGTCCAGAAGCAAGCCCCAGTTAGCCTTGAGCTAGCCTCGAGCCAGGCCCATCTCCCGGCTATCTACCTCTCTGTCAACCGGATGGGACCTCCTAGTGTTGACACGGAGCCCCGCCGATCCATCAGGACTGGTCTGCCGACGTAATCATCTGATGTGGTTTCAACAGGCTTCCCGTTGCGACGACCACGAAGATCCATCTGCTATCCCCGGCCCGCAAGCACACACAATCAACAGCCGTGCCTCCTGCTCGCCTGTGCTGTAGCAGCCACTGAACTGCTCCCGGACTCACCTATTGCTGTTCACTGGACCTTATGATCACTCAGCTACACAGCTGATGCCTGCTGGACTGTTCCTTTATACGGTACCCCATCCTGTTTATCTGTTTAGCCTCAGCTCAAACTTTCGTTGCCATTACCAGTTATTGTCTTAGCTCTCTCGAATAACACCTGTGATTGCTTTATGCCTCTCTCCCATGTCAATATGCCTTGCCTACTGCTGTTTTGGTTAGTTCTTACTGTACGTTTTCACTGTAGAGCCCCCAGTCCCGCTCAACCTGCCTCAGATAGCTCCTTTGTCACACACGCGGAGACCGGCTCAATCGGTGCCTCCAGTGATGCTATCTCTTTCATCGTTACCCAAAGCTTAGGTTTACCTCCACTGTACTCATATCCTTCCATATCCTTGTCTGTACATAATGCCCATAATCTATTCTACAACGCCCGGAAATCTGCCCCTTTTATTCTCTGTACCCAACGCACTAGAAGACCAGTTCTTAAAGCCTTTAGCCGTATCCTTATTCTATTCCTCCTCTGTTCCACTGGTGACGTAGAGGTTAACCCAGGCCCTGTAGCCCTCAGTATCACTCCTACTCCCCAGGCGCTATCATTTGTTGACTTCTGTAACCGCAAAAGCCTTGGTTTCTTTCAAGTTAACATCAGAAGCCTCCTTCCTAAGTTTGAGTTATTCACTGCGTTAGCACACTCCGCCAACCCTGATGTTCTAGCACTGTCTGAATCCTGGCTTAGGAAGGCCACCAAAGATTCAGAAATGTCCATTCCCAGCTACAACATTTTCCATCTAGATAGAACTGCCAAAGGGGGCGGAGTTGCAATCTACTGTAGAGATAGCCTGCAGAGCTCTATCATACTATCCAGGTCTGTGCCCAAACAGTTTGAGCTTCTACTTCTAAAAATCCACCTTTCCAGAAATAAGTCTCTCACTGTTGCCGCTTGCTACAGACCCCCCTCAGCCCCCAGGTGTGCCCTGGACACTATAAGTGAACTGATTGCCCCCCATCTATCCTCAGAGTTCGTATTGCTTGGTGACCTAAACTGGGATATGCTTAACACCCCGGCCGTCCTACATTCTAAACTATATGCCCTCAATCTCACACAAATGATCAACGAACCTACCAGGTACAATCCTAAATCTGTAAACATGGACACCCTCATAGATATCATCCTGACTAATTTACCCTCTAAGTACACCTCTGCTGTCTTCAACCAGGGTCTCAGCGATCACTGCCTCATTGCCTGCGTCCGTAATGGGTCCGCGGTCAAACGACCACCCCTCATCACTGTCAAACGCTCCCTAAAACACTTCAGCGAGCAGGCTTTTCTAATTGACCTGGCCCGGGTATCCTGGATGGATATTGACGTCATTCCGTCAGTAGAGGATGCCTGGTTGTTCTTTAAAAGTGCTTTCCTCTCCATCTTAAATAAGCATGCCCCATTCAAAAAATTCAGAACTAAGAACAGATATAGCCCCTAGTTCACCCCAGATTTGACTGCCCTTGACCAGCACAAAAACATCCTGTGGCGTACTGCATTAGCATCGAACAGCCCCCGCGATATGCAACTTTTCAGGGAAGTAAGGTACCAATATACACAATCAGTTAGGAAAGCGAAGGCTAGCTTTTTCAAACAGAAATGTGCATCCTGTAACACTAACTCCAAAACGTTTTGGGACACTGTAAAGTCCATGGAGAATAAGAGCACCTCCTCCCAGCTGCCCACTGCAATGAGGCTAGGAAACACTGTCACTACGATAATAAAAAATGTCAACAAGCATTTTGCTATGGCTGGCCATGCTTTCCACCTGGCTACCCCTACCCCGGCCACCAGCTCTGCACCCTCCGCTGCAACTTGCCCATGCCCCCCCGCTTCTCCTTCACCCAAATTCAGATAGCTGATGTTCTGAAAGAGCTGCAAAATCTGGACCCCTATAAATCAGCTGGGCTAGACAATCTGGACCCTTTCTTTCTAAAATTAGCAGCTGAAATTGTCGCAACCCCTATTACCAGCCTGTTCAACCTCTCTTTCGTAACGTCTGAGATCCCCAGAGATTGGAAAGCTGCCACGGTCATCCCCCTCTTCAAAGAGGGTGACACTCTAGATCCAAACTGTTACAGACCTATATCCATCCTGCCCTGCCTTTTGAAAGTATTTGAAAGCCAAGTTAACAAATAGATCACCGACCATTTTTTAATCCCACCGTACCTTCTCCGCTATGCAATCTGGTTTCTGAGCTGGTCATGGATGCACCTCAGCCTCGCTCAAGGTCCTAAACAATATTATAACCGCGATCGATAAAAGACAGTACTGTGCAGCCGTCTTCATCGACCTGGCCAAGGCATTCGACTCCGTCAATCACCACATTCTTATTGGCAGACTAAATAGCCTTGGTTTCTCAAATGACTGCCTCACCTGGTTCACCAACTACTTCTCAGATAAAGTTCAATGTGTCAAATCGGAGGGCCTCTTGTCTGGACCTCTGGCAGTCTCTATGGGGGTGCTACAGGGTTCAATTCTCGGGCCGACTCTATTCTCTGTGTATATCAATGATGTCGCTCTTGTTGCTGGTGACTCTCAGATCCACCTCTATGCAGACGACACCATTTTGTATACATCTGGCCCTTCATTGGACACTCTGTTAACAAACCTCCAAACGAGCTTCAATGCCATACAGCACTCCTTCCGTAGCCTCCAACTGCTCTTAAACGCTAGAAAAACTAAATGCATGCTCTTCAATCGAACGCTGCTTGCACCTGCCCGCCCGACTAGAATCCCTACTCTCGGCGGGTCTGACTTAGAATATGTGGACAACTACAAATACCTAGGTGTCTGGGTAGACCGTAAACTCTCCTTCGAGACTCACATTAAGCATCTCCAATCCAAAGTTAAATCTAGAATCGGCTTCCTATTTCGCAACAAAGCCTCCTTCACTCATGCTGCCAAACATGCCCTCGTAAAACTGACTATCCTACCGATCCTTGACTTCGGCGATGTCATTTACAAAATAGCCTCCAACACTCTACTCAGCAAATTGGATGTAGTCTATCACAGTGCCATCCGTTTTGTCACCAAAGCCCCATATATTACCCACCATTGTGACCTGTACGCTCTCGTTGGCTGGCCCTCACTACATATTCGTCACCAAACCCACTGGCTCCAGGTCATCTATAAATCACTGCTAGGCAAATCCCGCCTTATCTTAGCTCATTGTTCACCATAGCAAAACCCACCCGTAGTATGCGCTCCAGCAGGTATATCTCACTGGTCATCCCCAAAGCCAACACCTCCTTTGGCCGCCATTCCTTCCAGTTCTCTGCTGCCAATGACTGGAACGAACTGCAAAAATCTCTGAAGCTGGAGACTTTTATCTCCCTCACTAACTTTAAGCATCAGTTGTCAGAGCAGCTTACCGATCACTGTAATTAGCCCACCCAACTACCTCATCCCCATATTGTTCTTTATTTTGCTCATTTGCACCCCAGTATCTCTATTTGCACATCATCTTCTGCACATCTATCATTCCAGTGTTAATACTAAATTGTAATTATTTTGCACTATGGCCTATTTATTGCCTTACCTCCATAACTTACTACATATGCACACACTGTACAGTTGAAGTCAGAAGTTTACATACACCTTATACAAATATTTTTTATCCTAGTAAAAATTGTTGGGTCAGTTAGGATCACCACTTTAATATTTAATATATATATTTAATAATATTAGAGAGAATGATTTATTTCAGCTTTTATTTATTTCACATTCCCAGTAGGTCAGAACTTTACATACCCTCAATTAGTATTTGGTAGCATTGCCTTTATATTGTTTAACTTGGGTCAAACATTTTGGGTATTCTTGCACAAGCTTTCCACAATAAGTTGGGTGAATTTTGGCCCATTCCTCCTGACAGAGCTGGTGTAACTGAGTCAGGATTGTAGGCCTCCTTGCTCGCACACGCTTTTTCAGTTCTGCCCACAAATGTTCTATAGGATTGAGGTCAGAGCTTTGTGATGGCCACTCCAATACCTTGACTTTGTTGTACTTAAGCCATTTTGCCACAACTTTGGAAGTATGCTTTGGGTCATTGTCGATTTGGACAAGACCCATTTGCGACCAAGCTTTAACTTCCTGACTGATGTCTTGAGATGTTGCTTCAATATATCCACATAATTTTCCTTCCTCATGACGCCATCTATGTTGTGAAGTGCACCAGTCCCTCCTGCAGCAAAGCACCCCCACAGCATGATGCTGCCACCCCGTGCTTCATGGTTGGGATGGTGTTCTTCGGCTTGCAAGCACCCCCCTTTTTCCTCCAAACATAACGATGGTCATTATGGCCAAACAGTTATATTTGTGTTTCATCAGACCAGAGGACATTTCTCCAAAAAGTACGATCTTTGTCCCCATGTGCAGTTTCAAACCGTAGTCTGGCTTTTTTATGGGGGTTTTGGAGCAGTGTCTTCTTCCTTGCTGAGCGGCCTTTCAGGTTATGTCGATATAGGACTCGTTTTACTGTGGATATTGACACTTTTGTACCTGTTTCACCCAGCATCTTCACAAGTTCCTTTGCTGTTGTTCTGGGATTGATTTGCACTTTTCACACCATAGTACGTTCATCTCTAGGAGACAGAGCGGTATGACGGCTGCGTGGTCCCATGGTGTTTATACTTGCTTACTATTGTTTGTACAGATGAACGTGGTACCTTCAGACGTTTGGAATTTGCTCCAAAGGATGAACCAGACTTGTGGAGGTCTACAATTATTTTGTTGTTGAGGTCTTGGCTGATTTCTTTAGATTTTCCCATGATGTCAAGCAAACAGGCACTGAGTTTGAAGGTAGGCCTTGAAATACACCACAGGTACACCTCCAATTGACTCAAATTATGTCAATTAGCCTATCAGAAGCTTCTAAAGCCATGACATCATTTTCTGGAATTTTCCAAGCTGTTTAAAGGCACAGTCAACTTAGTGTATGTAAACTTCTGACCCACTGGAATTGTGATACAATGAATTATAAATGAAATAATCTGTCTGTAAACAATTGTTGGAAAAATTACTTGTGTCATGCACAAGGTAGATGTCCTAACCGACTTGCCAAAACTATAGTTTGTGGTTGAAAAACGAGTTTTGAAAAACGATTGGTTGAAAAACGGGTTTTAATGACTCCAACCTAAGTGTATGTAAACTTCTGACTTCAACTGTATTTAGATTTTCTATTGTGTTATTGACTGTACGTTTTGTTTACCCCATATGTAACTCTGTGTTGTTGTTTTTATCGCACTGCTTTTCTTTATCTTGGCCAGATTGCAGTTGTAAATGAGAACTTGTTCTCAACTGGCTTACCTGGTTAAATACAGGTGAAATAAAATACACACACACATAGTGACACACACACACAACACGCCCATTCCCTCTTTTTCCCATGTCTACCCCTCCCTCCATCCCTCCACCCCTAAGCCATCCTCTCTATCCCCCTTTTGGATGAGGCAAGGAGGGGTGAGGATGAGGGTAATTAAATTGGGGATGCTGTGTGGTGAGAGATGAAGGGCGCAATGGCGGGATACACCACATATGAACGATCTCACTTGGCTGTGAATGATGCCACAGTAAAAAGACAGACTCAGAGTGCAATCTGGCCAGACGGGGATGGAGATAAAATATATATTTTTTTACCTTTCAGACCATTGTTTATGTGAACAGTCTACCTCTACCTCTATCTCCCTCCAGTATACATACACACACATACACACGCACGCACACACAGGCTACTGTGATTGCTTGCCGCAACAATAAAGAAAAGAAAATGTCACGTTCAAAACACAGGATGCTTGAGCCTAACAGGTGAGATATTGAGGGACAGAGTGTGAAGGGGGGTTTTAAATTAAGAGATAGAGATTGGCAAGAAGAGGAAGGGGCAGATGGAATAGTGTCACCTTGAGAGAGAGGGGGAGGGAAGGAGGAATGGAAGGATGGAGGGAAGGGGCCAATGCTGCCAAGTTGTTTCTCTTCAGACACAAGCTGGTGCAACAGTCATTTTTTGAATGAGCCACTCAACCTAATTCTGGTTTGGATTGTTATGTAAAAACAATGAAATACATACACTACACGACCAAAAGTATGTGGACACCTGCTCGTCGAACATCTCATTCCAAAATCATGGGCATTAATATGGAGTTGGCCCCCCCTTTGCTGCTATAACAGCCTCCACTCCTCTGGGAAGGATTTCCACTAGATGTTGGAACATTGCTGTGGGGACTTGCTTCCATTCAGCCACAAAAGCATTAGTGAGGTCGGGCACTGATGTTGGGCGATTAGGCCTGGCTCGCAGTCAGCGTTCCAATTCATCCCAAAGGTGTTCTATAGGGTTGAGGTCAGGGCTCTGTGCCGGCCAGTGAAGTTCTTCCACACCGATCTCAACAAATCATTTCTGTATGAACCTCGCTTTGTGCACAGGGGCATTGTCATGCTGAAACAGAAAAGGGCCTTCCCCAAACTGTTGCCACAAAGTTGGAAGCACAGAATCGTCTAGAATGTCATTGTATGCTGTAGCGTTAAGATTTCCCTTCACTGGAACAAAGGGTCCTAGCCCAAACCATGAAAAACAGCCCCAGACCATTATTCCTCCTCCATCAAACTTTACAGTTGGCACTATGCATTGGGGCAGGTAGCGTTCTCCTGGCATCCGCCAAACCCAGATTCGTCCGTCGGACTGCCAGATGGTGACGACTTTTACACACTACGCACTTCAGCACTTGACGGTCCCATTCTGTGAGCTTGTGTGGCCTACCACTTCGCGGCTGAGCCATTGTTGCTCCTAGACGTTCCCACTTCACAATAACAGCACTTACAGTTGACCAGGACAGCTCTTTGACGAACTGACTTGTTGGAAAGGTGGCATCCTATGACGGTGCCACGTTGAAAGTCACTGAGCTCTTCGGTAATGCCATTCTACTGCCAATGTTTGTCTATGGAGATTGCATGGCTGTGTGCTCGATTTTATACACCTGTCAGCAACGTGTGTACCTGAAATTGCCAAATCCACTAATTTGAAGGGGTGTCCACATGCTTTTGTATAAATAGTGTATATAAATAGCCATTTCAGAAACACACACACACGCACACACCATACTCTACAAGACTCAGATTCTCATCAAGTCCCTCCACAGTGAACACACCCAATAATATCTCACACAGAATGGTACAGTAGAGTAAAATACAGGTTTGTACTAGACTAGTGTCAGTGGGGGTCTGCTGTTTCTCTCGACACTGCAATGAGAACATTTTTTTACAGATATTGATTTAACTCTCAGAAGCAGCATGATAGATCAATTTCCACACTTGTGTCTGGAGTGCAGTCTATCAGAAGTCCCAGTCACATTCACCCAGTACTGTGAAGTTCACCCAGGGCATAGTTGGAGAGGGGTGTTGTTAAACTACCCCTATCATTCATCACTGACCTCTCTCCTTCTCGCATAAAATAGCAATGGCCACCAAAAACTGGCTCTCTATATAATGGCACAGTGTCTCTCTCTCATTCAAGCACACATGTAAGCAAGCATACGCACACACACCATCTGAAATACCCATGATATACACTGAGTGTACAAAACATTAGGAACACCTGCTCTTTCCATGACATAGACTGACCAGGTGAAAGCTATGATGCCTTATAGGTCACTTGTTAAATCCACTTCAAATCAGTGTAGATGAAGGGGAGGCTACAGGTTAAAGAAACTTTTTTAAGCCTTGAGACAATTGAGACATGGATTGTGCATGTGTGCCATTCAGAGGGTGAATAGGCAAGACAAAATATGTAAGTGCCTTTGAACAGGGTATGGTAGAAGGTGCCAGGCACACCGGTTTGAGTGAGTCAAGAACTGCAATGCTGCTGGGTTGTTCACGCTCTACAGTTTCACGTTTGTATCAAGAATGGTCCACCACCTACAGGACATCCAGCCAACATGACACAACTTTGGGAAGCATTAGAGTCAACATGGGCCAGCATCCATGTGGAACGCTTTCAACACCTTGTAGAGTCCATGCCCAGAGGAATTGAGGCTGTTCTGAGGGCAAAATGAGGTGCCACTCAATATTAGGGTTTTGTAACTCAGTGTATGTCTATGTTTATACACACAAGTATTAGTGCCCACGACTGCTTCCTCTATTTACATCACTGTTTCATCTGGGTCAGAAGTAAATGAGAGAATTCTGTGTAATCGTAAATTATTTGGAGTAAATTAATTATCTAGGCTTTTCCAAATCGTTTGTGGGCTATTCTGCAGATAACAGTGACACCTGCCAGAATTTCTGAAGAACTTCATCAAGCACCTAACTTTTGAATGAGATACTTTTTAAGAAGACTGAACATTTTGATTATATTCTATTTTCTATCAAAAGCCTTGTCTATGTGTTTTCACAGATTTAATTTCAGAACATCATGGCGATAGGTAGACTACTCAAATCCATCATACTTTACTTCAGCGACTGAGCAGAATTGATGCTCTCAAACACATATAGTAATAACAAAGTACACTTTCACAGCAAGGTTGCAGGTGTTCACACACACACACATATATATATATATATATATATATATATATATATATATATATATATATATATATGTGTATATATATATATATATATATATATATATATATATATATATATATATATATATATATATTCTATATATTCTTAAATCCCATTCCTTACTAGTTTTGTGTGTAATGGGTATATGTTGTGAAATTGTTAGATATTACTGCACTGTCGGAGCTAGAAGCACATGCATTTCGCTACACCCGCTATAACATCTGCTAAACACGTGTATGTGACAAATACATTTTGATTTGATTTGATTTTGATATATATATATATATATATATATATATATATACACATCTACGTAAAACGTTATAGATCCACATCGATATTTTTGGGACTCTTTATAATTGTTACACAGTTGCATGTACAGTAATGTAGGTGTAGGAACCATTATTACAGTCATACATGGGGATCTAAATTGTGTACTTATGTTTCTGGCGGAATGTGTTGGTGTTGCACCTTTCATGCAAAAAGCGCTCAAGAAGACTGCCATGAAATTCGACTAGTTTCCAGTTTGTGCAAGTTCATCCGATAGCTTTATACCTTTAAACGTTACTTTCTGTAAGTATTTTTCAATTTACTGCCACCCCTTAGTATAATATTTGTGTATATGAATGGCAAACGTTCAAGTATTGATGGTCCAGTAATCATATTTTGACAAATCTGCCAAGTCGCGTGAGCTAATAACATTAGCTACTAAATTATTAGCAGAACGAGCCATCATGAATGTTAACGTGGATTGTAGCTAGCTAGGATAGTTATTTTACTAGATAGCTTGCTACAACCAATTTGCAGTGGCTTTATGTACTTGGCAAGTATGTGAGTTTACAACAAGTTTGTCTGAAGGTTAGCCCGGCAGATGGCGATATTGTCGTTTCATCTTACCGTCCAAAGGGACTGCATGCAGCCGGCTATACACTCGTATCCCCCGTCCGTGGACTTGTTCGTACATAAGAAATTTTTCATTCAGGATGAAAAGGCGTCGACTTCCACCTTAATAAGATTTAATGGCGAGAAGGCAGAAAGAAACTGGGAAAATATGCATACTTTCTTTATGAAATACCATTTCCACCATCATGCTATAGTGGCTAATGCTACTTCCTGACATTGCATACAGCATTCAGACCAAGGCTGTGGTCCAAACGCGAAGTAGACAGACAGCCCTCGGCCCTCAGCCATTGAATTATGTTTTACCTCATCACATCCGAGTGTACCTTAAATATCCCTTGCCCAAGCGAGGGAGAGTGATGATCAGAGGCAACGTCGTTGGTGGAAATCTTGAAGTTGAGCCTAAAACTAACCTAAATCTATTGATGTACTTAAGCAAGCTAAAGTAGCTAACTTGGCACTCCTGTCAGGTAGCTAGCTACAATTACTCATAACTGGCTAGCTAGTTTTATAGTTTGGTTATTTATTCCAATACATTTCAGAATTCACAAAAATATGTTTATGAAGCTAGCTATGTTTTATAGACTCCCCACTGAGTCTGAGCTACTTTGAGCATCATATTCCCATTGGCCACCGCTAAAATCAATGTTATATAATTTTGTCTCGCATGCCGAAAAAGCAGCGTGTTGATTGAATTTGACACGTCACTACAGTTTGCATTGAATTGTGGGTCATATCAACCCCACGTGATCTAAGTTGTTCACTTGCTCACTCAAGCTAAATCAAGGGCTGAGGGGGTAACTTTTGTGAATTGGACCGCCACTTAAGATGGCAACCAAATTGCATCTGGTTTCAACGGGGATCGAGGGAAAGTGGCTAGTGCGAGGGTTGAGGGGGTAAAAATAATGCGATAAGACCGCAGCCCAAGGGTAAACAGACTGCTGCAACCTGATTTGGCAGAACGTGATACGCAACATCCGGGACTAGCATTTAGCCACTCTAGCATGGGGGTGGAAAATGGTGTTTCATAAAGAAAGTACGCATATCTTTCCCACCTTCTTGCCATTAAATCCAGTTAAGGAGTAAATTGATGCCTTTGCAGCCTGAATGGAGAATGTTTTATGTACGAACCGGTCCACAGGGGATACAAGTTTATAGCCGGCTGCATGCAGTCCCGTTGGACGGTAAGATAAAACGACTCAATATCGCCATCTGCTGCCCTTTGGGCTATCTGAAGGTAAGAAGATGCACTGGGTATCTAGCTAGGTAAACAATGGCTCAATGTTAGCTAGCTAGCTACATTGAACTATTACAAATTGTAAAGAAAGTTATATTTGCTACAGTATGGGCACTTGTGTTTCACTGATAACATCAAGCCAATCAAAACACTTTTTTTTACTGTACTTCAGAGGTTTCTGTCCCTAATGAGTTTTATTGACCTCTGATCTATATTTCTGACTCATCGCTTTGCCAGGGTCCTGAGTGGAGTAGACATGGCTGACCAGGAAACTGGCCCCACTGGGCTGGGTAAGAGGGCTGCAGCAGGTGCTGCGGTTTTCAAAGTGCGTGAGGCTGCAATGGCTATTCTTCAAACAGAATCTACTGGTAACCTGAAAGTACAAAAACGGATTGTCCCATCGACTCCTTTCATTGTACCAGAACCTTCCCTGAAGCCATACAAGCGGCCCCCCACTCTGCTATTGCCACCTTCGTACAGCGCCAACCCAGTTGGAGGGTTTGTCTGTGAGGTGTGCGGCCAGAACTTCTTCTCTTTTCCTCAGATGGTGAGACACAAACAGTTCCACGACGAAGAAAGGCCCTTTCCCTGTGGTGTGTGTGGGAAACGTTTCCTGAGCCGCAGCCACTACACTGAGCACCAGCGTGTTCACACTGGGGAGCGCCCCTTTCCCTGCGACCAGTGTGAGCGCTCGTTCACCACACACCACAACCTGAAGCGTCACCAAACCATTCATGCCAAAGAAGAGGCGTACCGCTGCCGGAAATGTGGCGTGCTCTTCTGCCAGCGTCACGAGTACCCCAGGGGCATACCCAGACCCGACCTTGAGCCTCGACCTGGGTTTGAGTCCACGTCCACGATGCAACCCACGCCTCCCATTCAGGTCACACTCACACCCAAGCAGCTTAAGAAGCTTAACAAGAAGCTTAACAAGAGCCATGATCTCTCAACCAAACATGATCATTCTAAAAAGAAGAAAAAGAGGAGTAGAGTCAAACATCCAGGCCCAGCAGAGAAAGTACATTCTGTGCCTCAAGAGGAACTTTGGCCTGTGTTGTTAACTAGAGACAAATTGCAAAAAGTTGCTTATGACATTGAGGTTATTCTTTGATTCCACATGATGATAAAACAAATGGGATAATCAGTCAGATCAAGATTTTAAAAATATGATGTTTGTTTTGTTTAATCTCCACCGATGTGGACACACTGTTTCAGAAAGGAGTTATACAGTGGGGAAAGAAAGTATTTAGTCAGCCACCAATTGTGCAAGTTCTCCCACTTAAAAAGATGAGAGAGGCCTGTAATTTTCATCATAGGTACACGTCAACTATGTCAGACAAAATGAGGAAAAAAAATCCAGAAAATCACATTGTAGGATTTTTTATGAATTTATTTGCAAATTATGGTGGAAAATAAGTATTTGGTCAATAACAAAAGTTTCTCAATACTTTGTTATATACCCTTTGTTGGCAATGACACAGGTCAAACGTTTTCTGTAAGTCTTCACAAGGTTTTCACACACTGTTGCTGGTATTTTGGCCCATTCCTCGATGCAGATCTCCTCTAGAGCAGTGATGTTTTGGGGCTGTCACTGGGCAACACAGACTTTCAACTCCCTCCAAAAATGTTCTATGGGGTTGAGATCTGGAGACTGGCTAGGCCACTCCAGGACCTTGAAATGCTTCTTACGAAGCCACTCCTTTGTTGCCCGGGCGGTGTGTTTGGGATCATTGTCATGCTGAAAGACCCAGCCACGTTTCATCTTCAATGCCCTTGCTGATGGAAGGAGGTTTTCACTCAAAATCTCACGATACATGGCCCCATTCATTCTTTCCTTTACACGGATCAGTCGTCCTGGTCCCTTTGCAGAAAAACAGCCCCAAAGCATGATGTTTCCACCCCCATGCTTCACAGTAGGTATGGTGTTCTTTGGATGCAACTCAGCATTCTTTGTCCTCCAAACACGACGAGTTGAGTTTTTACCAAAAAGTTCTGTTTTGGTTTCATCTGACCATATGACATTCTCCCAATCCTCTTCTGGATCATCCAAATGCACTCTAGCAAACTTCAGACGGGCCTGGACATGTGTCCCCCTGCTTAAGCCAGTACGTCTGGCACTGCAGGATTTGAGTCCCTGCCGGCGTAGTGTGTTACTGATGGTAGGCTTTGTTACTTTGGTCCCAGCTCTCTGCAGGTCATTCACCAGGTCCCCCCGTGTGGTTCTGGGATTTTTGCTCACCGTTCTTGTGATCATTTTGACCCCACGGGGTGAGATCTTGCGTGGAGCCCCAGATCGAGGGAGATTATCAGTGGTCTTGTATGTCTTCCATTTCCTATTAATTGCTCCCACATTTGATTTCTTCAAACCAAGCTGCTTACCTATTGCAGATTCAGTCTTCCCAGCCTGGTGCAGGTCTACAATTTTGTTTCTGGTGTCCTTTGACAGCTCTTTGGTCTTGGCCATAGTGGAGTTTGGAGTGTGACTGTTTGAGGTTGTGGACAGGTGTCTTTTATACTGATAATAAGTTCAAACAGGTGCCATTAATACAGGTAACGAGTGGAGGACAGAGGAGCCTCTTAAAGAAGAAGATACAGGTCTGTGAGAGCCTGAAATCTTGCTTGTTTGTAGGTGACCAAATACTTATTTTCCACCATAATTTGCAAATAAATTCATTAAAAATCCTACAATGTGATTTTCTGGATTTCTTTTTCCCAATTTGTCTGTCATAGTTGACGTGTACCTATGATGAAAATTACAGGCCTCTCTCATCTTTTTAAGTGGGAGAACTTGCACAATTGGTGGCTGACTAAATACTTTCTTTCCCCACTGTACCTTAACACTTGTCTTGCATCACATTATGATTTTGGTATTTATTCCTTCATTATGAGTTTGAGAAAATACTTTTCTCTCCACAATTGATCATGATTTTGAAACATTCTGTCAAGCATTTAAAATTATTAACTGTCCTCTGAAATGTTATATTGTTTTGCATTTGAGATCGTGACAACTTTTTGTATTTCATTAGAATATACATTTTTCAGTTGTATTATGATTAATTAAATTGTTTTGATCCATTGCCATGTAAGGGCTAGTGTCCATGCATTATTAAACTAGATAACTCCTCTGATGTTGCACATCAATTATTTGATATGGAAATACATTTTGATCTGCTTTTTAGATTATGTTCATAGAGGCCTGTAGGGTTTCTTTCTGGGCCTTAACCATTTAGTTGTCCAGAAATTGCCTTCACCAATTTATGTACGTGTAAATAATCATGATGCATTGTTGTTGATTAATTACTAAATGTACCTGTCATAGGAACAAGTGAATCCCTATATCTGTAGTCTGTGTAATGTGGACAATGTTGTTAAATTTGGGTAAAAAAGTCTATGTATGTCGAAATTATGTCTCCATTTGAATTCTGCATAACTACCACAGGCTGTCGATTGTAAATGTATTTTTTTATTGATAATGGGCTTACTTATACATTTCTTGTCTTTGTCTTTATTATTGACACTTTCCAGGTATTTATTTTTCATGTCACAAGAGACTCATTTTAAAGTGAATGTAAGCATGCATAGAAATATATTGACTCACTTTTTGGCTTTAAGTACTCAAATTGTATTTGTCACATGCACCTAATACAACATGTGTAGACCTTACTGTGAAATGCTTACTTACAAGCCCTTAACCAACAATGCAGTTCAATAAATAGAGTTCAGAAAATATTGACTAAATCAACTAAAGTAAAATAAAAAGTAACACAAAATTACATAACGAGGCTGTATACAGGGGGTACCGGTACCGAATCAATGTGCGGGGGTACAGATTAGTCGGGGTAATTTGTACATGTAGGTAGGGGTAAAGTGACTGCATAGATAATAAACAGCGAGTAGCAGCAGTGTAAAAACAAAGAGCGGGGTAAATAGTCCGGGTGACCATTTGATTGCAGCTAACATCAAATACCTGACCTAACTTGTGTGATGAATACTGGAAAGTCCTTTGTAACAGGCTCTGTATTACAGCAGACTTGTATCACTTATCTTCACTATTACAATAGGTTAAAGGTAGACTGATATGAAGTAGGTGCAGAACGTAAACAGCAAAGTGGGTCAATTTCCGCAACAAACTTTGAAGCGCACGGATCAACTTCTCCCATGTTTTGGTGCCGTGGCTACCACACAGTAACAGCGAGAAGCGAACCCATGCACATGCTGTGTGTGACTGTGAGAGCGAAGTCTTGCATCTCGCACAATATCTGCGTGGCAATGTCATTTTTAAAGAGGCATGCGTCTGCTCCATATATCATCCTTGTTTTACAACAAGAGGTGAACACTAAAATCTGCTTGTGTAAAACATGACAATCTAGGGCCCCGTGTTGACTCCTATCTCTGATATAAAATATTGGTTAAGACTGAATTTAGATTGTTATAGTTACTTACATAGACCGTAGATATTGTCATTCTAATATGATATTCCCTGGTCTACCACCGCCACAGTCGAGTTATTACTTTACTCACAGTTTGAGCTACTTTGATTTTTTGCAAATCAATTTTTATCTGTCTATAAACTATGGTCTGTAAGGATTGTCTCTGACAAAGCCCTTCCACTGGAAAGCGTTCGCAAACTCGAGGATATTGAGGGAGTTCTGTTAATGAGTCGCAGTGCACCGGTCTATGGCCCTTGACGTGAACGGGCAAAAGCGGTGAGGGAGGAGCAACTGTTTCAAATCTAACAGTAATCTGCGCCTTTTGGTCATGTTGTCAACTAGGCAGCATGGTACATCGGTCAGAAACATCTGTTTTTCCATCAAATATGTTAGAATTTTCAATAAAGCGTTTTTTTTTCAAAAGTAATCACTTTTGCATGTGAACACAGAACTACTCATTACTCCACGTAATCTAGCCTAGGTTTCGCCGTGTGTTTTGAACAGGGCACCTCACCTGGCTCACGCTGGTTGGTAGCCCGGTTCCAAAACGAATGCAATCACTTTTCACCCGTGCAAACTATTCTCACCGGGGTAACCCGGGCCAGATGATCGAATTGGCAGGCAGCGCAAATCTTTCGCAATATACATCCCATTGGTTGCGTAATACCGGTACCATTATGTTCCCTTTGTGATTGGGTATAGACCAGTCAAAACCACCTCTGGTAACAGTTGCAGTTGATTTGCTAGCTATCTGTATCGGGGCAACCGACTACAATCATTGACTGATTCCTCCAAATCGACGCAGTTGATTGGTTAATCCGTTCGTAGATTAGCACTGGCTGCATGAATGGTTGAAGCAATTGCTGCTGATGCTGTGACCTGGAGTTTGGTGTCCGCATCAGGACTGACAGTGCATGAAGGATATTATAGTGTCAAGTGGCTACAGAGAGAATTAACTGACACGTAGACCCATTTTACGGAACAGTTAGTTGAAGGGTTGGTTTGGAAGTAAAACCCATTATTTCCCTCAAAAAAATGAAAACAAGTGAAGTCTGGAATATTGAGTCTCGTGAAACCAGTGGCTGTCGCCCGCTGGCGATGTAGAGCGTGGGGTCGGGTGGCTATCCAGCCACTAGCTATTTTCTTATATGATCATGTCTGATGATTGATGGGGAAAGCATGGTCAGCCAATTTCTTAAATAACAAATAGATAATGTTATCAACTAAGCACAATAATGGAAGACTATAGTTACGACCTTTGCAAGTACTGTGGGGATCTAGATGTGATGACTAGCTTAGAAGGAATGCATTAATGATTAAACATAAAAGGTTTGTACTGTACTGATATAAATTGTTTCACATAACAAGCTGTGATTCATGTGAGGAACGTTAGGGGGTAGAATAAGATAAGACTTGTATTTCTCACAGACACATACACACTGCCTCTTTGTTAAACCATCATACTCAAGGACATGTGTACTGCAAAAAGGTGCTGACTCTACAGGGTGTGATGATAACAACTTATGCCTGGCAACAGTGGAGCGCCAATGGGCTGTGACCAGCCTGTGCGCCAACGGATAGGCTGAGTAAGTCTAAACCACGCTCAGTCTCTACTCTGATTGGCCAGCAGGGAGCGGGAACTATCTCTGTCAGAGTATTTTAAGAAGAACTCATAAGTGGCTTAGTTCTCTGAGTGCCCTGTGTGGTATTTCAGTGGACCCGTATATACGAACATCATATTTACCATTGAAGTGGTTTGCATTAATTAAAATACTAGTCTATTTTAGAAGACGTGTATTGACCTCTTTTGTTCCTAATACCAGATTTGAATTGACGCAACTTAACAATTGGTGACCACCGACTGTGATCTGGTAGAAGGGACTTCGCTGGGTATTGTCCGGGCCATTGGACATCTCTGTCATTGAACGGTGTGTTTCACAAAGAGTCCGGACTACTAAAAACAGGTAAGCAGACACCTATTGTTATATAACTAAAGTTCTGCACATTGGCTTTATCCAAATTAATTTTGTGAAACACCTGTTTGATGTAAGTGAACTAAATTATGAATTATTATGAGTAAATAAGAAATATTGTCGCTATTGTGATATGCAAATGTATGGTAAATGTGAGTGTTAAAACCATGGTATTATAGAGTATTGTTCACCGGCACGTACCAGAGGGCTAGGATCGGGAATGATACTGAAATCCCCAGGCTAGGACCACCAGGGGTGGGAACTGGGGGTACAGGGAATTATTGGCTTAAAAGTGTTGCACTATTGACACGTATCAGAAGGCTAGATACGGCTAGGATCATAAGGGGCACTTACATTTTAGTCGACTCCAGGCTAGGATCACAAGTGGTGAGAACTGGAGGCGTAGGGAATTATTGGCTTAAAAGTGTTGCACTATTGACACGTATCAGAAGGCTAGATACGGCTAGGATCATAAGGGGCACTTAAATTTTAGTCGACTCCAGGCTAGGATCACAAGTGGTGAGAACTGGAGGCGTAGGGAATTATTGGCTTAAAAGTGTTGCACTATTGACACGTATCAGAAGGCTAGATACGGCTAGGATCATAAGGGGCACTTACATTTTAGTCGACTCCAGGCTAGGATCACAAGTGGTGAGAACTGGAGGCGTAGGGAATTATTGGCTTAAAAGTGTTGCACTATTGACACATATCAGAAGGCTAGATACGGCTAGGATCATAAGAGGCACTTAAATTTTAGTCGACTCCAGGCTAGGATCACAAGTGGTGAGAACTGGAGGTGTAGGGAATTATTGGTTAAAAGTGTTGCGCTATTGACACGTATCAGAAGGCTAGATACGGCTAAGTCATAAGGGGCACTTAAATTTTAGATAGTGTTGCACTACTGACACGTATCAGAGGGCTAGATACGGCTAGGATCAGAGGGGCACTTTAAAGTATAGGGTGTCGTATGAATGAGGGTGCGAATGATCCCAGACGAAATAAAATAGTGAATACAGGTTATTAAAATTAATAAACCTGTATACCTTGATAGAAAACTAATTAGGAATTAAAGACGTCTGTGGCTGTCCAAACTGTATAATTTGTGAATAACTGTTGGGTTTGTGGTTGCTTAAACCGTATAACCCGTTAATAACAATTGGGAACATAAAGGTAAAATAATGAATAACTAGTATGACTAAACTGAAACGTTTGAACTGATATAATTGAACTGTAACGGTTGATGTTTGACCCTGCAAAATACTGGTTAAATAATTAGACTGAAATAATTAGGTTTATCGTTGAAATATAAATATGCACCGACTTTAACTAATTAGGTGGGAATAATTTGATTTAAATAAATAGACTAACGTACTTTAAATAACGGCAGAATATTGGAAACGCTAAAACGAAAAGCAGACAAAGCCTGTTCCGACTGGACACAGGAGGGGAGGGGCTGGAGACAGCGAGAGTGTGGCTGTTGGAGTCAGGAAAGACTGGGAGTTGGCTGGGAACACCACGGGGCGATTGTTTGAGAGGTGCCTGTGGGTTTCTGACGATATATACGTATGAACTTGCTCACCCGAACGTAGACGTACATCATGGGTGAGAAAGTAGAGAATATTCACATTTGCATTTTTGGTAATTTGGCAGACGCTCTGGTCCAGAGCGACTTATGGGAGCGATTGGGGTTGAGTGCCTTGCTCGAGGGCACATCGGCAGATTTTTCGCCTGGTCGGCTCGGGGATTGGAACCGGCGACCTCTCGGTTGTTGGCGCGGCGCTATTGGTCACTAAGCTGCCTGCCGCCCCATATGAGTTTAAGGTTGTGCCGTTGTTTGATCATGTGATAAGGTTTAATGGGTAATCGGACCATAACTAATGTGGGTATGGAAGTAATGTATGAACAGTGGAGAGCCAATAGGGGGCTCCATTGAACTATTATGTTTGGTGGCATGAGGTGAAGTCTGTGTGTATGAGTGAATTCGGCGGCTGGTGTGGGTGGTGACCGGATGCTACTAAGTATTTGGTTTGGTGATGTTGAATGGACAACTTGTAGCGTGTTTTGGGGTTAAATAGAAAGACTCACTTATTCAATAGAGAATGGGTGAAGGGAGAGATAGCATTACTTTGTGTTGCTGAATGAGGTGAAAGCTAGTGCAGTTTTCATTTGGTGACGTCACTTGCTCTATGAACTGGAAGTATTTACTTTGAAAGCATCGCGGAATGTGTGAAGTGACTGGCGATGTATGTAGAGGGTCCCTGGTTCGAAAACAGGTAGGGACAGTGGGTAAAGCTTTCGCATTGGGGCTATAGACCTAGATTACTATGTGGATTGGGAAAGGTGAAAGGTTGAATTAGATAGCTTAAGTAGAAGTATTCTAGAAAGGTCTTTGAAAATATGTTACAAGGTCCCCGCGCCTTCCCCGTAGTTCAAATGTTAGGAATATCATTAAATGTATGCTTATCAACGATAACAAGTATTTGTTTTATTAATTAGGGCCTAATCAGAGAGAACAGTTAAAGAAATTGAATAGCGAACTGAAATGGCGATAGAGCTGTGAAAGTTGAGGACAAAGGAGAGTAATTTATGGCTCTGGTTAGCGGGAGAAAAAATTAAATAGAGACAGTCAAGCGAGTTAGATTGAACTGTGGGATTTCAAGTAGAGGTCTAGATACTTGACTGGAAGGCAGTGCTTTGATAAATTCTAATTGTTATTACTTTATTCGATGGGTTGCTTGACGCCAGTGGTGTATACAAATAGTTGGTAAATTTTAGAACGATAATTTATTTTTGTTACGGGGAACAGGGGATGCAAGTGGCTTTGGCTGTTGTGCTGGGGGAATAGCGCAAGCCTGTGGTGGGTTCTGGATTTGTTAAATAAACAAACTTATATTTTAAACTAAAGTGATGGAATAGGCTACAATTATAACATTATCAGAAAAAGGGCACAATATAATGTGTAATAGTTATTACAATTATTATTGATAGTTATTACAGTTATTATCATTGATCCAGTAATGATAGAAGGATAGTAGAGGAAAGGCAAGGGATTAAATCTCATTTAGGGAAAGAAGAAGAGTATGAAGATATATTAGGGAGAAAATACCATTAACTGAGGGATATAAAATGTTTAGCTGAAAAACACAACAGGAATAATTTACCTTACACCCTAATATAGATATTGCATTACTTTTGATGTAACCGTGATTGTATTGGCTAAAAAATGAAAAATGACATTTACAGGGGGGACAGGAACAATAGAAGAGGAGACAGATTTTCCTAGGGGGTTGATCAAATAATTGATAATGGATCATTTGAGATGAGATCACATGTAGCAGAGTTAGGGTAATCAATTAAATAATAATTGTATACTCGAGGAATTTTGAGTGGTTTTATGGATTAGTTATGAGGAATTTGATTGATACAAACAATTATTGATGGGTTAGGACTGGGGATATCTGTATCATGTTTTGTGTGTACTACCATCTTTAGATTATAACCAGGAGAAAGAGATTAGCTCATCTCATTGGAATGTTGCCCAGGGCTAGGGGGAGCAGTAGTGAAGTTAGGCAGTATTTAGGTCATAAAAGTGAGATGCAAATTAAGTGAGGCCTGGCTATTTGTGGTTGTTGTTTTTCAAATTTGGTTTTTCAAACAAAAAACAACACACCTAGTATGATGTTTATAAAGCCTTGTTGTTTCAATTTTGGGGGGTTTTCAGCAGGTCAAGGGTGATAGGTCTTGGAGGAGCACGCACAGTGAATTTTGTGGAGTTTTTCGGTTTTGGCTGAGTTTGGGGTATATATGATTTAATGAGAATGAATGTCATGAGGACTTAAATGAACACTTGGGATAAGTAACATTTACGAAATATTTAGAATAATGGTAATGTTTGGAATACTATGGGATGGAACAGTTCGTTGAATAATTTCAATTGCCTCTGAACTCTGTTTTAACCTTCTGGTGTTAATTAATCATCCACACTAGTAAATTCTAAAGGCATGAGAGGAGGACTTTAAGATAGTTTATTTTACTAAGTTGAGGGTAATTTATAATACTGTGAAAAGTGTGAAGAAGATTATAATTTAGTAAGAATATATATGATTTGAACCATAAAATAACAGAAGAGAGAGAGCTTTCCCTGAATGAGGGATACCTGTTGCTAGTCAATTGTACTAATCTTGGATTACTTTTACGGGATAGAAGTAAATTGAGGTATTATCAAATGTTGTCATTAAATTTCATTATTAGTATGCTTTAATAAACAACAAGTTGGTATTTGAAACTACATTTTAATGCAATGAGCTGCAGTAATCAGAGGAAGGCACAATCTAATGCGAAACAGCTATAACCTAGATCATTTATTTAGTAATGAGATCAGGAAGGGAGGAGCAATAAAGAAGCAAGGGACAGTCTAAAAAAATAAAATAAAATAAAAAATAAGGGATGGCAATTGGATAATGAATTACCAATATTACCTAAGTGATTGTTTAGGTAGGTGGTAATATTGACACATGGGCAAATCATGTGTCAAAAGGGGGATGGTAGGATTAAATAATAAATATATACGAAGGAGAGGACAAAATACTTTAAAAAACAACAACAACAAGAATAGAAATTGAGAGCTGAACATGTATGTGTGAAGATAGTTTATTAACCACACCCGTATGTCAGAGTTTTTGTGCCCCACAGGTGAACTAAAGGAGAAGGTGACCCACTCTATCTAACCAGGTGACTGGTGAGCATCCAGTCCCTAAAGAAGAAAAACTGGAAGCAGGCCTGTTGGGAAGGGCCCTACCAAGTCCTATTGGTCACTGCCTTTGCCATTGGAATAGCTGAGAGATCCACCTGGGTGCATGTCACACACTGCAAAAAGGTAAACCCAGCTACACCTGACGAACAAACACAGAGTTAGGAGAAAGAACCGATCACCACTAGGGCTCGGGGGTTGGCTCCTTAACGAAGATTCCCTTACCCTGTCTGATCATCCCTGTGTGAGTTCGATAGAAGGTAAAGCAATGGGTTGGCCTCTGGCGTCTGACATGTTCTCAGGGCGAGGGTGGGGATTCACAGGTCTCCTGACGGTAGGTAGCTGTCTGATTGTGGGGGCCATAATCCTAACACACTCAAACCCTCCTGATCCGCCAGAAGTAGTAGTTAACCTAACACAAGTTGATAAAATAATACCTGAGCACAGTCTACGAAGGCATAGGAGACAGCTAGACGTAGGGAAAGGGGAAGTACTAGGGACTGTAGGGAAGGACATCACCTTTTGAGGTCTTTGCGGACCAGTTGGGGACTACTGGCTGGTAGTATCGTAAAGGATGGGAGATATATATGTATGTCACCATGTACATCCTGGGACCATGTAGTTGCTCATACCGAGTGAGGGGGATATGTCAATCTCCATACACAGTTTAAGGACAGGTGTAGTATTGTGAAAGTAGGGAATTACCAGAAATGGCAGTGCGACCCATATAAGGGTAGGTACTGTCTGAAAGTCTGAATTACGCTAAAACAGGTTACAGACCTGACAAGTAAGATATCCTCTTCAACTGGGGCACCCTATAGAGTAAACCTCTCTGAGGGAGGTAGTGAGACCGGGGCTGTGGTGAAGATAGTGCAAACTATAGACCTGAAGGAAGTAGTACAGGTGGAGACGGGGTATAGAGATCCTAACCTGTGGTTGGAATGGATTCAGTATACGGCAAGAACTATGTCTAAAGAGGACTGTTATGCCTGTGGGACAGCCAAACCAAGGTTAACAACTACTCCGTTCCCCTTGACAGGCTTTAACTCTCCGTCAGGTTTATCCTCCATGATTAAATTGTTCAAGCCACCTGGGAATGTGGTGAAGGAGTCTTGTAGTAACTTGCACTATCTGTATCCCCCGATAACAAAGTCACCCCGACCTAGTCTCAGGGGATTCTTATTATTGTTTTTCTAGGACTAATAAGATAGGATACAGGGTAGGGCATCTTAGCTCCTGCTCCCACACAGAGAATGTCACAACTAAAGAGACCATGACTACTCTCTCCTCTTTGTTGCAGCCAGAGGATTTTAGGAACCAAAACCAGGCCCGTGCTGACATCTGATGGTTGTGTGGTGATAACAGATTGTGAACTCACCTACATACGCAAACAATCAAACGTGTCAGAGACTGGTGAGTTGTCACGTAGAAAGTGGGACCTCCTCCCGGGATCCTTTGATGAAAGGATATATATTGATGGGATAGGAGTACCTCGAGGGGTTCCAGAAGAATTCAAAGCTAGGAATCAGATCGCAGCTGGGTTTGAATCAAGTCTTTTCTGGTGGTCAACAATTAATAAAAACATAGATTGGATAAATTATATTTACTATAACCAGCAAAGATTTATAAACCACACTCGTGATGCAATAAAGGGATTAGCTGAGCTGACAGCGGCAACTAGCTTAATGGCATGGCAGAATAGAATAGCTTTAGATATATGCTTTTGGCTGAGCGGGGCGGAGTTTGTGTTCTGTTTGGATCTATGTGCTGTACTTTCATCTCCAACAATACAGCACCGGACGGGTCCGTGACCAAAGCGCTTCAGGGACTCACCACGCTGGCGAACGAACTGGCTGAGAACTCTGGTATTGATAGTTCCCTAAACGGTTGGTTTGATAACATATTTGGTAAATGGAAAACTATTGTTGTAACTATTCTGGGTGAAGTTATAGCTTCTATGGGTATACTTGTTCTTTGTGGATGTTGTCTTATTCCCTGTGTCTGAGGGTTGGTGAGCAAGGCGATGGAGTAGGCGGTTTCCCAACAGGTGGTGAGATACGGCCCAATCCCGGACTCCGACCTAAGGAATGACGGATATGACCTACCAGGCTTGGTGGAGTGACACCCTAGTGGGTGTCTAAAGGGGGCCAAAATTTACTTCCCTGTTTGTGTTTTATGTTTTAATAATCTTGTGTTTTGTGTTCTATTAATCCAGTGTTTTATGCTTTATTAATCAAGTTAACCATTGTGAATGTTTGTCTTTCCTTATGTGAAGGTTTGAAGTTCCTGGGTGGCTGGTAGCCAACCTAGTACCAGTTGGGTGTAGATGGAAGGACTGAAGGCATTTTTATTATCATTATTGCCTATTAATAAAAGTGTGATTATTTTTGTTTGTATTGTATTTTAATGAGTGACACCCTAGAGGGTGTCAATACGGGGAATCCTAAATTTCCCTGAAATTTGTTATTTTGGGTTTTCTTATTTTGGGTTCACACCCAGTGGGTGTGAAAAGGGGGATTGTGGGGATCTAGATGTGATGACTAGCTTAGAAGGAATACATTAATGATTAAACATAATGGGTTTGTACTGTACTGATATAAATTGTTTCACATAACAAGCTGTGATTCATGTGAGGAACGTTAGGGGGTAGGATGAGATAAGACTTGTATTTCTCACAGACACATACACACTGCCTCTTTGTTAAACCATCATACTCAAGGACATGTGTACTGCAAAAAGGTGCTGACTCTACAGGGTGTGATGATAACAACTTATGCCTGGCAACAGTGTGCAACAGTGGAGCGCCAAGGGGCTGGGACCAGCCTGTGCGCCAACGGATAGGCTGAGTAAGTCTAAACCACGCTCAGTCTCTACTCTGATTGGCCAGCAGGGAGCGGGAACTATCTCTGTCAGAGTATTTTAAGAAGAACTCATAACAATGGCTTAGTTCTCTGAGTGCCCTGTGTGGTATTTCAGTGGACCCGTATATACGAACATCATATTTACCATTGGTTTGCATTAATTAAAATACTAGTCTATTTTAGAAGATGTGTATTGACCTCTTTTGTTCCTAATACCAGATTTGAATTGACACAACTTAACAATTGGTGACCACCGACTGTGATCTGGTAGAAGGGACTTCGCTGGGTATTGTCCGGCCCATTGGACATCTCTAGATATACCAGATTTGAATTGACGCAACTTAACAGTACCTAGCGTAGTGTGAAGAAAACTGCACTGCGGATTAGGACGAAGCAGGATTTGTAATGCACTACTTGCTAGGTAGCTACATGTGAGTTGGTCCTTGTAAACCAGCATTCAAATTGATATATATATTTTTTTAAAATTGCGAAATAACATAAACATGTCAGTTTGTAGTAGATTATTTGGGCCATTTTATGATTTAGCCAACATTGATTTAGCAGATTGCCTGGTACTCACTCCATGATGCACACAGCTGCACCAGTGCCACTCACTGACCTATCAAACTCCCTACACCACCTTTTACACTTATAATTGGAACCAGTCTACTTACATTTACATTTACGTCATTTAGCAGACGCTCTTATCCAGAGCGACTTACAAATTGGTGCATTCACCTTATGATAGCCAGTGGGACAACTTTACAATATATCAATTTTTCTAAAAAAATAAATGTTTTTATATATATATATATATATTTTATATTTTTTGGGGTGGGGGAGGGTAGAAGGATTACTTTTATCCTATCCCAGGTATTCCTTAAAGAGGTGGGGTTTCAAGTGTTTCCAGAAGGTGGTGAATGACTCCGCTGTCCTGGCGTCGTGAGGGAGCTTGTTCCACCATTGGGGTGCCAGAGCAGCGAACAGTTTTGACTGGGCTGAGCGGGAACTGTGCTTCCGCAGAGGTAGGGGGGCCAGCAGGCTAGAGGTGGATGAACACAATGCCCTCGTTTGGGTGTAGGGACTGATCAGAGCCTGAAGGTACGGAGGTGCCGTTCCCCTCACAGCTCCGTAGGCAAGCACCATGGTCTTGTAGCAGATGCAGGCTTCTGGAGGAGCGGGGTGACGTGAGAGAACTTAGGAAGGTTGAACACCAGACAGGCTGCAGCGTTCTGGATGAGTTGTAGGGGTTTAATGGCACAGGCAGGGAGCCCAGCCAACACCGAGTTGCAGTAATCCAGATGGGAGATGACAAGTGCCTGGATTAGGACCTGTGCCGCTTCCTGTGTAAGGTAGGGTCGTACTCTGCGAATGTTGTAGAGCATGAACCTACAGGATCGGGTCACCGCTTTGATGTTATCGGAGAACGACAGGGTGTTGTCCAGGGTCACGCCAAGGTTCTTTGCACTCTGGGAGGAGGACACAACGGAGTTGTCAACCGTGATGGCGAGATCATGGAGCGGGCAGTCCTTCCCCGGGAGGAAGAGCAGCTCCGTCTTGCCGAGGTTCAGCTTGAGGTGGTGATCCGTCATCCACACTGATATGTCTGCCAGACATGCAGATATGCGATTCGCCACCTGGTTATCAGAAGGGGGAAAGGAGAAGATTAATTGTGTGTCGTCTGCGTAGCAATGATAGGAGACACCATGTGAGGATATGACAGAGCCAAGTTACTTGGTGTATAGAGAGAATAGGAGAGGGCCTAGAACTGAGCCCTGGGGGACACCAGTGGTGAGAGCATGTGGTGCAGAGACAGATTCTCGCCACGCCACCTGGTAGGAGCGACCTGTGAGGTAGGACGCAATCCAAGAGTGAGCCGCGCCGGAGATGCCCAACTCGGAGAGGGTGGAGAGGAGGAGCTGATCGTTCACAGTATCAAAGGCAGCAGATAGGTCTAGAAGGATGAGAGCAGAGGAGAGAGAGTGAGCTTTAGCAGTGTGGAGAGCCTCCGTGACACAGAGAAGAGCAGTCTCAGTTGAATGACCAGTCTTGAAACCTGACTGGTTTGGATCAAGAAGGTCATTCTGAGAGAGATAACAAGAGAGTTGGCTAAAGACGGCACGCTCAAGAGTTTTGGAGAGAAAAGAAAGAAGGGATACTGGTCTGTAGTTGTTGACATCGGAGGGATCGAATGTAGGTTTTTTGAGAAGGGGTGCAACTCTCGCTCTCTTGAAGACGGAAGGGACATAGCCAGTGGTCAAGGATGAGTTGATGAGCGAGGTGAGGTAAGGGAGAAGGTCTCCGGAAATGGTCTGGAGAAGAGAGGAGGGGATAGGGTCAAGCGGGCAGGTTGTTGGGCGGCCGGCCGTCACAAGTCGCAAGATTTCATCTGGAGAGAGAGGGGAGAAAGAAGTCAAAGCATAGGGTAGGGCAGTGTGAGCAGGACCAGCGGTGTCATTTGACTTAATAAATGAGGATCGGATGTCGTCAACCTTCTTTTCAAAATGGTTGACAAAGTCATCCACAGAGAGGGAGGAGGGAGGGGGAGGAGGATTCAGCAGGGAGGAGAAGGTGGCAAAGAGCTTCCTAGGGTTAGAGGCAGAGGCTTGAAATGTAGAGTGGTAGAAAGTGGCTTTAGCAGCAGAAACAGAGGAAGAAAATGTAGAGAGGAGTGAAAAGATGACAGGGAGTCTAGTTTTCCTCCATTTCCGCTCGGCTGCCCTGTTCTGTGAGCTCGCAATGAGTCGTCAAGCCACGGAGCAGGAATGGAGGACCGAAAGTAACATTACTTGCTACTATAATGGAATACAATTGCTTATCATGCATTTTCCTTATCAAGGTCTGGTAATTCCTCATTAAACCCCTGCAGAAGGGTGCACTGTGCACAGATGTGTCAATCGTGATGCATGGTGGGGCTTGTAGTTTAGCCAGTGTATCACTGCTGTTGTCAGCATGCACAAAGAAGAGTGGTGGTCACGTCTGTTGGAACTTATACATTGTAATGTGTAATGTTGTCTATTAGAATATACTATTAGAATATACTCGCTCAGCAGGGCCTGGAGCATGTCTGGAAGCTTCTGGTCATCTGCCTTCTATGTCGACTTCTCTGGATTCTGGGTGAGATTTCGCATTCCTTTGCGTGAAATGTTACTTTCGGAATTTCACAGAGCTCCTGATAACGACAGAACATGATGAGTCTTAGGAGAGTGATTTTGATTAGGACATTTCTGAGAAATGATATAGAACTGAAGAACTACATGCAGGTTCTACTACATGTTCTCATTCTCTTCTGTGTGTGCTGTTGTTTTTGTTTTGTTCCCCTGGTCAGGCCTCCCCTCATATGTGAAACACCTGAACACCGTGGCGGGAGGGTTCTACACCCTGTACCTGTTCTTTGAGCTCCCCATGGTGTGGGTGGTGCTGCTCAATCTACTATGCTACCTCATCCTCTTCCTCTGCCGGCACTCCAGTAACCGGGCCACCTTCCTCTCCATCACCATCCTCATCTACCTGCTCATTGGGTAGGTAGATCTGTTACCTGTTACCAAGTGCATTGAAAATGGTTGTCTACTCTCCCCTTTTCCTTCCAGAGAGCTGCATATGATGGACACCACCACCTGGCACAAAATGAGAGGATGATACTTACTCTCAGCGTGAATATACACTACAAACCAGGGGTTGGAACTGGTTTAGGGAACAGAACAGAAAATACATATATTTTTTCAAGGAACAGAATCAGAACCTGGAACGAAAGTGATCTTTACTGTTCCGGAACAGAACCGTTATTTTAAAAGCATGGGAACTGGTTAATAACATTATTTTACATTCCGGGCATTTTTTTCCAGTCCCACAAAAAACGCAACAAAGCACCTATGCAAAGCCCTCCCTCTGCCAATCAGAAAATTCTTCCAGTTCTGCCTGCCAGCTGAAAATCTTTGCCTGTGTGTGCGTGTAGGCTAACTGCCGTTCCCCCTCCGAAGCATGGCTGTAGCCTACAGATGTTACAAGCGTGATTCAGAAGATAGGAGAGAGATTTTTAATTAGAGAAGAATGGATTTGTCACGATCGTCGTATGGAGTAGACCAATGCGCAGCGTTAGTTGCGAACATACTTCTTTATTTAATGAAAGCACGAACAAAGACTTGGTGCGAGTGGCAGGAACAGGCCGGGCCGGGCTGGCGACGCGCACCGTAGGTTTGGTGCGAGGAGCAGGAACAGGCCGGGCTGGGCTGGCGACGCGCACCGTACACTTGGTGCGAGGGGCCGGAACAGGCCAGACCGTACTGGGGACACACACCACTGGCTCTACCCCGGGATCTGGAACGGGCCGGACCGGACTGGTAACACACCCCAGTACCTCTCGCCGTGCCTCTACACCTTCTTTCCCTACTTTGACCAGTGGCCCCCGTAACCTGGTGGCCTTCTGAATTCGCCCCTTTTCTGCCTCCGTCAGCCCCGTCGTCCATGCCCTGTGCCCCCCCCTAAACATTTTTTGGGGTTGCCTCTCGTCCGTCCGACGCCGACACTGATTACGCCGTTGCTCCTCTCTCCGTCGCGCTTCTACCGTCTCACTCCATGGCCGGCGATCCATCCCGGCCAGGATTTCCTCCCAGGTCCAGGACCCCTGCCCGTCCAAGATCTGCTCCCACGTCCAGGCTGCCTGCTCCTGGACACGCTGCTTGGTCCTGGTATGGTGGGATCTTCTGTCCCGATCGTCGTATGGAGTAGACCAATGCGCAGCGTTAGTTGCGAACATACTTCTTTATTTAATGAAAGCACGAACAAAACAAGAAAACGATAACGTGACAGTCAACGGTCAAACACAAACCAACTCGAACAAGATCCCACAAAACACAAAGGGCAAACAGACAGTTTAAATATGGCTCCCAATCAGAGACAACCAGCCACAGCTGACACTCGTTGCCTCTGATTGGGAGTCACTCTGGCCAACATAGAAACAGCACAACTAGAACTCCCGACATAGAAATACAACACATAGAATGAACACACCCTGGCTCAACATATAGAGTCCCAGAGCCCGGATGTGACAGGATTAACTTTTTCAGTGCTAATTAGGAATACTATAGTTATCACATTTCACATTGGCTTTATTAACTACAAAAAGGTAAGACGTGTTTTTAATTCTGGTGCCGCTCTGCACATACAAGCTTGTTAGCTAGCTAGCTTCTCTTGTCCAACGTTAGGCCAACTCTGAAGTTCAAAGACATTCAAAGTTCCTCCATGGAAGTCGCTCCTCCGTAGTTATAATTCTGTGGGCCTAATTCCGATAATACATGTCATCACAAGATGCCCAGCGCTTCAAGCCAAGCCTCCTCCTCCACCCTCTCTCGCTCCCCCCCCCCCCCCCCCCCCCCCCCCCCCCGCAAAATGTAAGTTGCATTTTGCACCCTACACTTGTCTTTCCATCACGCATGTAAACAACTCACTGAACTATAGCTTGCTCGCACCATAGCAAGCTGCTCTATCTGGTCTGCAGGATTGGTGAAGTAATTTAATGTCGAGCTAAATGAAAAAAAAGAAGAGATTTCAGAGGTTTAAAAAGGAACAGAAAGGAACAATATAAACCGTTACTTTTTTTGGTTCAAACCGGTTCAGAACTTTATTTTGCTGGTCGGAACAGGGGAACGGAACGATTTTTTAAAATGTTGGTACCAACCCCTACTACAAACAATGTTTTCACCGTATTCATGAAAACATGAAATTAATATTTTAAGACTCACTGCGGTCTGTATCAGGTTCCCAGATGGTGGTAGGCTATGAAGGCCATTTTTCTGGCCTTTGACCTGGACCGGGGTGTGGTGACCAACGTGCCCTCTCCTGTGGAGTTCATGGGCTACATCTACTTTGTGGGCACTGTCATTTTCGGACCCTGGATCAGCTTCAACAGCTACAGAGAGGCTATAGAGGGCCACAAGCTGGTGAGTTCAACAATAAGTCTTGTCTTGGCATAGAGATAAGGGTAGCCTGGTTAAACCAGACTAAACGCTGCACTCACTAGTCTAGTTTGACCAGGCTAGGATAAGGGGGGACATGGGTGGAGGGAATAGAGAGAGAAAGATGGTATTGAGATGTTCTCTTCTTCCTCAGAGCTTCTCCTGGATATGGAAAGTGTGCGTCAGCTGGGTGAAGAGCCAACTGTGTCTGGTCATCTCTAACTGTGTTGCTCCCTACCTCTTCCCTTACTTCATCCCTATCTATGGGGACACCCTGCTACGCAAGTGAGTGGATGACCTAACCTCTTGTAATGATTTACCGTAGGTCAGAAAAAGCTTCCACAGACATTGATGTTTGTGAACGTCCCCAAAAAGTGCAATATAGGGGAGGGTGGGGTCAAGTGCATTTTTTAGATGAGGAGCAGGATTATTTAAGATACTGTTTGAAGAGGTAGGTTTTCAGATGTTTTCGGAAGACGGAAGATGGGCAGGGACTCTGCTGTCCTAGCTTCAGGGGGAAGCTGGTTCCACCATTGGGGTGCCAGGACAGAGAAGAGCTTGGACTGGGCTGAGTGGGAGCTGCCCTCCCGAGTGCCAAGAGACCTGAGGTGGCAGAACGGAGTGCTCTGGTTGGGGTGTAGGGTTTGAGCATAGCCTGAAGGTAGGGAGGGGCAGTTCCTCTTGCTGTTCCGTAGGTAAGCACCATGGTTTTGTAGTGGATGCGAGCTTCAACTGGAAGACAGTGGAGTGTGCGGAGGAGCGGGGTGACATGAGAGAACTTGGGAAGGTTGAAAACCAGGCGGGCTGCTGCGCAGTGGCGGCTCCTGAAACAATTCTCAGGGGGGGCAATTGTTCTGATGATTTAGGTGACCTACACACATTTTAAAAAAGATATGTCCAGCAACAACATGAAGACAGGGGCAGCATATAAGTCAATACTGATATACACATTACTTGCTTCAAAAAGGCCTCATGGTTGAATTGGAAATATGTGCACCTGAGCATAATTCACAACAAGCAAGCAGGAGCTTTTGATAGAGGCTACTGAAAACATTGATGCAAGTTATTGGTAATAAGAAATTTTTATAGACTTCCATATTCTGCCCTCTTGTATAGATTTGTGAAAATGAACAGTGATAGACATTTTGCCTGAAAACAGAATTTGAAAATAATTTCTAGAAAAGGTAAACACAGCTATCTGTATGGCTTTGTAAAAATGAACAACCATATTCTGGCCAATTGTATAGATTTGTAAATATGAACAACCATATTCTGGCCAATTGTATAGATTTGTAAAAATGAACATGAACAGAATTTTTTATTTTTTTTTACTTTAAAAAAAATGAAAAATAACTATTTTAAACAACATCAACTGTGAACTGATTTGGGCGTGTGTGTGTTAAAGAGACAGACAGGGAGGGACAAAGAGAGAGAGAGGCTACATTACTTGTACTGAAACTGTTCTCTTCTCTCTTTCAATGCAGCAAAGCGGTCAATGACTTTCTCATTGAAATCAGGCATGCTGAGGACTAGTTCCCTCTCCATGGAAAGCATGGCCAGTGCATTCAGACGTTCCTGGCCCATTGAATTTCGCAGGAATGTCTTAACTCGTGTCAAAGTTGAGAAACATCTCTCAGCTTCAGCTGTTGTCATGGGAGTAGTTATGAGGATGTTCAACAGAGTCACAGTCTCAGAGAACGTCTCCTGGAGGTTGTAGCTCATGAGAACCTGGTACAGTGCCAGTGCACCACAGCAGCCCTTGAATTCAGGATTCTCATAGATCAGAGATAGTTCTGTCTTGAGCTTTGCCTTGCTCAGCATGGGGTATGCATTCACAGTGGCATTCAGAGCCTCATCAGGAAATGAATGGCAGTACCTTTCAAACATGTCTGCTTGCAGTAAGGTAGCACTCACAAGGTGGCCAGAGAAAGAGAACCTTTCTTTGGTGTGATCCAGGATGGTGTTGCAGACCTCTTCAGACAGCCTCTGCTTCTCCTCTTCTCTCAAAGCTGTTCTGGGTCTTTTGGCTCCTGTTGCTTCTTGCAGCTGCTGTTGAGAGGAGTCCCTGAAGGCAAACAGACCAATGTGTTTGTTGGCTTTGTACAGTATTGTTGTCTATGTGATGCACAGGTATATGCAATGTATCCATGTATAGTACAAATACTTCAGTTCCACTTAAAATGGGCAGGGATGCATAAAGTCTTTAGTGTTTAAGTTAGCCTTTGTGTCTCACATAGCCTGGATGTTCAGCACAGTATACAGTGGTGCTCATAAGCTTATGAGCCCATGCTAAAGTTGACTAAAAAGAGGAATAAAAAAGAAAAGAAAATTGGTGTCCTTAAAGGTTGGATTTTCCAACTTTTTTAATTAAGTCATTAAGATCAATTTCCAAAAGATGATTTTTTTATTTTTTTATTCCTCTTTTTAGTCAACTTTAGAATGTGTTCATACACTTATGAGCACCACTGTACAGTACACATAGTATATAAAATAAGCTAGATTACACCACTGGCCATATATAATGAGAATAATGTAATTTCAAACACAAATGCAGTCTCCTTTCATGCATACATTTTCAAATAAAGCTCTGCTTTGAGAAAGATCGAATGATATTGTTTAATCTTACCTTATGGCCTGCACACTGCTTGTGAAGCTGTCGAGGGCACGTTTGATGAAGACAGCATCGATGTCCTTCTTCTGTAGCTTCTGGTACAGAATGTCGACGTGGGGCATGATTTTGTGAAAAAGCCCCAGAAAAAAAAAAAAATCTTCATCATGTAGCATCCTCACGTAGCCAGATGCCTCTCTCACGGTGGGCTGGTCAAATGAACCCAATGAACCCGTCCGGATGGCTTCAAAACATTCTATGAGGTCGTCTCGATTCTCGTAGACAGTGTTCACGACTCTGCTGTTGAAGTTCCACCGTGTGGATGAAGGTCTGGGCAGTCTTCGTGCAACAGTCTGGTCAAGAATGCTGGTGCGTTTGGGTGACCGGGAAAAAAAAGTTGCAATCCCGCTCAGATCGGAAAAGAAAATGTTCACTTTTTTGATGCGAGAAGTAGCTTGCTGCATGATCAAATTCAGCTGATGCGCATAGCAATGCACGTAATGGGCATTCTTGAAATGCTCACGCACCTTTTGCTGCACACCAGCCTTCTCTCCCCTCATCACACTGGCTCCATCGTAAGCTTGCGCAATGAGTTTGACTTTCTCGTCGTCGGCAAAAAGACCGTTCAGTCTCTCCAAAAGCACACTGGCGATTGAGACTGAGGTTGATTCCGAGATGGGAAGGAACTCAAAAAAGCGCTCCTGCACTTTGTGGTTGCTATATATGTACCTCAGCACAAGCACCAGCTGTGTCTGTGTAGAAACGTCCGTGGTCTCGTCAGCTTGGCTAGCTACGAAGTTCGCCGACTTCACCTCCTCCACAATATGTTCCCTCATGACCGCTAGCATACACTCCAGTAGCTCGTTTTGAATGGTCTTTGATGTGCCCTTGAAAACTTTAGCATTTTTAAGATGGTCATCAAACACCTCATCTAATTGTGCCACAAAGTTGACAAATCCAAGAAAAATACCAGGGTTGGTGGAGCCCTCAGTTTCATCTTTGCCTCGCAAAGTTAGCCATCTTGACAGTAGTACGTGAATTGATTGACGCTGCTACCCGCTCTTTTCTTAGTTATGTTCATGGTTACTTATGTTACGTATGACGAAAGCGCGTAAGTGCAAGCCCTCCCGGAACCCATAGAGATTGTATTGAAAGCTCTGATATTTGGAAAAAAAAAGATTTTACATGAGAGTCTATGAGAGACTTCTGGGGCGATTTTCAACCTGACTGAAATCGCCCCAAAAGGGGCGGGGCCATTTGAAGCACGACTTTAGCCTGATTGGACATTTAGTGGCAGATCAGACGTCTAGATTAGAACACTGATAACTACTGTTGCCGTGATATAATTGATTAGAAAAAAAATCCCTTCCTTTTCCCGTTTGGCAGTGCGTCGCCCATATCGCCCTAATGAACACACCGCCCCTGCTGCTGCGTTCTGGATAAGTTGGAGGGGTTTGATGGCACAAGCGGGGAGCCCAGCCAACAGCGAGTTGCAGTAGTCCAGACGGGAGAGGACAAGTGCCTGGATTAGGACCTGCGCCGCTTCCTGTGTGAGATAGGGTCATACTCTATGGATGTTGTAGAGCATGAACCTGCAGGAGCGGGTCACTGCTTTGATGTTTGAAGAGAACGACAGGGTGTTGTCCAGGATCACGCCAAGGGAGGGCAACACTGTGGAGAAGTCAACCGTGATGGAGAGGTCTTTGAGCGGGCAGGCCTTCCCCGGGAGGAAGAGCAGTTCTGTCTTGTCGAGGTTGAGCTTGAGGTGGTGGACCGACATCCAAGTTGAGATATCTGCCAGGCACGCAGAGATGCGTGTCGCCACCTGGGTGTCAGAAGGGGGGAAGGAGAAAAATAGTGTCATCTGCATAGCAATGGTAGGAGAGACCATGTGAGGATATGACGGAGCCAAGTGACTAGGTGTATAGCGAGAAGAGTAGAGGGCCTAGAACCAAGCCCTGGGGGACACCAGTAGTGAGAGTACGTGGTGCAGACACAGATCCTCTCCACGTCACCTGGTAGGAGCGGCCTGCCAGGTAGGATGCAATCCAAGAGTGTGCATAGCCTGAGACGCTGGATGGACAGGAGGATCTGATGGTTCACGGTGTCAAAGACAGCGCATAGATCTAGTAGGATGAGAACAGAGGAGAGAGTCAGCTTTGGCAGTGCGGAGAGCCTCCGGGACACAGAGAAGTGCAGTCTCAGTTGAGTGACCCGTCTTGAAGCCTGACTGGTTAGGGTCAAGAAGATCGTTCTGAGAGAGATAACGAGAAAGTTGATCAGAGACAGCACTCTCAAGTGTTTTGGAAAGAAAATAAAGGGATACAGGTCTATAGTTTTTGACGTCAGCTGAGTCAAGTGTTTATTTTATTTTGTCATATTTTTTTAATTTTTATTTAGTACTTTTAAAAAAATTGGGGGGGTGGGGTGTAGATCAGTGTTGGTTTCTTGAGGAGGGGAGAAACTCGGGCCATTTTGAAGTCAGAGGGGACGCAGCCAGTGGTCAGGGATGAGTTGATGAGGGAAGTGAGGAATGGGGAGAAGGTCTCCAGAGATGGTCTGGAGAAGGGAGGAGGGGATGGGGTCGAGCAGGCAGGTTGTCGGGCGGCCAGACCTCACTAGTCGCAGGATGTCATCTGGAGAGAGAGGAGAGAAAGAGGTTAAGGCGAAGGGTAGTTCTGTGTGTTTCCTAGAAACAAGGGTGGCTCAATTTACCCCTTTGGCTCAACTAACCTCACTCTCCTCTAAATGTTTTTGTAGGAAAGGTATTTGAGGAATGTATTTCTGTAGTGTAATGGGCCATTCATATTTGTTCCTTTCTCTCCTTCCAATAAATTGTCTTCTTTTGCCAGCGCTCTATCCCCAGCAAAACAAACGGAAGATCAGGTCATTATTTATCTGATATTATGACGATAGAATATCCCCCACCTGTCTCTGTACTTTATATTGCATGTCCATTTCTAACTCACCAGCTGTGCCAACTCCCTGTCACCTGCACGTCTGTACACCAATCATTCCCACAACCGCGTCTGTCTCTGCCCTGCCCACTCATGCCATGAGACTTGATAATGTGAGTCTGTATCAGTTAAATGTATTAAATAAAATGAAATGGTGATAATTTATTACAATTTTCCTTCAATTGTTTGCTGCACAGAGGTTCTGTGGCAAGGTACTGTATGTTTTTGCAATTTATATTAAAATAGAAAAGTATTATTGTTAAGTGTGATTTGAGGCTTTAATTGTGACAGGTGTCTTCTAATCTAACCTTCTTTCATTGACCTCTAGGTGGCTCCTAGCCTACGAGAATGCACTCTCCTTCCACTTCAGCAACTACTTTGTGGGTTACCTGAGTGAGACCACCACCACTCTGGCTGGAGCGGGCTTTACTGAAGAGAAAGACAACCTCAAATGGTCAGTACATTGAAGCATCATGGTCACTAGGCTTGGCATAGACTTGCCATAAGTTAAATAGTTTGTTTGCCCCCCTCCTAGTTCTCTTTCCCCCCTGAAACAGCCCAACTGAAATGCCTGTGTTTTCTTCTCCAGGGATATGACTGTTGCTTGGCCCCTTCATGTGGAGTTTCCCAGGTCTATGGTGGAGGTGGCCACCTCGTGGAATCTGCCCATGTCCCGATGCCTCAATACCTGTAAGCTTTCTGTGAAATTGATCAAATTTAGAGCATTGTTAGCTTACTTTGAACCACAATAATACAATGTTTTTTTCCACCTGTTTTCACAGTTGCCCTCCTACAATGACATTTAAAGCAGTAAACATCCCAACTCAATTACTCTTTCTGAACTGGAATACAAACTTGATCCTCTGAAAACTGTTCTGTCTGATCACCCAGATGTTTTTACCAGTGCTCACAACCTTGGAACCTTTCCAGCCATCCTAGTGACATACACAACCAGTGCACTTCTACATGTGAGTATGCACAAGCAGGTGTGGGTGAGAGTATGGGTGTGTAAGATATATTTTCTTACCATTGTCTCCTTTGGCCTGTAGGGTCTGAGCTTCCACCTGGGTGCAGTGCTACTGTCTCTCGGGTTCATCACGTAAATTGAGCATGGTAAGTCTGTAAAAGGAGTTCCACGTTACCTTTCAAGGATAACATTATTTACATCTGGAGAATAACTTAAGGTGACATACAAAGTTTGTTTATTACTAATGAACAATCAATCAACTTGGCTGTGACACAAAGCACAGCAAATGCTGTGTAGGCATGATAGGATAAATCATTGTGACCTTTATGTGATCTGCCTGAGACTAATTTTGTTGCATACCCGCTGTTCCAGTTTTGCGGAAGAGACTGGCAGCCATTTTTAACACGTGTATTCTGTCAAAGAAATGTCAGCCAAACTGCACTCACAAGAACAAAAAAGTATGGTTTAATACAAATAAAAAAAGGTGATATTTATGCATAATGATATTTTCATGTGTAAAGTCTAAAGATTTTTCAGTGTTGGTCCCATGCAAATGGACCAAACAACATTTCACAATAACTCTTATACTAAACCAATGCCAAAAAATCCCCAATAAGAACGTTTGCATTACAGCATGATCTTTCTTCTCCGTCTCCCATCCACACAGGCCCTGTGGGTGTACATTATTAACATAGCCTTCAGTGCCCTGGCAGTCTTCCACCTGGCATACCTGGGCTCTCTGTTCAACTTCAGTGTGGACTACATGGATGATGATGAGGAGGTAACTATTTACTGAATGGTGTTCAGCTCTAAGATGGCCAAACTCTCATACATTACTCTGATTATACGATGTCACGTAGCACCGTCAGATCTTTTAGAACAAAGCGTTATGGTTGATTTTGGTATTTTAAACCCATGTCTGTTTTCTCCCTCTACAGAGTGACGTGGCCAACCACACCATTCAGAAGTGGACGGAGCTGAGCTGGGCCAGCCACTGGGTGACGTTTGGCTGCTGGGTGCTCTACCGCATAATCCTCTAGATGTGTGAGAGAGAGGGAGCGAGAGAGAGCTGGGGACAGAGAGACATAGAGAAAAGGGATGCAATAACAAGAGGGAATTAATGTGAGCCTGTTGAGGAAAGACCGGCTCTCTACTGCACTGTGAAGTTGTATTGGACTGAAGAGTACACACAACCACCCTATGGACAGTATATTAACTATTTTCTCAATACCAACATACAGTGCTCAGGACACCGCCTAAGAGACTAGGTTATCTACTTACTGTAACCTGCTAGTGACAAACTATTTTTGATACACTTGAAATAATGCCCCACTCTTCCTTAATCACATCGTTTTTAATCACATAGTTTTGTTTGAGCTGTTGCATTTGTCTACCCCTTGTGGAGAGACAGACAGCAGATACAGATCAACAGCAGATACGGATCAGACATCTCGCTGCGATTCTCAATCAATACCCGTCCTGTTAGCATGACAGTGGTCAATCATTCACTCTCTTTAATGAACAACTAAGAACCCATTCTCTAGTTTTCAGAAGTGATTCCGGAATATGCCATTAAAGTCCTATTTTCCTGTTCCTACATATTAGTATGCTACATTTTGTTATTACACCCTTACATCTTACATTTGTTACATTTATAGAGCATGTGAAACCCAGGTTTGAGATGAGGAAAGAGTCCATTTCCGTTTTTATGACCGCACAAACCAACATTATAAGGCAGCAGATTTCCTTTGTGGATTTTAATTGAAAAAATATGTTTGTATTTTTTTAATGTATTTTTTATTTATGGAAATAATAGTGTACATTGGTGTTTGTGTATTTTATACTATGTTTTTCATCTGTCATGTAATTTGAGAATTTTTTTCAATTTTCCTGTTAATAATTATGTAACTGTGATATACAGTGAGGGGAAAAAAGTATTTGATCCCCTGCTGATTTTGTAAGTTTGCCCACTGACAAAGAAATGATCAGTCTATAATTTTAATGGTAGGTTTATTTGAACAGTGAGAGACAGAATAACAACAACAAAATCCAGAAAAACGCATGTCAGAAATGTTATAAATTGATTTGCATTTTAATGAGGGAAATAAGTATTTGACCCCCTCTCAATCAGAAAGATTTCTGGCTCCCAGGTGTCTTTTATACAGGTAACGAGCTGAGATTAGGAGCACACTCTTAAAGGGAGTGCTCCTAATCTCAGCTTGTTACCTGTATAAAATACACCTGTCCACAGAAGCAATCAATCAATCAGATTCCAAACTCTCCACCATGGCCAAGACCAAAGAGCTCTCCAAGGATGTCAGGGACAAGATTGTAGACCTACGCAAGGCTGGAATGGGCTACAAGACCATCGCCAAGCAGTTTGGTGAGAAGGTGACAACAGTTGGTGCAATTGTTCGCAAATGGAAGAAACACAAAATAACTGTCAATCTCCCTCGGCCTGGGGCTCCATGCAAGATCTCACCTCGTGGAGTTGCAATGATCATGAGAACAGTGAGGAATCAGCCCAGAACTACACGGGAGGATCTTGTCAATGATCTCAAGGCAGCTGGGACCATAGTCACCAAGAAAACAATTGGTAACACACTACGCCGTGAAGGACTGAAATCCTGCAGCACCCGCAAGGTCCCCCTGCTCAAGAAAGCACATATACAGGGCCATCTGAAGTTTGCCAATGAACATCTGAATTATTCAGAGGAGAACTGGGTGAAAATGTTGTGGTCAGATGAGATCAAAATCAAGCTCTTTGGCATCAACTCAACTCGCCGTGTTTGGAGGAGGAGGAATGCTGCCTATGACCCCAAGAACACCATCCCCACCTTCAAACATAGAGGTGGAAACATTATGCTTTTTGGGTGTTTTTCTGCTAAGGGAACAGGACAACTTCACCGCATCAAAGGGACGATGGACGGGGCCATGTACCGTCAAATCTTGGGTGAGAACCTCCTTCCCTCAGCCAGGGCATTGAAAATGGGTCGTGGATGGGTATTCCAGAATGACAATGATCCAAAACACACGGCCAAGGCAACAAAGGAGTGGCTCAAGAAGAAGCACATTAAGGTCCTGGAGTGGCCTAGCCAGTCTCCAGACCTTAATCCCATAGAAAATCTGTGGAGGGAGCTGATGGTTCGAGTTGCCAAACGTCAGCCTCGAAACCTTAATGACTTGGAGAAGATCTGCAAAGAGGAATGGAACAAAATCCCTCCTGAGATGTGTGCAAACCTGGTGACCAACTACAAGAAACTTCTGACCTCTGTGATTGCCAACAAGGGTTTTACCACCAAGTACTAAGTCATGTTTTGCAGAGGGGTCAAATACTTATTTCCCTCATTAAAATGCAAATCAATTTATAACATTTTTGACATGCATTTTTCTGGATTTTGTTGTTGTTATTCTGTCTCCCACTGTTCAAATAAACCTACCATTAAAATTATAGACTGATCATGTCTTTTGTCAGTGGGCAAACGTACAAAATCAGCAGGGGATCAAATACTTTTTTTCCCTCACTGTATTCACCAAATTATTGTAGTTCAGTCAAGAATACTAAAGTATTTACATGGTCAGTAAGGGTTTTTCATGTTGCTGTAAAGCTGATTATGAAAATGCATAACTTAAGATGAAGTTGCATCTGTAACTTAAGCCTTTGGTCATTTTCAACATGCTGCTCTTTTAAACATGCTTTTAAGGAAATTAATAATTCATGATGGAATACATACTGCTCCTGAACACACTGCACGTTGAAACCTACTGCTCATTTGGTTCATGTGAAGAGGGCCAGTCCAGAACCACCCTTAAGAACTTTTGTTTCCATTTTGTTTCTGTTACACAACTGTGACTGGGAAACTTACACTAGCATATATAACATATACTGTAATTTAGTAGGCTTTCCCTTAGAATACAAGGTGCATGCAATGCACAAGTACACAGCCTTAGCACACCACCTTTCACCACTGTCCTTTTGTCAAACTTGTACCTATATGTGTGAAGCTACTGAGAGAGGTCTGTGATAGTTTTTTTTAATACATTTTCTATCAAATGTTAATCACTGTCTATCTTTGGTTCAAGTTTATGTGAAGAACTATTCACTGTTAAAGGAAGCTAACTGAAACAATAAAGTGGGCACCCCGCTTCTGTTTCGGTAAAAAGCTGAGGGTTGGGCCTGGAGAAATGTAACCACTCACAAATTCATAGACAGAACTATGGATGCAAGGACTGACTATCCATGATTTCATAATAACATTTTTAACCATGCTTTGAGGCTATACAGTGTTTGTTTACATGTCCATTGTTTACAAACATTGGAGTTAAACAAGCTTATATTTAGGGTTCTGGTGGGGTACAAAAGTTGAACTATGCTCATGAGGCATTTATAAGTTATATTCTTTAAGAATCAATGGGTATATATAATTAATTTATAAGTCCAAAAATGGATGTAGCAACTAAGGATTCTAGCTTTAAGTAAACTATTTCTGCCAAGTAGACCTGTTCTTACATGGCATTCAAAAACATATTGTGTGAACATGTAACAACAAGAAACTGCTGGACTATTTTAAGAAAAAATGGTTTATTTGCTTATTTACAAGAATGGTTTGGACCGTTAGACAGTTGATCAAAATAAGGAACTTGGGGTGGGAAGAGGGAAAGATTGGGAGGGGTGAAGGTTTCAGTTTCTGGGGAAGCTCAGAGCATTGGCTTGGTTTGACCTTGTGTCCGTCCATTTCTAAGCGTTCAACAATCCAGAGCAGACAACGGGTGAAGGCAAACAGGGTGGGAAGAAAGTTGATCACTGATGGATGGAAATCTGTGTCACTTTCTGCCGTTGCGAGAGCAAGTGAGCGCAGTTGTGTAGCAAGACAGGGCATGTATGCAGGTCCAAGGGAGATGGGGAGAGGATGGGAGGCTGCTTTTCAGCCTTGCCTACCCCAAGGACCACCATTCTTGCGACGGCAGGAACCCAGCAGAGTCTCCAGAGCCATCTTCACAAATGCCTGGAAATTATTGCTTCTCTCCCTTCGGCTGTCCTGCGAGGGGATGGAACACAGAAATAGGCAGTGGCCCTGCTTCTCACATAACAATGGGGGTAATAGCCAACTGTAATTCACTTGGTCCAGCTCTCTCCAATCATTTTGAGAGCAAGGACTCCATGAGGCTGATAAAGACCATGATCCGCCTACCCTCGGTCCTAGATTAGTCTAATGCTTACCTCCTTGCTTTTTGTTATCATCTCCTTTCTGATCAGCTTTCTTCGGTTGCTCCTTAGGACTCTGTGGTTGCTATGGAGATCAAATGGGGGGAAATTAAATTTAGACAAACTCAAACTTGAATGTTTAACTTACAATGAATGAGGACTATCTGCTGGTTTCTTGTTCTTACCTTGGTAGCTGATTTCTTGTCAGATTTGTTACCTGCAAATGAAGAAAGTATGTTGATTTATTAGTCTTTAGAATAACTGTCCCCTTCATGATGATCCAGGTAAGAGGATGCTGCATTTTCCTTTCCATTTTGCAATAATTTTCATATAGTCAAGTCATTGTATGACTGTAGGGGAGACTGAGGGAATTTAACACTTTTTGTATTTTACTTTATTACTGAGTCCAATTGAACTAGATGGGTAGTCCCAAATTCAGCTTTTAGCTTTTGCCAGTTAATGAATGGAATAAAACACAAATATAGCATTGGCCTAAATTCACTACATTATACACTACCTTGAGAAAAGCCTTTATATATAATATATATATTTTTTATATACAATAATAATAGACTATAGCCTAATACAAATATATAGGCTACATGAAAGCATAAAAACTACTTTAGAAATACCTTTTGTTCCGGGCATGTTGGCTGTGCTCCAAAGTCTGTGTGTCTTTTAGAAAACTCAGTGCTTATGTGGCGTCCAACTCGCTCATTTATGGCTCCAGCACCTGAATGCTCCTTTCACCGGGGCCCCTTCGGGAAAGAGCGCGGCGAAAAAGCAAAGAGCCCCGTCAGCTGCGCGAGAGGGACACTGTCCTGCGGGCCTTTG